CCCAGACCTCTCGAATTCCCTTATGCAAACCGCCCACGACCTTCTGCGCGCTTCCGCCTCCGCGCCGCGTATACCTGGCGCTTCGCAGCCTGTCTTGACGATTTGGCTTACAAGAATACCAGACTCTCCCGAAGAATGGCCCGACAGGCGGATCCCCAAGACTTTGCAAGCACTTAGGGATTTGGGCATCACGGTCCGCCACCTTTCACCACCTGCCCTCGACACCCTTACTGGATATTCGGTGCCAAAGCAGCTACAACCGAGTATGAAGATCAACTTTGATATCACCGCCCTCCTCGGTCTGACTTCCGACGTCTTGCACTATCCCCTCCCGAAGTCGCGTGAAGAAGCTGGTGCGCGCTCGCTACGACCTGCAGGCGAGCTTCTTGGGACAGGCTCCCTTGCTCGTGGTCGGGATGGGACTGGTAGAGGAAAAGGAAAGGGGAGAAAAGAAATGGACGCCGAAGGAGAGGAAGGCGAAGATGATGTGCTCAAGGGCCAAAGTCAGAATTCGCGCGAGCTGTATCGGTGTATACTCGAGGAGATGGGCCGCCCCTGGATCGAAGAGTTCAACTCTGTCATCCTCGCCGCCTGGCAATCGCACCCTTCCTACTCACGTTCCTCTTCTACCCCACCCCCTTGCGAATTTTGGGCGACGAAACAAGCCGCGCAGTATACTTTTGAAGCTCTTACGTCTGGCCCAGCTCATGGAGAGGGTATGGAGCAGAGGAGGATGAAAAGGATGTTGGGGTATGAGGAGGGGGATTGGCTGGAGGGCTCGAGGTATGAAGGCAAGGGTGGTATTTTGGAGGGACTGAAGATTAGGGTGTTTGATGACGAGGATGACACGGTTAGGGAACAAGTCAACAAGACAGGTCTGCATAAGACGCTTGAAGCTATCTCGGGCGACTTTCTACAAACCTATTACGCTTCCCTTGCCCCACCTCCTACGTCCAAATCGTCCAAACCATCAACTCCTTCCCTCCCGAACTTCCTCCAGCCCAAGAAACTGCCCTCCCCGCCTGTCGCCAAGATCACCCTACCCTTCCCCGTCGTCTCCTTGCACGCCCTGCATAGAGGGGCAAAAGAAGGGATGACTACGGTGATGATGGGGACTGCTACGTTTAAGGAGGTGTGGGGCCAGGGGAGATGGAAAGTCCGAGGTTGGGAGCGGGGAAGCTATGACCTCGCAGCTGTTGACGATGGGGCAGGTGGAGAGGAAGTAGGAGAGGAGAGGAAAGAGAAGGGAAATGCAGCGGTGATGATCTTTCCCTACAGGGTGTTTGGAGAGGGGAAGAGGGTGAGGTTTGAAAAGGGTGATTACGCTTACCCGGCGTATCCTAATGCTGAGTGACCGCGGCAAGATCATTTCAGCAGATGATCTGAGAACATAGATAGAAGCATACAGCACAACATCATTGTACAAGTACATTGCAACATGTAGTCAAACCAAACAAGATCTTGGTAGCATTATTATAGTGGATCTACATGGTTCATCAGCACGGCATCTTGCAAGGCCAAGGCAGAGACATACCGTCATCAGTGTCCTCCTCCGTTGACTCATACTTCTGGCTGACAGGCTCCTTCTTCACCTTGATCTTTGCAGCTGGACCTATAATCTCCCCCGCTGTTCGTTTTTTAGGATCGCTGTATGTGGAATTGTTTCGGGATTTGGTGGATCTGGAGGAGAAGGGGACGCGTTGGCCTGGAGGCTGAACTTGACGAGATGGGGTCTGCTGAAAAGTCAGGTCAACCTGCATCTCCAATGAAAGTAAGTGGGACAAACCTGGTCAACGGGCTCTTGCTTGACACCCCTAGGAAGACTGGGAATATACTCCTCCGCCTGCTCTTCCTCATACTCATCATCACTCTCCGCTATCCTCCTTCGCTTCTTGACCGCCTCTCTCACCGGCCGCTTTGGAGGGGAGGACGTATTCTGAAGGGAATGGTATTGAGGCGACTCTGAGCTCGCTATAGGGGGGTGGGCGGAATTTGATCCTGACGGCCGTGAAGCCGAGGATGATGTGGTTTTCGATTGACGAGGTTTCTTTGAGCTGCTTGATGTCGCACCATTCCCAGCAGGTATATGTTTGTTTCCCCTCTCTTTCGGCAGAGACGAAGGGACAGAGGGGAGAGCCCCTCTCGAGCCGAAAACATCCAGCTCTGCGTACTCCCCCCTTGCTTTCCTGATTTGGGTGCAGTACTGGTCCGTCAGAAGCGCGAGCTCGGCATAACGTCTTTGCCAGTACTCTCTTCCACGTCTCTCCTCATCCAGCTCCCTAACAGCTTCATCCCTCTCCTTCTCCACCGTCTCTCTCCTTTTTGTAGCCTGCCCCACATCATCCTCCATACGTTCTCTCAGCTCTTCGCCCCTCTCGACCTCCGCCCTCAACTCCTCCATCTCCTTCTCCCGTTCTTCCAACAAATCCTCCATATCACCAAGTTTCCCTTCAGCAGTACGCAGGATGGCATTCTCAGATTCGAGTTCCCCAATCCGGAGCTTGTATTCAGTGTTGGTTTGGAGGATGCCTTTGTTGAGAAAGGTGGCGAGCTCGAGTTCGTGTGTTGCGGTGGAGAGCTGGGCTTCGAGGGAGGAGAGGTGGGAGCGGTGGGACATGGTGGGATGAGTTGGGGGTGGCCTGGGGAGGGGATGGGGAGGGATGGGGGGAGCACGACGCTCCCGAGATGTGGATGGTGGAGATGTAAATCAGAGAAGAGCTGTTGGAAAACAGAAAAGTCAAAATGAGCGCGGAATTCTATGCTTCTCTTTGATTTCACTTCAATCCTAAAACTGAATCTATATCATCCCACCAAGCCATCTTCAAGCCATGCCAGCATCACCTTCACGCCGCCGCCTATCCTCCCGTTCCCCTCGTCGAGACCAAGACCGCGGGGACCGAGACTCGTACAGGCGCCGCTCTCCCGATCGTAGACCCAGAGACAGTGGCTACGCCGACCGCGATAGGATACGAGACCGCGAGCATGATAGGGGATCCAGAGAGCCCAGAAGGGATGGGGAAAGAGACGGGGGATATAGGGGAGGTGTGAAGAGGGAGAGGGATGGGTCGTATGGTGCGCGAGAGAGGGAAGGCGAGAGGTCGAAAGATAGGAAGCGGTATGATGAAGATGCTGGGCGGGATGTGAGTCTTTCTCTTTTGTGTATCCCAGCTCTTCTGACGCGCATGCGTAGGGTCCCGATGGACCAGCCGTGGAGCCGGAGAAGCCCAACTTTGGTACTTCGGGACTCTTGGCGAAAGAGACAAATACGGTGAAAGGCGTGGTGGTCAAGTACAACGAACCGCCTGAGGCGAGGAAGCCGACAAAGAACTGGCGTTTGTATGTGTTCAAGGGGGAGGAACAGATTGGTGAGCTTTTTGGGTACCTGGAGGGGCGAGAGCTGACACCAAGGGAAGACTTGATACATATCTATCGCCAGTCTTGTTACCTCATTGGCAGAGATGAAGTGGTAAGTCATCACTTGTATTACACGGCGTAGGGAGCAACAATACTGACACAGTCACAGGTCACAGACATACCGATAGCGCACCCATCATGCTCCAAGCAGCATGCTGCCATCCAGTTCCGTCAGATGACTGAGCGTAATGAGTATGGAGATGTCACGAGTACCGTCAAGTAAGATCACATTTCTTCTTCTTGGCCTTCTTTCATTGCCTGATCTAATTTGTCTGTAGGCCTTTCCTCATTGATCTGGAGTCGACGAACGGCAGTTTTGTGAACGACACGGAGATCCCCAAATCGAGGTGAGTCTTTACTCGTTTTCATGTCAGAGTTGCCTAGCTCACCCCACCGATAGATACTACGAGCTTAGAAGCAGTGACGGTAAGCCCCCATGTATACCTTGCGCTATGCAGAAGCTAATAGCCATATGTAGTCATCAAGTTTGGTACTTCCTCGAGAGAGTATGTGTTGCTTCACGAGAATGCTTCAGCCGCTTCGTAATAGCATGTAAGAGGTCAAAAACATCTTGGGCTACTACATATCCCATCATGCAGCTGGATATAAGCAATTCATGTTCAGATATGAAGCTGTAAGCTCGATCATTGTTGCTGCAACCAGTCGGGCACTCCACGGCATATGAGAAGACTCCTGGCGCGTATCATCATTAGCTGAGCTCAATTGAGTCATTTTAGTTCTCATAGACAGTGTGAGATATATTGAATCGATGTCCCTACATGGTCCAAGGGCCAGTCTGTATACAGGTGAGGATTTCGGTCTCCGCCGCATTGATGCAGCTTGGATGCAGCTCAGGGTATATACTTGTATTTCAAACTACTACATGTAACGCTGTATGTCGTACCTATGCATATCAGATTTGATGAGGACAACAGTGAGCATCTCCTGCATTGAAGATATATAGCTAGAAGCTGCTCAATTGATACTTGGTATGCTTGTCTCGCCTCTTTGTCACCTCCTTCATTCTGGTCGGCATGCTCTCGATGCATGCCTCGATGCTCTCCTGCGATATCTCCTGCCAGGCTTCCTTGGCCGCCCTGGTAAGGTCTTCGGTGGTAGTCGCCCTTCTCCTACGACCCCTGATTCTCTCTTACAATTGAAAGTTGCTGGAAGCTCCTCAAAGAGAGATCAGGGGTCGTGATCGAGGAGCTTCCAGCAACTTTCGATTGTAAGAGAGAATCAGGGGTCGTGAAGGGCGACTACCACCGAAGAACTTACCAGGGCGGCCAAGGAAGCCTGGCTGGAGATATCGTAGGAGAGCATCGAGGCATGAATGAAGAGCATGCCGACCAGAATGAAGGAGATAAGAGGCGAGGCAAGCTTACCAAGTACCAATTGAACAGCTTCTACTACTACTTGTAGCTTCCCCAATGACCGGCGGAGATATCCGCTTGTTGTGTTCCTCCCGCCGGCAACCCGCCGGGCGCCTGATACCTGGTTGAAGGTGTTTTTACCGTAATCTGCTATCTTTCTTATTCTATTTCTTTAGATATTCAAAGCATTCCACCCAGCCTCAATACCTCGGCATGACCAGGCCCCCCATCCCCCAAGAACTAACCGCCCTCAAACGCGATCTCCAACTATCCCACATCACCGCCGACGCCCTCCTCACCGCCGTACAGGACCTGGAAGAGAAACAGAGTAAACTCGAGACGGAGCTTCGGGAAGTGAAAGATGAGAGGGATGTGTTGAGGGAGGAGAATAAAGAGCTGAAGGGGAGGTTTGCGGTTTTGAAGGGTAGGATGAAGGGGATTGCTAGTGAGTGACAAGAGCGGGGCGGGGTGTGGGGTGCTCTGCTGATGTTTGGTGTAGAGGAGATGAATGGGCTGTTAAGGGAGCCCGTTCCGCCAGTCGTGAATTCACTAGACGAAGAAACAGAGGATTGTATGGAAGGCAAGCCAGCCGCTTCACAGACAGCAAAGTCTACACCTTCCAAGAAACGAGTGGTCGGAGTCGTTATAGGTAAGCCCCTACGGAGTCTCTACCTCGACAGCACTGATAATCCGGACCAGAATCGAGACCGAAAGCATCACCAGCCTTCTCCTCTTCATCCGACGTGCACCTAAAGCATGGAATAGCAACATCAACAGCAACAGACCCTTCACAACCTTTGCCGAGAGCGGGCAAGCTGGAAGGTATCGAGAGGAGACGGACGTCGGGAAAGCGATTCTTGGAGCAAATCGAACAAGACTCGGAATTGGATGCGAGGGAACGATCAGGAGGCAAGAAGAGCAAAGGTGATTGACCTCGCATCAAATGTGTTGGTCATACAGTAAGGAGCTGATTATTATGTCAGTTTTCGATTCAACGAGAAGCCGAAGTCTCAATCAAGCCTGTCTGTTAGAATCGTACAGTAAGGGTAGATTTACCCTGTAGCTTTTGTCAAAACGCTCATGTATGACTGTAGACAAAGCTATTGGCCGAGCCCGCGAGATGCGAGGGCAGTCGATAGCATCACCCGTTGGGCACATACAATGGAGACCGGAGGTAGCGGCCAAACGACACGTACGGTTGGTCATTTTACCAGGAGCTGGCGTAGAGGCGGACATGCTGCCTGCTTCCCAACAGAATACAATTCCGCAAATTCGAGCGGTGGCAAGTGCCATATCGAAGAATTTGGTGTATTTCGAGCCGATACCTTTGTCAGAGACGTTATCAGAGGAGGGATCAGATAATGGAGCGGACACGAAGGAGGCGGATGAGCTATATAAGAATGTGAAAATGACGGAAGAGAAAATGCTCAACAATGGATCACAGGCAGAGGGTTCGGTAGAGCTTGGTGAAAGTGCGAGCAGCGATGAAGAGATGTGAGAAGAGGCGACGTTGTGCTGGTGTCGTGAGAGTTTGTGTGCCCGAGACGATTATGACGATATGTTCCTTCACGCTCCTTGATGTCAAGTTCTTTGATGCATTGCGCCTTGATCTAACTCGCTATCACGGCTGTACGATTTTGATCTTGGAGAAGACTATATCTGCTGTTTGAGTGCCTTCTCGGCGTCTTCTTTGTCATTCTTGGGGAGTGGTACCACTTTGGGTACCGTCTCTGCATTGAACTTCCTCATCCACTACCATGCGCCCATGTCAGCACAGTAACATGGATAGAGAAGACAAAAAGGGAACGCACGTTCAACAGCGCAAAATCCGGGATATTCTCCTTCGGCCTATCCTGCAACCTCACAATCTTCCCCCCTTCCGCATCCTTACTCGAATATATCTCCAGCGTACTGTCCATAGTGACGCTCTTCAGCTTGGAAGGCAAGAGCGGGACTTTGAATTCAAAAATGTGTTTGATGGGGATGGAGATAAGGTCGGTGGAGAGGGTACGGCCGGTACCGTCTGTGGTGGAAGTGTTGGGGATGATTTGGGAGACGGTGTAGGATCGGGTGGTGGTGGATGATAACACAGTAGGCAGATGTAAAAGCTGGCCTCCTTCCGCCCCACTATCAGCACCTATGATCCACGGGTCCCGCCCACAGCGACGTACCAACTTCTTCCCGCGTCTTGCACGAGGCAAACAAGTCCTCATAAACAGCATCTTTGGTGAAGTTGTCGTCGAGCTTGGCTTTAGTACCCTTGGCTTGGAAGAGGTCGAGGACGACGCCAATGTGTTGGCGTTGGAGATCGGTTGGCTGTACGCCGGGGGAGAGGATAAGGGTGGAGGGGTCGTTGGTGAAAGAGTGGAGGGAGGAGGCTGTGACTGACATGTTCGAATAGTGTTTGGAGCGCAAGAGATGTACAATGGAAATAGATATACGATTAATATTATAGCTTGAAACCCATGGAGCGACGAGAAGATAACAAATCGTCATCGGACTGAGAATCGCCGCGGATCGCCGAGATCGTATTGTTTGGTTCTCCTCTGTTACATCAGGAACAGCGGCTTGTGCCGCCAGTTGTCCGCCTACTGCGTCGGTGCAACTCTGGACTTTGCTGTTGTTGGGTTCCACCTTCACCTGCTCGTCTGCACATCTTATCGCTCTACCAAGCCTATGGCTCCTTCATCCCAAGAAGAGGAGATCAAAATGCTCAAGCGTGCGCTGCGGGCTGAGCATTTCGAGGCTGAATGCAAGAGGCTGAATGAGCAATGCCTGGCGTTGCTGCTGGAGAAAGAGGGGTGGGAGAAGGAGAATGAGAGACTGAAGGAAGAGAGGGATGAATCAAAGGCGGATCTGTCTGAAATACTGGGCAAGCTCGTGTTAATCGCTGGTGAGCTGCCAGATTTGGTCACGCATGAGCTTCAGACTGACTGTGACCTGTCCGACTTTTCTCATGAATCGGAGATCTCACCTTATGCTCAAGTACCGCTTGGCGCACCGAAACAGCAAAAACGCTCAGTTGACCCCGACCATTTGGCCACGAAGCGGAGACGTACTTTGCGAGCGAACCCAACCTCGGTAAATGCAATGCATGGAAAAGTGCCCTTGCGTCAGACTTGTCATCTCCCAAAAGATGTCCGTCAAAGGAAAGGTTGACCTTCTCCAAACATCCGACGACGCCCAAAGTAGTATCGGGAGGCTCGCTGGGATTTCAACGAAGGGCCTCGAGACTTAGAGGGTAGTGCTGGACCGAGTTCTAGTCCCAAAAAGAAGGCGAGGAGTACTTCTCGATGGAAGAAGACGAGGAAGGGACGCCTCCGAGACTCAGAGTTCTCACCCTCCAGGAATCTCGCCTTCCCGTCTGAAGTACATGGCTAGAACCTCGAGTTGACAGCATGGAATGTACAAGTTCATCCCCTACTAGATCTGCTGTTTCCCAACCTGGAAGAACTTGATATCGATCGGCGCATTATTAGCCGGCACGTCAATCCCGTTTCCATACTTCTTGGTCTCCTCATTATACTCCCAATAGATCAACCCTTCTTGTTCCGTCGGCAGTTCGCTGGAAAATCGATATTTGAAAAAGGCAAGATCACCGCCGAAAAGAATCTGGTGCGCCCAGAATGCTGTACGGGCCCAGAAACTGATGAACGCACGAGTTTCCTGGACAATAGTCAGCAAGAGATATGGAGCAGGCAAGGGAGGAGATGTGTACAGTAGAGACCGGCTTTATTCTTGAGAACGATTTGACGGGATAGAGGAGGTCTTTGACGAGACTGTCGTCTCCAGCACATACACGCTCGAGAAGTCTGCCGTGCGATATCCGTTCTTCCGCCGACGACCATACACACCCATTCGCTTCCAAGGCGTCCTTCATCGCCTAGAGTTAAACGTCAGTTTTGGAGTTTGAGAGAACAAATGGAACTTACCTGGATAGCCTTGCGCCTGTCGAGCAGGAGCCAAGCCGCCATCAACATCTTCCTGGTCTCCTCCAGGTCACTTCGCATCCACTTGTTTGAATCCGCATACGTCGACATCAACTTTCTCTCCATCTGCATCCAAACTTTGACCCATTCTTTCCCCTTATTCCACGCGGACGGGGTGAACGTATCCATCTTTGCCGAGAGCACTGTGTGAAAGTCGGCTTTGAGTTTCGGGACGACTTCTTCAACGAGCCGGAAGCGGAGGTCGTATTCTGTCTTAGCGTCGGATAGGCAGAGGGAGCAGGAGCATTTGAAGCCTTTTTCAAAAGCGACTTCGGAGCGGGGGGTGTATGTGAGGGAGTAGTCGAATTTGTTTGAGCAGAGCTCGGTGCCCTTGGGCATGTTGTAGAGTGCGCGCACAACGGCAACCTGCAGCCAAATTAGCTGGAGTAATAGCAAGAAAAGGAAGAAAATCACATCGCCCCAGAGTTTCATCGACACGTTCGGCCGGCAAGAATGCACTATCACGCTCGGCATCCCAAACACCATCAACGGCCACTCCTTGCTCTCCTCATTCGTTCTGCTCCGCGGTATCACCGTCGCCTTGAGGGAAACAGGCGAATCGTGCACCTTGAAATCCCTAATCACATTCCCAATCCGCCTCAAGTCAATGTCCGACACCGGCTTGAACAGTTCTTCCAGTCGCTTGGATTCCGTACACTGCCAAGTCGGGAGTATGGAGAGATCGCCGTATTCGTAGTAATTACGGGAAGAGAAGATCTGGGCCGTGAAGGGGTCGTCGAGATATTGGTGTACGGCACGGGAGATGGCAGAGTAGGAGGAGGGTTTGATGTAGTCTTCGTTGAGGTGGTCTATGCAGGGAGTGATTGCGTTGCCGGCATCGCCCGAATACGACGTCAAAAGCGATTTGGAAACGAGAAGCAGTTCGCCAGCTCGGACAGCCCGGGTTGAAACGAGACCCCGGGCGTTCCTTTTCGGAATGATGCGGACGTCGACGGGGCCTTGGTAGTCGGCAGCGTCGATACAAGGGGCATTGGTACGCTGGACATCTTGCAAGATGGACGTCCAGTTGTAGTGCCCATACTGCCTCTCAATCTTTCTCGTCTCCAGCTTGGCCTTCATAGCTGTCAAAGGCTCAAGGACTTCAGAGTAGACGTGACACTTGTCGAGGAGTCTTTCGGCAGTAGACCAGAGACGGAGGCCGTACGCTGCGTTGGCCATCCGCCAGTACAGCTTGGCCAGTTGCGCGTATGTAGCCGGCGCATCCGGATCGCACACAAACCTCTCGGCGTGGACACAATCTCTGTAGGCGGTACCGTAGAGTTTCTGGTCGAGGTGGGCTTGGGCTCGATTGAGATAGAGAGTCAACTGTCGGCTAGGGTTCGAGGTGACTTCGGGGTATCTGAGAGCGGTGGTATAGTGTTTGGCCGCGATGATGGGGTTTTTTGCTTTTAAAGCCTTGTTTCCCAAGTCCTTCACTTCCTCCCAAGTCAACTCATGGATCGGTGCCGCCGGCGCCACGCCCTTGAAAATTTGCGCTAGAGGGTGAGAGCGATGCAGCTCCTGTATATCCGTGGGCACATCGACGATGATGACATAGCCTCCCCTCATCCCTGTTCGGACATCGGGTTCGCGAATAGCGAGGACAGCGCCGACAGGGTAGATTTCTTGCAGGGTGGAGCGGAGGTTGAGGGCGTAGCAGGGGGTGGCGGTGGGGAATTTGACTTCGACGGGGAGGACACGGCCTTGGGGATCTTCTACTTGACTACGAGGGGTCTCAGTGTCTGCTGGACATTGAGACAGATCCACTCACAAGACGATGCCATCCTCGACTTTTGCTTTCGTCAACACTCGGCAGACGTAGACACAATCTGCAACAGACAATCAGCTGACTGTCAGAAGAAAACCGCTCAGACTCACCGAGGTGCTTGTCAGGACATTTTAGAGATGTCGTCTCCACTAGCTTCAAACTTTCTAGCTTGCGGGTGGAGCACATAGCTACTTCATCCAGGGTGACGATCCTGACCTTCATGCCCTCCTTGTCCCACGAGAACTCGTCCTGGCGGAATGATTTGTCCCAGTTCAAGGCGGCTGAGCGTGTCGGAATGCGCTTCTTTTCCAGACACCGTGGTGTTTCGGCCTCATTCGTCTGTCTATGCCGTCAGTCCTCCATTTACCTCGTTGATCTAATCGCGCGTCATGCCCTTCGCGATCCACTCCACGAAGATAGACCAGTCACTGCGGAAAGTAAACTCACCGCTGCGACCAACAGGGCATTCTGCAACGCCTTGACGATACGATCCTCAGCCAGATAGTGATCTTCGTTGTCGTTGTGGGGCGTCCTGCAAGTACACATGAAGAGGCCATCTTTGACTGTCCACAGTGCGTCGGAAAGCAGGGATGGGCTGACAGTACTGGGGCCAGACCAAGCCGTGGAGATGCGAAGGGTCTGGGCGACTTTGTTGGTCTTTGTTTTCCAGGTTTCGGATGGGATTTCCATGGCGGTGGGATGCTTTCGACGAGCAGGAGATGGAGAAGCTGGCGTCTGTGTTGTCGGTTGCAATTGATGCCAACTTTCGAAGAGAGAAAGCGGAAAAGAGTGCAGACTGGACGCGCGACGCGGGCAATGATCGTTCGGGACACCCCGACGAGATGGTGACTGGTGTTGGTCTTGCACAGTTGCAAGTTGTAATTGTTGATGGGTCATGCCTGGGAACCGATCCATGGCAGAAATACAGCCCAGTCACTAGTAAAAAAAAAAAAAAAAAAAAAACCCCTCTGGCTGATAGCGCCACAGTGGTTCCGTCCAGATCTCTGTCTGGGCTCCGCCGTGCGCCTGAGCGCCCGTGCCGGGTGTTCTTTCTGTTGTAGAATTGTATGTGTTCTCCATCCATGTTGCATTACGACTTTCTACCTTTCTAACCAGCTGGTGCACAGTGGAACATATTCCTGTTGCCAATTCCGGGCCTCGATCAGTCGCACGGCGGCACCCATCTCATCCAATGCATCATTCAACGTGTCAATCACGACATTAGCTCTGAGGGAAGGGATTGTCAGTCATTGTGGTGTCGTAAAAGTACACCACCTGCCCATTCAGCTGAGGATAAGCCACGGAAATCTCTAATCACTCACATAGCTGTGGGCACTGCTTGCAGCGTGCAATCAACCCTATCGCGATTGCAAAGCCGGCTCCATTCGGTAGGCTGTATATCCTCAGTGGGTCCGACGCGTAAGATATGACCTTCCAAGCTGTTCAGGGTGTCCGTAGCATACACTTGTGTAGCGAGTAAAGGTTATAATACGGATGAGGGACGACCGGGCTGCCTGAAGCCTACATGCCGCCACCTGTCAGTCATAATACTTGCACTCTTGCACTCAATCTTATTCTAGACCTGCCCTGGTAGTAGCCAGTTGTTATGGGCCAAGAGTTCCAACTTATTCTGCTTCAACGTGGCAGGCCTCAGCCCCATATTCGGCCTCATTGTCTCACACAAAATGGTCGACATTGACGATTGGAAGGATCTCCCCGATAACGGTCATTTCAGAGTTCATGTTCTCCCAGGATATACTAATTTCAAGAACGGTTTAAAGTATATAATGGATATCAAAATCTATCCAAAATTTGTTGTAATCCGCCTTCGGCGTACTGGGGACCATCAAGATGGTCTCCATGTAGGACGCCACCGGTCTTGTCTTTGATTTCTGACGTTGAAAATTTCTTCTTGAACGTACCGTACGAGTATCTGTTGTCTGACCAAAAGAAGGGACTGGCTTGTTATGAGGATAATGCTGGTCACTACTACTGTACGAGTACTCTACTCGTACTGTACTATCCTCAACAAGCGGGTTTATGATAATATATTGGCAACCAAGGCGTCGAGCGCTCTTAACCCGAGAATACTTGTGACTGCGGCGGTAGATGATGCTTGGTCCACTCCGTTGAACTCCTTTGATGCAGCAGACGAGCGACGTTGTGCCAACCTCTTCCAGAGGCCGAAAAACACTTGTGCCATTCCAAGGTGCCCAGCTCACAAAGATGGATGACTTCAATCGGAAACAGGAGGTGTCAGATTATGCCGTGGGTCGAAGCAACGAAAAGCATCTGCTGCAATTACTCTGTTGTGGATGACAGTACTCTTCCTCTCTGTTCGCTTTTTGACATAAGATATTGCTCACACGGTTCACACCCTCAGCTCGCATTGCTAGCGATGATGATGGCTTGGATGTGACCGAAGAGCCAGCAGGATTGCAACAACAAAGACACGGCGACATCACCGTCACTTCATGTAATCATCGCCCAAATAATCATTGCTGCGTGCTGCTCATCATGACTATACTCGTACTCGTACTCTACTTATGGCCGAAAGACCAGGATCTTGACAGTGCTCTAGCAGCTTTCCAAGCTGGCTCTGATCTTAACATTTCTTGACTCAACCCACGCTCCAAACCACAATTTCATTTGCAATGCACTCTAGCCTTTAGCACGGGACTTACATCATGTTTGGGATAGTGCGTGGCGACGACCATATCAGCAGATCGAGTTATCATTTCCCGAGCAGTCCTCGCTCATACTGCTGCATAGTAGACCTCAATTGTCTACTACTTTACGACTACGTATGACTCTTCCAGACTGAGCAAAATCCTCTCTAGCCTCGCACACCGATCAAGTCAGTCATGCTCGAGATCCTCCTCCCAGCTATTAGGCCTCTGCCTTAGGAAGGTCATCGATCATGTAGTCAGTTCTGCCAAAGACATTCAGCCAGCTTTTGTATACCCCAATAAAGACACTGTGAAGCACAGGAAAATCTACTCACAGCTCGGTCGGCACTTTGTGAAGGGTACAGTCTGGCTCGTCGTCGCAGACACAGAGTTGGCTCCAGTCAGTAATTTCTTCCACCTTCATCCCGCTAGCATTGAATGTTTTGGCTGCCCAAGTCTGTTCACCATCTGCCGACTCTGCGGCACGTACGCTTGTGAAGCGAGTTATCTCTTTGATTTTGAGTGCCGAAACATCTACACCGCTCACTCTACAAGTCATATTTGGTCAGTCACAGCGCGGTGTTCATGATGATCAGTGGCGGCAGCTTGTTGCGAGACCGTCCGATACAACCTTCACTTACGCTGCTTCAGTTTGCTTGGCGGAAGTACCCATATCGGCGGCTGTGTCGTGTACATAGTGGTAGACTGGGTCGAGTTCATGAGTATCGCCGTCCTCGGTGAGTTCCAATGTCACCTTCTCCCACGGGCCAAGGGCGAAATGGGACCAATGGGCGGTCTGAGAAACCTCGCCGGTCCTGTCCTGAACTTCTGACATTCTGAATTTGATATTTGGGGGGCTTGAAGGCTGGAGTGTGATGAGATGATTTATCAAGCTGTGTAGGACGACGGGACTGAACGTACGATTTATATACCCTGCCGAACGGGTGGACTGTGCTTCTGAGATACTCTTGTCCTATTTCTGTCGCCCTCTACTCAGGCAGAGCGGCACTTGGTGCCGAGCTATAGATAGTGACTCTCTTCTATACTCGTACAACATGCATTTAACATCCTATGATTATCTCGAAGGAAAAGCGGATCAACCCGAAACATCCTTCTGATCGGACTCGCAATCTGATCCCTCTCCGCACAACTACTGTACCTGTGCTATTCTGAGGCGAGATACAAGTATACACGTTTTGGTGATGGGCTCCGGTAATGATTACGAGCCCGGCATCAAGGCTCTATATCTGGCCCTCTGACTTACCGTGTCGATGAAAGGAGATGTCTAAATCAGAGCTATCCTGAGCGTAGCCGCTACTATTCATGGACGCTTTTTCCCTTGCGTGCGGTTGCGACCTCGGCATCTGTACATGTGCTTCGGTCCGCCAGAATAGATCCGGGGAAGGACCGGAACCATAACAACGGACGGTAGTAAGTCATTCCACGGTGATTGCTGTTCGTTGTCAGAAAAGTGATGGCAGAACAAGCTAGCGCATCACATCCCGCTCGATCATCAACACTTTCCCCTCGAATGGATCTGGCCGAAGACCATGCTCAAGGAGAAGAGTCGAGTCTTGTACAGCCTTCCTCCAGTCTTCGTGTACCTGTTCTATACGAGGGACAGGGAACCCAGCGGAAGTTGGATTGGTACTCAGAGTCGTAATTTGTGCTGCGCAAAGGGCGGCGATTCTTTGCTCGCGTGCTCCATACTCATAGGATACCACCTCATTGTCCATATGTCCAAGGAGCGGTGTTTCTTTTCTCATGTGCTCCGATTATACACATAGGATACGACCTCATTATCTATATGTCATATCACATACGAAGAGCCGCTGTTCATTTGGGCAAAGGGCATGATCAGCTCGGAGTCTGTACAACGCGGCTGTTCAGAGTTCCCAAACAGCCATCGTTGCAGCAGCACATAAAGTATCATACTACGCTGCATGTTACATGTGTCTACACGACGGCTTTCCACCATATCAGCATCTCTTGAGTTCTCTTTGAACATCCTAAGACCCAGCATGTTATGCATATCACATTTCGCCAACCGAACTATCTCGGGAAATGTCTTCGATGATGACTCAGCTCTGCAGAAAAGGACATCCATAAAGCCAGGGTCACTCTCTCTTTCAATCACTCCGATGGTAGTAACTGTACAGCACTGCCCGATCGTCACTCACAATTCCGTAGACACTAGTCGAAGAGTGCAATCTGGCTTTTCATAGATGCAGAGCTGGCTCCAGTTGGTAATCTTGATCTCTTCAGGAGCGCCGGAAGCATAAGACAGTGCTTTCCAAGTCTGCTGTTCGTCTTCAGTGCCGGGTACGCTCTCGTAGCGAGTAAGACTGGTGATACTCACAGCAGACTCATCTACGCCGTGAATCCTGGTCAAGTCTGGCCAGTCACAAATATTCTATGTTGCAGTGTGATGACGTGATGAAGACAGTCTCGCTCTGATCTGTAATCGTAATCGATCCCTTCTACTCACTCTGCTTCAGACTTCCGAGCATCATCACCAGGCTTGGCATACTTGTCATCGACAAAGTGGTAGATTGCGTTATCTGTATAGGGCTCTTCCCCCTTCATGCTGATCTCAAAGTTCAGCTTAGGGGCCGTAGACGTGAAGTACTTGGAATTGTGGCGTGCACTCTTCATCATGTCACCTATCTGCATATTACTCTTTACCATGTCTGGGAGAATAATGTCGCGCCGTATACCACTATGCTGCCAGAATGAAGCAGCTGCAATGTCAACCAGACCATAGCCATCTACAAAGTAGAAGATGTCATATGCACGAGGGACAAAACACCACAATAGTACGTAGGTTACGCGCGACAAGGTTATCTCGAGATACAAATCAGATCTTGAGAAAAGGGAAGATGTTTGTTAACTTCCCATCGCTCTACAAGTCTTCGACAGTGGCCTGGTGGGGATTTATTCCTTGTGCCTCACTTGCCTCACTGCTACGGTCCGGGAATACAGCCGTACCGTTTGAAGGTTTATCATCTTCGGAAGCCTTGCTGACATCAGCGTGTGACCAGCCGAAGTTCTCTTTCAGGAACGTCTCTCCGACGTCTGTTTCAAACTCGGCTGGATTCTCTCTCATCAGATCTCCTACAATCACGAGGGCGCTTGTGACATTGAAGTCAGTCAGAGCCGAGGCGAGCACCACCAATAACGGAGGCGACGAGTACTCACAGTTCGCTCGGAACACTGCTATTGGGGCACTTTGCGTCCATGGACTCGTAGTAATCATGGTAGGAGCAGAGGCTAGCGCCTGGAGGTGGGGATGTCTCGTTATCGAGCAAATCAGTAAGGTGTGAACAAAGACTGACTCTCTTGCCACTGGGACGCATCTCGTTGTTAATCACAGTCTCGTCCCAGCGGCCTTCTTTCGAGTTTGCTTCGTACTCAATCATCAATTGTGCTTTGACGTCGCTAGCCGATATTCCGAGTCGTCTGAAGCATTATGCTGTCAGTTTCGATACTGATTTGGCACTAGTGGTGTCTCGACAACTTACTCGGCCACCCCCTTGTGATACTCTTCTGGTGCTATAGAGGCGTCACTGGTAAAGTCAACTCCAGGACCAAAGTTCTCCACGGACAGTTCATAACGCCTCCAAAAGTGTGCGGTACCTTCTGATTGGACGGATGATGATTTGCCAGACATGGTTGGGCTATAACAGGAATGGGTGGTTGAGATGGGTTGTGGCATCGATGATCCTGGAACCGCATTCTTATAGCCCGACCGAGCTACCTTCCTTACATTTTGGCATGTATCCGATTCTCACAATTTGTTTTAATTCTCAGCCCGACCGCTCAAAGGACCATTCATGATATGATGTACGAGGCTCACAAGGATACCCGCGAGTGTCGGAGTATGTTCACAAGTAAATGACCGTCTGTCTGTTTGTGGCTAATATGCAGAGTACAATGCGATACTGCTTTTGGCACCATAAACACCTGCTGCAAGGTGACGTGTAAACGCCACCGCCGCCAAGCTGAGTGCAATGTCTCGAAACGTCCCCCTGGTATTCTTCTCACAATATGGCGCGAAAACAACTTGCCTTCCTTTCAATGACTGTCTGAACTCCTCACCGTATAGACTGCTTGATTTTTTTTTTGAACATATGATCCTCCACTTTGAGGTACGCAATGCCCCATCACAATATTAGTGATACTTCATTGTTGTGATCAGATTTGTCTAAATTCCCGTCTGCTACGTAAGAGACAGCACCCAAGTACGGCATGCATGAAGACAATCCACTATTGGTGACTTCGACGTTACATACTAGAGCTCGAGGATATTCATGAAGTCGTCTTGTTCACTCCCCATCCATCGTCCGGAGTGTTCTCTGCGCTGGCGCGGTAGAGACTTCTCCCTCGGGCTACGCTGTCACGGTCCGGGACTGTAAAATTTCCCTCCGTAGAAGACGGCTTGTTGTTGATAGAGGCTCATATTACAGTACGTAGTGGCAGTGTCGACATAGCTCCTCTTTCGTTCCTTACCAATGTCGTCATGCAAGGCGATAACGGGCTGGTAGTAGGCTGTATCATCACCTAAACTCAGACAGCTGTCAGTTTGGCTGGTGGCTGCACTGTTCATTTATAAAGCTCAGTGTTCGGAGATCGAATATACAACAGGTACTGCTGTCATGCTCTGATAGATGAGGCAAGAAAGACGACTCCGCTCGGAGAGGCTTCCTCAATGAGTAGCCAACCTTTGTCTCGAAACGAGCGAAATCAGCAGCACACGAGGTCATAATCTCAAGTCAAATGCACTTCGGTATGTTATAAGAAGAGGTAAGCATTGAACCTTTCTGTTCCCATCAACTACCCGAAGGTAAAAAAAACCATCATGATGTTGATGAGCTCTCAACGACAAGGGGACCTGGAGGAGGAGGAAGACTCTCAAGACGAAATCGAACCCACCCTGGAGTCTATCGATTACATCGATGAAGAAGGTACCTGCTACCGTCTCGTCCCTGAAGAAATTGTATGTGCTCAATGTAAACAGCGTAAAACCATTTCTTACTGACGTCAGCCATCCCGCCCTCGTAGCTTGTAAATATGCAGACCGGTGGTGAAGAAGGTCGCTATACAGGCCGTCCGACAGGATCGAATACTCTGTATTATGAAAAGGTACGCGCACCGCCTATCAAGTGGTATGACGCCGTGAGGTCGAAAGCCCTCACGATGTCGGACAGGACCAGTGAGCTTGAGAAAGAAAGAGTTCGCGCAATCAGTAAGTCAATCAACTCAACAACTTTTCTCCTTACCATGTCATGTCATGCCAAGAGCGGACATTGCGATGTTAGCATCCATCACTTTTAATTGGGAAAGAAGTATTAGACACAAAGTGGGGATCTGCAGGATGTATGCTGAGCCAATCGTTACTGCAGACAGAGGTCGCAAGAGGAAATCCAGGTCCAACATCACGCAAAATCTGCAGACTGACGAGGGGTCGCAACAGGCAGACGCAGCAGAAGAGCCCATCGACGCAGTCTCCGAAAAGTCTATGTCAGAACGCATCATTCCTTCGGGGCAGCAGGATGGTGGGTGCTATAACAACGAAATGTCCAGAGAAGAGCGCAATCAATATCACGGTGATCTTGGGATCGCCCCACAACAACAGCTGCTTCAATATGATTATTCCGGATCTGGGATTGCATATCAACAGGCCCATCATGGGTACTATTTTGGACCGGGGCCATCCTTTCAGCAGCAATTTTATGACACCGACAGCACAACAATGGTTGCCCAACAACACCCTCCTTCGTCAGCCAACAACGACACAGGAATGGACGAAAACGCCGTGTTCGATGAGATATGGCGAGAAATTTGGGAGCAGCAGCATGAACATCAACCATCCTTTCAGCAGCAATCTCATTCCACCGACAGCACAACAATGGTTGCCCAACAACAACCTCCCTCGTCAGCCAACAATGACACAGGAATGGACGAAAACGCCGTGTTTGATGAGATGTGGCAAGAAAGTTGGGAGCAGCAGCATCAACAGCAACCACATTAGTCTCATAGATAGAATCATTGATGCAGACAGAAATAACATTACCACCCTGGTTGGGTGTCATGGTATTGACCTCATTATGCTAGGCTTTCTCGGGCATGTCGACGCCCTATTCTTATATCATCTTGGTGGTGGAAGTATCTTCAAGGCGTATCTTTGTTAACGATGATTGCCGCTGTAATAGTAGGAGGGGGAGTAGATTCCGTAAGCGACCGTACTCCACGAAGGCTGTAGGAGGTCGACAAATGGTTGTGAACAACAATTGGCTAACGTGGTGGTGTGAGAGCTGCTGCATGGTCCGCTTCCTACTTCATGCGCCACGCGAGGTTCAATGTTCATCATGCCAAGCTGTCCTCTATGAGTTTGGCACTATATCAAGGATCTGCCCCATGCGCTTGATAGTCGTTTTAGACAGATGCACTTCAACAAATCAAGAAAAGAAATGATGGTAGATACCTCCTCGGAGGTCTTGCTGAGCGGCATAATAATAGATGACATCTGCATTGGTGAAAAGCTGTGACTGTCGACGCCAACAAGTTTAAGGGCTCGAATGCCACGGCCGTGGCGATGTTGCTGGGGATGTAACTGGCTGTGGAGTATTCGAATACATGATCACTGAGAAGACGTCCTGATAGTGCCCTACTAGCTATAGCTATAACACAGTGTCGCGCTGGAGATGAAGTATGAAGTATGAGGCAGCACTTCGCCAGCAAGTATTTATGGCCAGCCGTCGTGAGCGTCTTCTACGGTAGCCTGGTACAGGCGCGACTTCAAAGCCTTGTTGGAGTCTTCCCCCGACCAGCTGAAGGCATCTTTCAAGAATTTCTCCCCAACATTCATGTGTAGACTGTCCGGTGAGTCTCCTCCTAGTAAGTCTACAACGATCGTTTGGATACTTGAGCCATTACGGTCAGCCCGTATAATAGTCTCCAGCTTTTCAAGAAGGCCGTTCCACTCACAGTTCGCTTGGACATCATCATTGGGGCACTTGAAGTCTCTGGTCTCGTAATCAGAGTGATCGGCGCAGAGGCTTCTGGCAGATCCGGGTGGTTGATGTTCCCCGGCATTTGCGACAACCTCATTATAGTATGAGCAGAGACTGAAGCTCTTACCGCTGGGTCGCACCCCATCATCAATGACCTTCTCATCCCATCGACCCTTCTGAAAGTTTGCAATGTACTCTACAGTCAGCCTTACAGAGACGTCTTCAGGTGTGACTTCCAACTTCCTATGGGTGGGCGTCAACTCAAGTCGCTATCTCTTCCAGTGATCCCAAAACATACTCGGCCAGCTGATGACGATACTCGTCGTCCGTCAAGGTTTCATCGCTCGAGAAACAAACCCCTGCTCCGACCTCGGGGGCGGTCACTTCATAACGCCTCCAGAATTGAGGCACATCTTCGTCCGAGTGATTTGATGACGTGTCGGACATTGTTGTTGATCTATGAGGGAGCTTGTTACTCGGCACGGGGTTGCGACGCTGTTATATCGTTGAATCTTCTGGGCTGTGTTCCATACATGACACACACGAGACAAAGGGCTCCTTAAATACGACAGTTGTCAGCTCCAACCGTTGATGGGAGCTATTATCGATAAAATTCCTTCGTACTGCGCTGCGCATGCGCAACTCATCAGGCGAGACGGCTCTTGGCAATTCGATACTCCGGCATTTCAGTGCAGCTTTCAATCGAGGTAGCTTGGTAATTTTGGCACATGAATCTCACAGGAGTGACAGTAACGTCTTCCTTTTTTGCGTCGGCGCTACTGATCAAACTCAACCCGCCGGCCCCCCAACGGAATGGTAAATCTCGCTCTCCGAAATAGCGCTTTGCATCCTCGAAAAGAGCTCATGTGATTACTCCACGCCCATCTATAGCTTGCACTGTACTATACATCCTACAAACCTGATGGACTCAAGCCGCGATGATGTGTCTATAGATAATGCATGTGGCAAAACGGTATGAGCTCGCAGGAAGAAGTGGCACCGCAACAGTCTCAGCATGTCATATCTGTGTCCGTTCATCATTTTCACCATTCATTCATCAGTTCCGACAGCCCTATGCAGCGATTCAGCACTAGCACAGACATCAGCATCAGTGTCCCTCGAATCCGACGACAGTATCATCATGCAGTGTGAATAGCAAAAGACACTCACATCTCAGTCGGCACATCCGCAAGCGTACACCCCGGATTAGGACAATCACAAAGCCTGCTTCTCGCCACCTCCTCCGCACCCTCCCCTCGCTGGTCCGGGGAGAATGTTTCTATATGCCATGAACGTAAAGCTGGGTAGGGTGTGTATCGGGCGAGGGCGCTGGCGTATACGTCATCTGGTGAGACTTCATGCACGCTTATACATCATTGTCAGCAGACTCGAAGAAGTGGAGAGGAGGACGAACTCGGCAGCATTGTCTCTTGCAGCATTATCCGGATCATCTCGATACCCCACTGTCGAAAAGATGACTTCTGATTCGATATCGAACGTCCCATCTGGTTTGTTCACGATAATGTCGGCTTTCTCCCAAGGTAATGTAGTGAAAAGGGAGTGATGGTGGCCAGCAGGTCGGGGCTCGCAAAGTTCAGTGTTGTGCAAGGTATCCGTGTTTATTGAGTTGACCAATTCTCTCGCTCTTGCACTGACGTAAGCGTCTGAATTATGAAAGCAGATCGAAAACTGATTGGAAGGATCAAATGGACTTACAGCTCTGCTGGGACACTTTGGAGCACGCATTCCGGCTGATCGCATTCACACAGACGATTCCACAATCCTGATAAAGGATGGGGTCCGCCAAGCTGGCTGAATTCGGCAATGTCCCAGGTACGCAGTTCCGGGTTGGGGGTATACCGGGACAATAAGGTATAGCTCACTGCTGACGGGTCTACATCATGGATACTATAATCAGTTCCATCAGCTTCCATGTATTCCTCCATTACTGGCGTTTTGATTAGCAAGGGTCAACAAAGAACTTACATGGCATTGTGTTCTTGAATCCCAGTCGCAGGAGGGGCGGATTGCAGACCTACGCCTTTGAAATTGAAAACATCATACTCGTAATGGGGTGCATCTTCGCCCTTATCGATGGCCAGATGCATTCGCTCCCAAGGGCCGAAAGCGAATGATAACCCATGACCGCCTGCTCGGACGCTGTAAGAGGTGAGAAGGACATCCTGATAGTGCTCATCGGTCCAGTCGGTCCAGGGATCAGACATTCTCGGTGCAGTCAGATATTTGTTTGAAGATAGAATGTGCAAGACACGCGCTTTGGAAATATCAAGGTCCTCTTTCCGGACGCTATTTCCGCCGCCGACGCTGGATGAAGATTACTCTTTTCATCTTTACCATTCGGGGTTTACCGTCACCATTCGGGGTTTGCCATTCGGGGTTGAGGCAAGGTCATGCATGAAGGTATGAAGATTCAAGTCACATCATTATCCATCAGGTATATCCTCTAGAGACCGATGAGGAAATGATGTCTCAAGAAGCTGGTGCTGTGGAAAGATCAACCATGTTGGGTGACGGGACAGACAAAAGGGCGGCGAGATCCGCTTACCCACGTGGCACGCGAAGCGGGCGTTCCGTCAGCCTTGTTCGTTGTTCTCTATCTTTGAGCATTTATCTTTTTCGTTTTCGGCTGTCTATACGCCTGCAACATCCAGTATTCCAAGTGGAATTACGACGCCTGTCGCCCGTCGCCCGTCGCCACTCTCAACTCGGCCTACCACCCCCGCCTTGGTTCGCGACAAAGGACCGACCGAGGGACTGAGCGCCGACAACGATCATGGCTACGCATGTCCCAGACTCTGGCCCATTGGACGAGTACTTCAAAGGTGAGTTTTGAATCTCGTAACTGGTCCAAAGACCCTCTTGTTACATCTTGCATCTTGCAATTTGTCGGCGGCCGGACGAATACGATATGTCGCGTCGCGAAAAGTGGAATGCACAGGGAGCTGATTACTTGTATAGATGAGCTCGAGAACAACCAGAACTCAAGCCAATCGCTAGAGGGAGAATTTGGAGCACTAGAGCCTGTGTCTGAAGATGCAGAGGAACAAAATCCAGGGCGCTCAGTGAGTCTCCCGCGTAAACACAATATGCGCAGCAACTGACATTCACCTACAGCTACACAAATCACACTCTATTCTCACTCTGGCAATGAATGACTCTATGCCTTCACCATCACATATCCCTGGGCTGTTTCCAATACCAGAATCAGCGCCAGACTCTTTCGCCGAGCAGTTCAAGTACCTCATCTGCTCGTCCGGTCTGCTGGAGAAGGACTATGTGCTCGGTGTCAGCGGTGAAGTATCGGAGGCTGATGCGGGGTCGGAAAAGTTGGAGCTGTGGATAAAAGCTAGGCAGGTTGTTGAAGTGGCGAAAGAGAGGCTTGATTTGGTGGCCGCTGGGGCGTGCTTGATAGTCGGTTTGACGGTGGTTTTGGGAGTCTGGGTATTCGCAGCGATACTCCTCCTTGGTGGGTTAGCAGCGACTGGCTATAAGAGATATGAGAAGGGGTCAGGTTCAGTAAGTGCCTCTCGCCTCTCATTTCATTGCATCTGACATCCCTATAGATATCAGCACCTCTGACCCCCTCGCCGTCGTCTACCCCAAAAGCCCAAGCGCTTGCATCTTTGACCACTTTCCTTACCCAATCCCACACCCTCAACAGCACTCTGGCTGCATCGCTAGGCTTACTACAGTCCGAGCCCAACTCTCGCACTTCGCATCAAGAGCTCCGCGTGACTCTACATCGTCTGACAGACAACATGACGGATTACATTGCGACAGCGACCTCAAGCTTGCTGGAAATGGCAGACAAGAGCGAATTGGCAGTGCTTGGGGAGATGTACGATATCCCCGTCGTTGGGAGCTTCTTCTACTCCCGAAGGCGAGGACAAGAGATATCGTCGAGCGAGGACGAGTTTCGCGAGCAGTCCGTTCCTTCCCCAAGACGCTATTCATCTCTCCGACCCCTCTCCACCCCTTCCCCGCGGCGCACAGCCATCCCCCAATTCTCCTCCCAATCCTTCCCCCGCCGGCACACAAACAACCTCTCCATCATGTCCCTCCCCGCCGACCCGAACGACCGCTTTACCCAGATCCCCGAACGTACCCCGCGCCTATCCAAGCGCGCGAGCTATGATCGGCTGTCAAGTCGTCGTTCGTGGGGCAGCCAGAGCGCGGCGATGATGTATGAGAGGCGGATATCGGAGGATGGGACAGGAGGGGAGGAGGGGGATGGAAATTTTGGATCGGGCGAGTCGAGTGAGGAGGGGGATAGGACAATGTTGAGGGCTTTTAAGGGTGGGCGGTTGCCGGATTCGTCGACGTCGCCAGAGGTGGAAGGGCTTAGGTCACCGACGATGCCCGTCACGCCACTGTCCAAACTTCGGCCTGCTGCGTCCCCTTTTCGACATATCCCTTCTCCGCTCTCACGCAAGCCTGCTCATCTCGGTGAGGGTGGCATGAAACCCCTTCGCACAGCGCCACTTGCTACACAAACCGGCAGCTCATCCCTCCTCCCTTCCCCATTCGAAACGGACATCTTCCCCACCTCTGCTTCTGCTTCTGCCTCGCCTCGTCCAACGGAGCCCTTCACCCGAGCCTTCCAGAACGAAACCGACCCGGGCAAGAAGAGACGCAGTCTACAGAACATGCCTTATATATCTTCCGACGACGATCGGCCAGGGGCGGATTTGACAAGGACGAGGAGTATGCCGATTTCTGATCTGCAGGCTTTGCGAGAGGCAAGGGCGGTTGTAGGGGATAGCTCGAGGAGGTCGTCCCTCTATCCGAGTAACTCGGGGTCAGCGTCGACTGGGCTAGGACTTGGGTTGCCGTCAACCTACCCTCCTGATAAGAGATCGTCTTTGATCTCGGTCCCTTCTCCCCTCACCCGAGCGCCTATACAACGGCATAATTCTGTATCACCCCTCACCACCCCCGCTCTCACTGCTTCAGCCCTTGGTATCCACCTGAAACGACGCCGGATGGCGTGCTGCCTTCTCGGACTCCGTTTTGTCGAGACGGAAGGAAGATATTGGGAAGAAGTGAGGGATGAGCTGGATGAGTTGGTGAGAAGGATGAATGAAGAGAGGGAGAATGTGCAGGAGGTGTTGAGGAAGGTTATGAAAGAGCTGGCTGTGCGCGAAACGCTGGATGATCTTGTTTTGGGTCAAGACAAGGGGGCGGCGCAAATGGGCCAGTCGCCTGTCCGTTCTTCATTCCCTATCACCTCGACCTTTTTGGACTCGCAAAGAGATTTCGCCCCTCGGACGAGCAACGAACAGAAGCTCGGGGAGAGTGTGGAAAAGATGATGGAGAGTATGGTCCGCGCTTGGGGAGAACTCGCTTCTATCAAAAAAGACCTAAGTGAGCAAGAGGAGGATGGACCAAAGATGGAAAGGTGGCTGAAAGTCAGGGAGAGATTGGGCGATGCTGTGCGTGAGTGGGAACGGGGCAAAGAGGTCATCTCGGACATGTCTCAGAAGAGCAAGAATGGGGAGGAGAACGATCCGCGAGAAGCCGACCACCCTGCCGACCTGCCCGAATTCACTCGCTCGTGGGATACGTCTCAGACCTCTCGGAGCGTTTCGCTAGAGACGGACAGACAGTCGTTCAATGACAAAGTCCGGCTTGCCGAGTATCCTTCCAACTCACCCTCCCCAGATGGGCTTGAACCTCTTCTGGAAGACCTTCCTCCTGCGGGGATCGATACCGTTTTTGAAGATATTTCGGTGCCGCCATTGTCAAAATCCAAGGCTTTGCTCAATGCCATGTCGAGGGAAGAACGGATAGCGCTGGTTAAGCAAGCTCGGGAAGGAGGGGTGAAGGTTGAAGATCTACTGGGAGTTGGGCTCGGACAAGGAGAGAAGGTAGGGGAGGATGTGAGGATGAGGGGTGGGGAGGTTGTGAATGAGCTGGAAGGGGTGATTGATGCGATACGGCGGATGAAACAACCAGCCGCTGATCGGTCAACCGAGAGGGAGGGAGAGAAGGAGGATGGAGAAATTTCACGGTCGTCTGCGCGTGCGCCTTCTCGCCCTCTTCCTCCTCCTCCGCAATCTGCCCCGTCATCCCCTTCTCATCCTTCCAACCCCTCTCTACCTTCTTCACACCCGCATCTCGAATTCGATCTAGCCGAGCTTAGGAAGAGCTTTAGGGCACCAACGCTCGAGGCGGAGGTGGGGCGCGAGGATCATGTGTTGGGTTAATCTTCTGGGTCTCTGGACAATCATCTGTTCTGTGGTGTTTTCACGTTGCATTATTCCGTATACGGGTGGATTTGCATATAGTGTTTAGGGACGATTAGTTAACGTACTGCTATGAATAAACGTTATCACGAAGCGATGCGCAAATTATCTATGTTCACATGCTGCCTCTCCCTTTTGCCTAGTTGCGCCAGTCCTTTCATCACTGGAGAACATGCACAGCTTCCGCCTTGAAAGGGACTATTGAAGTAGGCTTCTTCCTTCACATGACATAGCTCGACTAAGATATGACATGGTTTCAGTATGTCAGATTTCTCACTAGGTCTTTCACCACGAAAAGGCAAATTGGTGCATATAACTCTCTCTCTCAACCGTGCAATATAGTTCAGAAAGCAAGCATCTCAATATCAACATACAAAATGAGCACCCAACCTAGCGACACCTTCACCGGAAGCCAAAGCTCGGGACCCGGGACCTTTTATAGACGGTATCTGATCTCTGTGGACGGTAGAGGCAGCAGTGATGTATTCTCTGCTCAAGAACAGATAGACCCCGAGACTTATCGGAAAGTATCAGCCGCGTAAGTCGCCCATCCTTCACAGGGGTATCGGACTTATGCTTTCTTCTACCGCAGACGGCTCGATCGAGCGCTAAGCGATGTATCCGTCTCTGTCCTCGCAGAGTATCGAGCCAACCCGAAGGAGGGGCGATGGGATTGCGCCTATTTCGGCGACGACGATGAGGATTACCCAAGAGGCGGTGGTAGGTCGTGCTTATCCTCGTCGCCTTCTGATCCGAATGCCAGTGTACCTGACGAGCTGTAAGCCAGCTCGTCATTTTTCAGTAAACAGTGAGCTGATCAGCTGGATCCAGTGTTCCGACGATTACAGAGTATCTAGCTCACGCGAGGACGGCAGATAGTAAGGCGGAAGGGGAAGGGGAGAATATCGAGCAACGACACACTGGCCGGTTATACAGCTGGCTCAGCGGATTTCGTTCAGGCAGGGGAAAGCCGTCCAAGAATTGAAGTAGAGCTCATCCGACGTAACCCAAATTGATTTATCATGCATACATTCTCAACGTAGAGGTCTATACTATCAGATCATTTACTGCTTGCTGGGTACTCTTCAAGAGGATAGCACAGCCTCTAACCCTTCTCCTTGCCATTCTAGAGAGCTCTCCTTTCTCTAACAGTCCCAATACCAATCCCCATCCCCTGCACTACACCACCCCAAACCAGTCCTTTCCTTTCCTTTCGCCACTGGTATCCTTCATCCTCAAAGGAAAGCTTGGGATCGACAAAGGATGCGCGCACAACTTACAGCCAGGGGCAGGAATAGCACGGCAGATTGAGAGGAGATGAAGCTTGTCATCATCATTTCTTTGTCATTTGCATCTCCCGCCCGCCCGTGATCTTGACTATCCTAATCAGCAGGACTGTAGTTATCCTCCTCCCCGACCCTCGAGACCCTGGTCACCCTAGCCACCCTCATCCTTATCAGTTTCATTGTTCACTCTTTCACGCGCTTTTGTCTACTATTCCTTCTTCAACCACTAATCTTACCAGGCCACCATGCCCTCCGCCCGCTCCAAGACCAGAACCAAGACCAAACCCCGCCCCCTCTCCATTCTTACCCGTTCAACCCCACTCCTCCTCCTCCTCGTTCTCGCGAAAAGAGCCACAGGACAGTACATCCCACCGCAGGCGGTTGGGCTGCGCCGGGCGGCGGGGTTTGAGAGAGATGATAGTGGGGAGGGGTGGGTGAAGCGCATGGATAGAGACCTGGTTGAACGAGATGACGGCGATGATGATGTAAGTTTCCTCTTTTCCAGTTACGAAAAAACAAAACAAAAAAGCCAATCTGACTTTTTCGTTCGTAGACACAGTCATCAACCTCCCGATCCCTCTACCTCGTATCCTCCTCCGACTTTTGCCTCTTCGGCCCCCCCTCCCCCTCCTCCAAAATCTCCGAAACAGGGGGTAACGTCGTCTCGTGGTGTACGAGCGAGCAACATGGGAATCGATTGATACCTGATGGGACGCTGAGGGGGGTTACTTATGTGAAGGCGCCGGGGTGGGTGCAGGTTAGTGGGACGTGAGTCGACTTCTCTTTTCAACTGTTCTTGGCCCTTGGATGAGAAGAGGAGAGGAAAGGAGAGGAGGGAGAGGATGAATGCTGACGAGATTTACTGGGTGCAGGGGCGATTTCACGCAGATCAATATAGCAGAAGGCGATTATGGAGGACAGTTTGATAGCGGGGACAACACCCCGGACGGTGCTGTGTTGTATACGACAGACGACAATCAAGCCGCCGATACTTGGATCGTAAGCCATCCTCTCCTCTCCCCTCCCTTCTCTCCCCAACCCCCTCACCCCTGCCTTAAACACAGTACTAATTCGCACCCACCCGCGCACAGACGATGATATCAGCCGACACATTCTGCCTCCGCGCCTGCTCCGACCCCACCTACTGCCCCCTCGGCTACGACGAGATGGGCTGCTACTTTTACACCTCCAATGGCGTGGGGTGGGACGGGGTTTATCAGGATTGTGAGGGGGATGATGGGGATCCGCCTGGGGTTGTTGATGGGGTGACTTATACGCAAGTAGGTTCTTTTTGATTTTGTTTTGGGTGATGAAAAAGGAGGAGGAGGGAGGATGGGAAGAAGAAGGAGGAGAAGAAGGAGAAGAAGGAGAAGAAGAAGGAGGGCTGATGAAATTCTAGGGTAACAGTCCAACTCCAACACCATCGACGCCGGCGGTAAGTGATTGCAACGCCGGATCGTCTGTGGCGAACGGGCAATCTGCCACCGCCGCTGCGTCGTCTTCCGATTCGTCCGATTCGTCCGATTTGTCTGGATCTGGATCTTCTAGCGACTCTTCCGGAGATGCCAGCGCAAGCGGAGGGGGTTCCACGAGCTGGGTGCCCGTCCATACGTGTGTGCCTTGTACGGATACGGCTAGTGCTAGTGGGAGTGAAGAGACGGGGTCTGGAGGCGCGTCGTCCGCCGCCGGAGGAGGAGGGGGGTCTTCTGCGGCAGAGTTTGGGGAGAGTAGTGCTGCCAGCTCTTCTTCTGCCAAGAGTGGTTCCATTGCATCGGAATCAGCTGGGCCTTCTGCAGCAGGCTCAGCTTCAGGGTCCGGATCGGAGGCAGGAGGTACCCAGCAAGTCGGTATCACCCAACTATCCGGCGGGAGCGTTGCTGCCGTGCAAATATCCGCTTCAAGCTCTGTAAACGCGTCCACCTACAGCGGCTCCCTCCCATCTGCATCCAACAGCGCATCGGGCTCAAGCGGGTCGAGTGGAGGAAGCAGTACCATCACCTCGGCACCAGCTTCCACCGGCACCTCAGCCGCTGGAGGCGAGAATGGTGGGGACGCGCTGGAGGCTAGGGGATGGCTTGTCAAGAAGGATGAGGAGACGACGACGAGTGATGGCAAGTGCTGCTTTACGACGTGGACGCCGTCTGTCGTCGGTGGGGCGCAAGAAACCGGCGCGGCGTCCAGCGGATCCAGCGGCTCTTCTGCAAAAGCAAGTTCGTCAGGCTCAGGGTCGGTGGCGCTCTCGGGCGCCAAGACTGCTGGATCGTCGTCTACTGGTGTCGAGGATGTTTCTAAAAGCAGTGCGTCTGAATCTGTCAGGGCTAGCGGTACGCTTGGATCGGAGAGCAGCACGGTTAGTGGGAATACAAGTGGGAATGGTACGAATGATACGAGCGGTGCTTGGCGGCTCGAGATCACGGGTATCAGTAGTGACATGGGCATACTGCTATGGACTGCTGGGATGGCGGTGATGGGGGCGGTTGGGGGAAGCTCGGTGGTACTGTTATGATAATATAGTGTGATGTACATATGGGTCAACACTCAACAGTAACGTAAGCAAAGGCAGGCGCGTCGGGGTTACGGGGTTACAGGCGTGGCGCGCTAAGCGATTGTTATGATGCTGTGTCCCTGCCCACAGTCGCGCTTTCTCTTTACATTTTATTCTCTCTCAGTCTATAACACTCCCTCTTACGCCAGCCCAAGACCCCCCCTTGCCCCTCCGACATCGACTGCACACCGCCACCCACCCTCCAGTCCGCGCCTCCTTTCATCCCCGCATACAACACCCTCTTTTCTCTTCCCGTCCTCCCCGCGTCCCCATCCCCCATCTCGCCGCTACGACAATGCTCTCATCATTAGTCGCCATCCCCCTCGCCCTCCTGTCGATAACAGGCGTCAGCGCGCAGGGCGATCTGAGTGTGGCCAACAATGTGACGGATCTTGAAGGGACATGGAGCAGTAACTCTGCGGTGTCTACTGGTGGGGTGCGTAGTGTTTTTTTCATGCGTCGGAAATTTTCCCAGTGGGCCGAAGGGGGTGAGGGAGGGTATGGGTGGGCGGTGGGGAGGAATGGGGGTGATGTAGCAGGGTGGCGTTGTTGAGACATCCCGGTGGCGCGTGCCAAAAATTGAAGCGTTGCCGCCGCGCGCTGTTGATAGGATGTACCGCTGACGATGCCCAGGACGTTATCATCCCCGCAGAGATGACCTTCAACTACCCCAACAACAGCGGTATCTCCTACTCCTTGTACGTCTTATCGCCCGCCCAAAATCCGAACGGGACTGACCCTGCCCCCTAGCACCAACGATGGTTACTTTGAAGAACTCGTATACCAATACAACTCCAACTCGTCCAACCCCTCGTGTATCCAAGCCTACATCTACTGGCAACACGGTACATACGAATTCAACAACAACGGGTCTCTTACCCTCTACCCCTTCACTTCAGACGGCCGTATCCAGGTGCAAGACCCTTGTGCTGCTACCACCAACATCATCACGTATTACAGCAACCAGGTCATGTTTACCGATTGGGGAATCACTGTGGACCCTAGCAATGGGCGATACGTCTTGCAGATGAATGCTTACGATCAGTCCAAGATGGCTCGTGTATGTCCCCCTCTTCTTCTCCTTTGTTGTGTCCCAAGCTGATTACTTTTGGTAGATGTACCTCATCGCCAAACCCCCCAACATGCTCCCCACCCAATACCTTACCGGTACCAACGCTACCGGCCAGACCAACTCGCGAAAGCGAGACCTCACCGCCCCCGTCCGAGGCTTCTTCAAGCGCTCCGCTGCTGAGCCGAGGATGGCGCTCGGGAATGGGCAGATTTTGGGTATGGTCGGTGCGATGGGGACGGTTGTTGTTGGTATGATGGCGTTGTTCTAGAGTAGATGAGAGCGGAATGGACTATGGGAGGAGTTGAGAGATGGGAAAGGGCGGGGGCTTTGGGTGAGGAGCGAGATTTGCATCACTGCGGTTATACCCGTTTGTCGGTCGGTCATCTGACCTTTCTAGAATCTCGAATCCTGTGGCTATACTCCCTTTCGACTCTTTTTCTTTTTGATGTACGAGTACTACACCCGCCTTCTCATATACTCGTAAGGACGCGGCCGTGGGCGCCTCTTTTGCTTCATCTCCTCTAGCGTCAGATTGGCTCGTTCTATTCTTTTTTCCTATTCTCTTTTTCTCAACGGACAGTTCTTTGAACCACATTCATCTTTTGTTTCCATGAGTATACCCCCAACGACCTTATGCATGTTTGACTTTACGACCCCAAACCAGCCTCGACTTGATTCGTAACCATATCAACTCTTGCATGCCGACTGACTACCTTCTCTTCTTCAATTCATAGCTTCATAGCTTAATCAAGATACCTCCCATCAACCCAATCAACCCTCCCAATCCCAACCCCCGTCCCACTAGCACACCACCCCGCCTGCCCCAGCCCCCCGGCACAATTCCACCGAACAGCCCCTACACCCACACTCACATCCCACGCCGGATGCTTGACGTTGTAGGCGGGCTCGCCTTTGGGTGGTTTGCCGGTGAGGTTGGCGAGCGGGGTGGAGGTGGGGAGGTGGTCGTCGGTTAGGCGGTAGGCGTTTAGGAGGGGGGAGTGGGAGAGGGTGTAGATTGTGTGGGATTCTAATTGCTATATATCACCGATACGAATCAGATTTGAACCTCGGGGAGGAGAAGGAGGGGGATGGAGTGAGCAAGACTTACACGACCGCCTTGGCCGACACGCCGAAGAGGATCGAATTGGTTCGTCATCATGACAGACCCATCTGCCGAACCCGACATGACCATCGGATGGAATACCGACGCTGACAAACTCTACATTCACCCCCATGGCCCCGTCAGCTTTCAGAACCGCTTGCTTTAAAGTAGGGTGATCGGTGGAGGAGGGGACGTACCAGAACAGTGCCCTTGTGCCCACCAAGGACGGTACCGCGACCTTTATTCATCAACCGTGATTTCGTGCCGAGCGTGGTGATCTCGACGTTGTAGTCAAGGTTGCCCATCATGGGGCCGGGGAGGAAGGTGGACCAGCCGGTACACATAATCGGTACTGCACTCACGTCAGAACCCCTTTTGAAACAGTTGAGGCAGAAAATGGAGGTAAATAAGAAGGGGACGTACGATTCTGCCGCCGAACAAGCATACCCAACCCCCCATCCCGGGTATCCAAAAGCACGAAACTCCCATCCCACCCGCCTACTGACATCATCGTGGCTGGTGAACCCAGCTGGGTGGGATGGGGAGGGTGGCGGGAGGCGGTCAGGGAGGAGAGGGCGGAGGAGGATACGGAGGTGTAGAGGATTGGGAGGGGAGGACTGGGGTTGGGGTTGGGGGAGGAGAGGAGAGGGAGGATGTCGTATACTGCTACACTTCCTATCACCTCTTATCAGCCCGAGTTGAGAGAAGAGAAAAGGGGCGAGGGGACGTACCGTTATCCAAGCCAGCACCGATCGTGGAACCGGATAACCAATCGAAACAGGTAAACATGCTGTCTTCTAGCTGAAGCTTGTATAATGGTTTGTCGAGTTCCACTAGCACAAAGAATCAGTCACCTTGTCCATCTCGTTCACACGCTCAAACAGACCTACGATGAAGAGGTTCACCAGACTCCCCCTGCCCAAGAGCTCTAGGATGAGGTACAGCATAGAACGAGATACTCCCATCCACCTGCACCGCTCCCAATACACCCAACTTTGGTACAGCTTCACCGGATCCACCTTGAGCGACGGTCTCTGGGTCGTACTATGTCTATCGTCAGTGACAAAGCCCAAGGAGGAAAGAAGAAAGGAAAACATAGAAAACGCACATCGTCCCAAGCACCTATAGGCATCCACTTGATATCCAACGCGCTACCACCTCGAATACAAAGTGTGAGCACGCATTTCAGGGACCCGTCCATCTCTCCTTTTGACCCTTGTCCAGCACTACCTCCTTCTTGCATGGTGGTATCCTCGTCACCATCTTGTCCCTGTCCCGAAGAGACATCAAGAGGTTCGGAATCGGCAGGGGTATGATGACTGGGAGGCACCAAAGCCCAAATCTGGATGGACCCCCGAGTGTCTGGTGGGGCACGGTCGTACATCCTCGGACTGCTGTTGACATGGGGTAGGGTGGATATCGCGAGGTATTGGGTGTTTTTGAAATCTATTTTCACAAAACGGGCGAAATGTCAGCCCCGTATTTGGAGGTAAGACCGAGTGGGTGGATGGATGGGAAGGAAGGGTGAGGGAAGGCGAGAGAAGGGAAGACAAGGGAGGAGAAGGAGTGGAGCTGATAACGTACGAGCAGCCTTGGAAGCAGGCATAGGACACCAATCGATACTCGTCACAGGCCCGCCGGCGTAGAATGTAAATGCTGGTTGGGGCACTATCGGGTTGGTTTCCACTGCGTATTGTGTGAGCTTTCATCCTCGACCGGGAGAGGGAAAGAGAGAGAGGGAACGCACCGATGGGGAGGACATCAAAAGCTTTCATCTTCACAACTGATTGTGTCGTACGCGGGCCGACGTGGATGGTGATAGATGGTTCGTCGGGGGAGGGGAGGTATGCTTTTGCTTGTCTACACCCATCATCAGCTTTCACACTGATAAAGCGGCTGGAGCGACTCACTCGGAGCTGAGGAAGGTCAAGTCTTCTTTCTTCTTTCTACCAACGTTCTGGAGGCCAAGGGTGACATCATCAAAAGCCAACCAGTCCCCCTCCTTCCCCTTCCCCTGCCTCCCGCCAGATCCTTCAACAAACATCTCAGGCCACCAAACATCCCCACGCCACATCTCCCACGGTACCCCCAACGCCAATCTCCCCGCCTCCTTGTTAAACCTCGCTCTCTGCTGCTTCTCCGTCCCTCCCTCTCCCTCTCTCTGACCGACCACCCGGCGCACGGGGGGGTTCGGGAGACTGCCGAATTTGGGATCGGTTTTTAGGAAGGTAGAGTATGGGAGGGGGTGGGGGAAGGGGAGAGCGCCGACTTTGTTGTAATGGCCTTTGGGTTTACTTTGCCCTTTCGCAGAATCGTACGCGGCGGCGTCTTGGGGTTTACGCGCCAGTAGCTCGGACATCAAGGATATTTCTTTGATATAAGTTGCCGGTACGCCAGCGAGAATCTCGGTATTGCTGCTATTGAATTCGCCCAGAGAAAGAGTCTGGGGGAGAGTGATGACGCCTTTACCGCCGTTGGCTTTTGTCGACCTGCTCTTGGGCCCCTTGGCGGTACTTTCTCTTGCGCGATTCTTGCCTTTTGCAGGGGCGGATGGGGGGAGGAGAGAACCAATTGAGCGGAGGGGGGGTTCACTTGGATCTCTAGAGAAATCGTCCTCCGACCCTTCTCCGTCTTCAGAGCCAGATGCGGATGCAGAGCTGGGGTCGCTTTCTTCTTTGACGGCTTCGGCTTCACTCATGTCGGGCTCGAACGCACTCCCGTCGCCAGAATCCATACTCTCATCACTATCCATCTTCGCCTTCCCTTTGCCTTTTCCCTTTCCCTTCCCATTGGCCTTGGCTTGGGATTTGGGCCGGGCACTAGGCCCAGCGCTGTCGTCAGAGTCAGAGTCTTCGTCGTCGGAGAAGGCAGGTGGTGGGGCATAGGAGGCTTTGGCGGATGCTCTTCGGCGGGGAGGCATGTTGGGTGATGGATGGATGAGAAAGTGAATTGAAAGAGAGACAAACAATGACAAGGATGGGATGCGCGAAAGTGGAGGTTGTGAGTTATTTGGTCCCGCTGCAGGGAAGACATCTGGAGGCATGTTGAACGACCGTACGTCCAGATTTGGCGCGATTTTCTGATTGATCTAGGCAATTGGGATGGGATATCCAGTGATATGCAGAGGGATTCTTAGTGCAGGAGCGTAGCAGGTCTCATCGAGGAAACCTCCGAGAGACCTCTGCGCGCCGACTGAAACGTACTGCGTGCGTCGCCCTCGTCGCCACATTTGAGCATACATCTCTAACAATCTGTTTTTATGTATGACCCCTGCCATGTATATGCTCTACACGTATCCCCCATGCATCCAACGAGATACGTCTGCTGCACTGCACTGGCCACTGGCCATAGACCGAGGGTGTCATTACGTAAGGCAATCACCGGCTATTGACGCTTTCGACGAACCGCATGCTCTCTTGCATCTCTGGCATTTCACAATCTGCTATACAAATCTGGGACATCCTGCGCTGGCAAACGATGCCTGGTCCTCGCTCAAATAGACCCCTCCATGCCCAAGTAGAACCCCTTCTCATCGCCCAATCACCCGCCGGCCCATTCAGACACCATATCGGCCAGGCGAGCCTTCCTCTCTGGAAATCATTACAAAGCGCTTCTCCCAAGTCAAAGAGGGGGGATGAAAGGGTAGCAGTATCTATAGATTGGCCCCAGGACCGAAGGCTAGGGAAGGGGAAGACGAGGAACTTGGTAGTTTGGGTGGAGGGTGGTAACGACGTATGTCCCGTGCAGCCGGATGGATACCGAGCTCACTATGATACAGGCTGATGAGAAGAGGACGTTGTTGATACATCCTTCACTGTTACCGCCAGTATGCCCAAGTCCACTGCCAGTGACGCTCCATATCCATCAGCCGGTCCCTCTGGACTTGGCTATCCTCCAGCCAGTGTACGCTTCTCCTGAAGATACGCCGTCGACGATACCGTCAGAAGATGACTTTTCGGCATTGTATCTGGAAGATCCTGGCTACCCCATAATACGGCAAAACGACATCATATCACTACATACTTCAAAAAGACGGTATCGTCTCCTCCTCCTCGAACCCGTCCAACAAGGCCACATCACCCCGAAAACCAACATCATCATGTCCTCCACCCCTTTCTACGATCACCCTTCTTTCCTACATGATGACTATGAAGGGGAAGAAGGCATGAGTGAGAGCAGTTTCAACAGAACACATATCTCGTTGGCCAACTTTGACCCTGACGCCTTCCTGTCGGGTTCTTTATCCCTCTCGCTTCCGAGGGAAGACCTGCCTGATGGCGATTCTTTCCCCTCATCTGATACAGAATCAGAAGAGGATCACTTGACGATTTCTTCCACCACATCCGGCTCTATCACCCCCCGGCCCAACTATCTCAACGCTTTGACGCGACAATCAACACCGCCCGCGCCGGTGGATCAAGTCCTTGGGCGTCAACTAGACAGCCTTGGGGGGGATGATGATGAAGCTGAAGAAAGGGGGGTGAGGTTTGATGCTGTTTGCGCGGGAGGCAAGGGTGTCGAAATTGGAGAAGGGGAAGGGAGTGGGAGTGGGGAAGATGTCTGTTGGCTCGGTGTAGGCGGGCTGGGAAGAGCAGGGATATTTGAAGGTGATTGGGTATGTCGCTCTTTCTCTTTCTCTCTTTCTCTCTATCTTTTACCTGAGTGGGATAAGGCTGACGATGGGGTAGGTGGTCGTAAATCCCGTAGGAGAAGGACAAGGGAATAGCAGGCTTTTGAAGGCGTTAGCTTGGGAGAGGTTGGATCAGGTGATACCTCATGATGGATTGTACGTCTCTTTATCTTTCTCTCCTTCATCTTCATTCTTTTCCTATGTTGGTGATGATGAGGATGATGATTATTTACTGACCAAGAACAGACCTGCAAATCCTATATTACTCCCACCATTACTCTACCGATCCCTCCTCCCCCCACTCCCTTCTTCCAGTTCCAGCTCCAGCGCCTCTTCCTCCCCGTCCTCAACCTCCAAACAGCTCATAGTCCTCCCAACACCCTTCGCAGCACGTACCCCAACCCTGCCAACTGCCAAGAGTATAACGATAGCGAGGATAGCTACGGCGGAGGGGGGTGATAAGCGGTATGAACGGTCTTGGCTGGATGGGCAGGGGGGCATTTTTGGGATCCGGGCCAACGGAAGGGGTTGGGAGGGAGAGCGGAAAGAAGAGGAAGGGAAGAAGGAGGAGGAGAAGGAAGAGGGGAGGAAGGTGGTTAGGAGAGGAGATATCCTCGCCGTACCTGGGTGGATCGGCAAACCCCTAACAGAAGGAGAACGTCAATCATACCCCTCTTCCAACCCATACCAAGCCCACCAAAAACCCAGACCTTCCACCCTCATCTACTTTATAATAACATCCATAGCCTACGACCCCCTCGTGCCCATCGAAGAAGATTTCCGCTCGTCGGTGGTTTCAAAAGCGAGAGCGGGGGAGCTTGGGTGTTGGGCCGGAGGGGAAGGAGGAGAGGGCAGGGTGGTCTGGAGTGGGTTGGACAGGGTGAGAGTTGGGAGGAGGAGCAGGGATAGGGGGTGGTTTGGGATGCGTATGTGCTTCATTGACTCTTCGGTCCGAGTGGATATAGAGTGGACAGGAGCTGATGGGAACAGTAGCGTCAAGAGCACCACCGTTTTCCAAACAGGCAGTTGCAAAGTTGAACGACCTGCTCAGCTCGACTATTGCTCACCCGGCCCTCGTTTATGGTATTCAACTATCCATCCTCATCAAAGGCGCAAGAGGCGCCGGGAAACGGAGTCTCATAAGACATACTGCCGATACACTGGGTTTCAACATTGTCGATGTAAGTCCTCTCTTTGCTTGTGGTAGAATCAAGCTGATATGGGGGTAAGGTGGAATGTTATGATATAGTGGGAGATACGCCGGCGGTGACGGCTGGGACGCTACAAGCCCGGCTTTCGAAAGCGCAATCCTGCGCACCGTCGATTCTCGTGCTTCATCATATTGAAGCGCTGGCTTCCAAGTCGGAATCGCCTCTCGGCAGACCGCCGGCGGTAGTCAAAGTCATTCAAGATCTTCTCGCCGATGCCAAAAGCCCGCCGGGCATTTCAAGCGGAGAAGAAACATGGCCCGTAGTCGTCATGGCCACCACCTCCGACCCCGACAACGTCCCCTCCGTCCTCCTCGCTTGCTTCAAACAAGATCTCTTCCTCCTTTCCCCATCCGAATCGGAAAGGCGAGATATCATCGAATTCGCTTTAAGGCAGTATGACGTTGCAAGGGATGTGGATGTGAAGAGTTTGGCGAGGCAGACGGCAGCGCTGAATGCGGGGGATATCGAGTCTCTCATACTCTCCGCTTGGGATTATGCTCTCAAGCGCGCTTCGAGCACCTACTCGCTTCCGCGCGCGCTCCAAGCTGGGGTATCCCTCACAGCGGCCGATATCACGAAAGCGATCGATACGGCGAGGATGGCATACTCGGATAGCATCGGCGCGCCAAAGATCCCGGATGTGTCGTGGTCGGATGTGGGCGGGCTTGCGGATGTCAAGCAGGATATTTTGGATACGATTCAACTCCCTCTCGACCGGCCTGACTTGTTCGCATCAGGGCTAAAAAAGCGCTCGGGTATTCTTCTGTATGGACCGCCTGGGACAGGCAAGACGCTGTTGGCGAAGGCTGTCGCCACATCCTGCTCGCTCAACTTTTTCTCTGTCAAAGGTCCAGAGCTCTTGAACATGTACATTGGCGAGTCGGAAGCCAACGTACGACGAGTATTCGAAAGAGCGAGGGAAGCGAAACCTTGTGTGATCTTTATGGATGAGCTGGACTCGCTAGCGCCGAAGAGGGGGCAGCAGGGCGATTCGGGTGGAGTTATGGATCGGATTGTGAGCCAGCTGCTTGCAGAGCTCGATGGCATGTCGGGTGGGAAAGACGGAGGGGAAGGAGTGTTTGTCATGGGCGCTACGAATAGGCCGGACTTGCTTGACCCGGCATTGCTACGGCCTGGACGGTTTGACAAGATGCTCTACCTTTCCATGCCGACAACGCACACCGCACAAGCCGACATACTCAAGGCTCTGACGAGAAAGTTCAGGCTGGATGAAGGGTTGGATTTGAAAGAGGTGGCAGAAGGGTGTGGGCTGAATTATACGGGGGCAGACTTGTACGCCCTCTGTGCCGACGCCATGCTCAATGCGATGACCCGGCAAGCCACCGCTATCGACACCACCATCGCCCGCCTCACTTCCCTTGCCCATTCATCGCCATCCTTCAAAACATGGCCCGGATCCGTCCTCACCCCGCAATACTACCTTGCCAAGATGGCAAAGGAGGAAGAGATTCAAGTCGCTGTAAAAATGGAAGACTTCTTGGAGGCGAGAGGAAAGTTGGTGGGAAGTGTGAGCGAAGACGAGCTGGGGCATTATGAGAGGGTGAGGAAGGAGTTTCAGGGATATGATATTGGGGCAAAGAACGGTGGCGGTGAGCACGATACGGTGGACGTTGGGAGGAAGGGGAAGGGGAAGGGTAGGGCGGAGTCAATAGATGAGGATCGGCATTAGCATATATCACTTGTATAAGTTGTATCCTCTCTGCTGGTGTATCTTTAAATGAGAACCAGTCGCAGTATGTTCGTGGCCCTTGATCGACGACCAAACGCCCGTCATATCCCAAACAGTCGTGTGCTTCAGGAACCACCAGCATATAATAACCGTCAGCTTCAGAGTCGCGACGCCCGATGCATAGTGCAAAAGGCGAGTATCGTGCAAAAGCACGCGCGGAAGCAGCCCTATCGGCATGCATTGCGCTACATGGGCTCAAAAGATCGGTGTGATGGCGAGAGAGGCATCAACCACCTGCTTCCTGTTCAATGTTTGAGCTTCGAGTCGGCGTGCGCTTGCGGAAACCATCTGACCCAAACGGAACTGACCGACGGCATCTACGCGTTTGGTCTTCATTATTTCTGTCTTCTAGCATATCGTTGTTTGTCAACATCGCCGACTCAGACACTATCGATCATTCGAAAGCCCAATTCACGTCTGCGTAGCATCCACTGCTATGCCCTGCCCGTGTATCGACACCCGCCTACCCACCGGCAACATCACATCCCTGTTCCCTCTCCCACCCGAAATCCAACTCCTTATCTATCCCCATCTCTTTGACAACCTGTGCTCCTCGCATCGCGCTCGCTACTCTATACTATTTCCGCCAGAGGATTACAAGAGAATGATCACCCCGGCATACCGACATGTGACTCTAACCGACGAGAACTGGAAGAAGTTCTTCCGCGGAATCGAACGTCCTGGGCCTGATACCCCCAAGGGAGAGGCTGCCCCTTTCTCCTTCGAGAAGGCCAAGAAGGCCAGAAAGAACCTAAGTCCACTTCCCTGCCGATGAAACTAGATTATGAGTGTCAGTCTCTGCGAATTGATCATCCCAGTGTCTTGGTTGGTCTCTTGCAGCTGCGTTCCGCCTGGGGTTCTCTACGGAACTGGGCCCATCCCAGACAAGGAAGGACTTTCCACCAGGAGCCTCCTCTCATGTCTGGTAGTCATCATGCTTGCATGTTTGAGAATTTGAGGGACATCGAGTTCACCAGCAACTTCTGCCGTGAATTCCTCAACAACTCGAGAGGGTGGCGCGACGAGTATATGAGTATAGGCAAATTCTGGGGTGGTCATCCTGAATACTCTGAATATTTCCTGTTTGCAAACCCAGATCTGACGTTGGTATGCCTTCAAATTCCTGAGAGCGAGGAGTTTGCCGGTGTTCGAATGCCCTCATTTGTTGAGCTTGGACCGCTCTGCACTCTCGTCGATAAGCTCATCTCGGGTCCGATCCTCACAATCCACATCCCTGATTCTCTGGTGTATTATCCATGGTTCAGCGACGAGGATTACCCGAGCAATTTCATCTACATGCTACCCCCTCGGCCTTTAGGTGCATTAGGAGAGGAGGACGACGGCGACATGGCACTATATGAAGCCGAGATTGTCGCGTAGTGTCAGAATACCTATCTCAGGCGAAGGCCGGAAGACAGGTGCGTCTTCTTCTTCTTTCGAGCGTAATCGCTCAAAGCTCATGATATTTGCGAGATCGCAAAAACTTCCTGAAAAAATCGTCTTCGGCAATCTAGGCAGCCGCATCTCGCCTACCGGCCAGGTCACCTTTGTTTCGGACGAGGCTTTCGAAGATATGAAAATGTCAATGACGGCTAGTCTCAACAAAACACCCATGACGGAAGATGACCGAGTCCGCTTCTCGTTTTTGATGGGAAAGATTTATCTACAATTACTGTCAACATTAGAGTATGAAGGTCGCCTCACGACACCATTCATGATATGAATACTAGTTGCATGTGGTAGATAACACAGATTGATCTCTGGACAGACTCACATCTCCCCCAGTTTCCGGCGAACCTCCTCCTCGATAGGCCACTGCATCACCTGCCCAACCGGCATACTCTTCCCCAAAGCCTTCCATGGTAACAGCCACCCCCAACCCTTGGAACCTAGCACCAACTCCCAGTTCCTCGTTTCTCCAAAATCATACAGCTCCATCCCATGTTTCGGTTGGACGATATGTCCGTCTCCCTCGCTTTCGGAGTTCGGGATGTAGAAGGCTGGCCCGCCGAACCGTTTGAGGCCGTCGGCGATGTGCTGAGGCAAGGGCTCCGAGGGGAAGAGGGTAGCGTGCTCGGACGCTGCTCGGTAGGCGATGTGATATGATTTTCGGCGTTCAGTGTCGATAGTGAGGTCGCCTTTCTTGATGGTCTGTAGCGTCGAGTATGCTAGTCCCTGTAGTATCATCAGCCAGCAATTCGAGGTCTCGTAAACGGGGGCATACCGATGTGATCAGTGCCAACACAATACCAACAACAACCATCACCCCTACTCCCAGCCGTTCGATCCCAGGCCCACCAACGCTCATCCGATCCAGTTGCATCCATCCCAACACTACGCCGCCTACCCACCGCCCGACAGGCCCGCCGGCGACTATCCAGCTCCAAGGCCAGTCCCACCACCCTTTGATCGAGTCGGAGACGCACGCGAGATGATATGCTGCCGAGGCGCGCCGCAGTAGGGGAGGATAGAGTGGCAAGGAGAGGAGTATAGTCGTTGGAGGTGTGTAGAGCAGGAGGGCTAGGAAAGCGGGGACGTAGGGGGCGGTCAGGCAGTTGGCGAACTTTGAGGTGTCAGTACTAGTCTTCGATTATGCAGGATGTGACACTTACGAAGGGACAGTGATGGTCGAAACCCATTCTGCATACCCCACACTGCGAGCAATGCCGAGCTCTAGCAGGCTTCCACACTCCCCGGCATTTTCCCTTGTAACACCTTTCTACCATCGGTTCTTCTCTTAATCTCTCCACTTCTTCATCTTCCAAGCCTTCTTTGCTTCTGATTTCCGAAGCTTCGTCAGTTGAGAGGCATGCAAAGGGAGTCTCCTTGTCAATTATGACGGCAGGAGGATTGAAGGGCGGTCTGGATGGATTGAGAAAGTAGAGGCGGAGATAGAATGTCGTTATGGGGGCGATAAGAATGCTTGGCAGGATCGTGTAGGCAGCTATTCAGTGCTATCAGTGAACATATTACATCCTGAACGCTCTCTAACCTCCAAGAACAGGTTTGTCCTCAGCAAGAAACCGAGCTAGATTTCAGTCAGACAATTGTCGACCGACTCAACACCACCACATCACTCACGCCCAACCTCGAAAGTGCATATATTCCAAGAGAAGCTGCATGCTCTATCAGCCGGGATACACGTACATATTGACTCCATAGAAGCCGGATAAACGTACTAGAAATAGGACAGAAACGCCGGAGGGAGGAGCTGCTGGGATAGCCAGACAAGTGTCCTGAGCATGGAGCTGGATACTGAGAAGCTCCAAGGCTTCTAATAGGGGTCCTCTTGTCGTACAATTGAGTTTGTCGAAGCCAAAGATATCCCAAGACGAGAAATACCGACTCTGGTCGACGCCAGGTCGACGCGGTGCGCATCAGTCGTCGCTTAGCGCCCTAAGCGCCGAGGGCAGCTCTGAACCTGAACTCTTTACTCTTGTCGCCTTGTAGTCGGCTTCCGACATGACTAGATGATTCATGATAATAGTGGCGCATATGTATAGTAGATCTTCAAACACTGCTCGTGCCTCTTCTGATAGCCTTCCCATTTACTCATCGTCGTTCGCAAAGATGCTCTCCACTCCAAGACTTGCCCAATTCTTCTTCTCTCTCTCATGCCAGAACGCTACCTCTCCATCGCTGGCCCTCTTTGGCTCCCAAAGCCTCTCTTGCGTATCATCGTCAATCTTCGACACAAACCATTGGGGTTCGTGAGGGGGCAATCTGCCCTGGCTTCGAAGATTCCGGGTGTTGCGTTGTTTCTCTTCGTTGAGAGTCTTCAGCCTGGTCAAGCATAAGTTAGCACATGATCAAGATGGAAGCGAGGACTGCGACGTACCCCTGAGCACGGTCGTACTCGGCATTCTCGAAGGCTCGCTGATCCGTACGCATCCTACAATCTGTCGGGGCGACATACTTCTCCAGTCCTTGCGGGATATCGTTCTGCACAGAAAAGTCAGCACCACTTGGGTTGATCATCGTCATAAGGCTTACAAGGGTGATGGCGAAGGGCGTCAAGTTGAAAGGCGCCTTAGGCTTCTCCGAGTTTCTCCACAAGAGGATATACTCCTTCTGCGTAGGACTGACCGTCGCGTCGACCGCGAGTGGCACAGACTCCACACCGTGCTCGCGCGCAATCAATTGAGTGTCCCATCCTTGACTCTAGTCAGCGCTGCTCTTGCATGTTGAGCCAAAGCACTTACGACCAGCGATATCCCATCGCACAGCGCCATCGGCATCCTGCACTTTACCCTGAATTTCAAACGCATCTTTTCCTCTCCATCCTCGGGGCTTGAACGTAAGTGTACAGGTCTCGCCCGTCCTATGGTTTGCTTTGATTTTATCAGCTCAGTCCTTCAACTCTGATCTAAAAGTGCTACTCACTGACAACAAGATCGCCGTAATGGTCGATAATAGGATTACCCATGATGAAGTTCGACACATTCGTCGTTACCTTCTTCCAACTATAATGCTCGCTCACATACCCCTCTCCATACTCGGGTCCCGCATCAGGATAGTCCAAACCAGGCGCGACTTGAGATTTAGGAATGATCAGCTCGGCATGAGCAACACCCGTGGGCCTAATCTCGAACGATCGACCCTGGAACTTGTTCTGCGCGTCCACTTCGCCATAATACTTCCACATCGGCGCTTCCGAGTAACAAGCAGAGATTGGCGGGTGATGCGAGACTTGCTCCGAGATGTATCGGTACCTATTGGGGATGGCGTACTCGAATGACTGGCTTAGGAGCGGGTTGAAGGGCTTGGCAATACGGCCGATGGTGGAGGAGTAGTTGGACATGGCGAAAGCACCGACAAAGGCGATACGGCGGAGACTGTCTTTCTCGGAGGCAGCGACGGTCAAGCAGGCGTCGTATTCCATGTCTTCAGCTGCGAAAGTGTGAGCTGAGGTACATGGAGAAAGGTGCGATACTTACCCATGCGCTGCAGCATAGAGGTACACTCGTTGAAGCTGACAGGGAAAGAGATCTTGGTGAGATCCTTACCAACTGAGCTCTTCAAGATACTCCACACTACCACCCTAGATCAGCTTTTGCAGCCCAAAACCAAGAGAGCAACTCACAGCTGACAGACGGCCTCTTGTCATCATCAATAGGCAGCTTGCTTCGCACATGCAAATACGGCTCCAAACTCTGCCTTGCCAGATACTCCTTCACAGTCCCCCTCTTCACGACCTCACTCTCCTTCACTCCAACGTCCAAACTCCCCGCTCGACTAGCAGACGGCGTCCCCGGCCTCTCCGGATGGGCGATGCTCTGATGAAGTCTGAGATTCGGCAGCTGGTTCTGCTCGATAGCATCAAAGAACTCGTCGGCGTCGTCTTCTTCGTCGTCCGAGTCGGCAGCGACGATGGCGGCGTGGGCGTTCTGGACGTCTTGGATGTTGGAGATTGAAGGCTGGTTTTTGGCGAGCGCTGGAGGAGAAGCGAGAGCGCCTTTTTGTGCAGGGGCAGTCTTCGGCGGAGCGTACGAATCCGAGACGCCCGTAACAGGTGCAGAATCAAGAATCCCCTGCCCACCCATTTCAATCCCCACCGGCGTCCCCGGCAAACTCCCTCCAGCACTCAGCCCAGCCAACACCCCCTTCGCCTGCCTCAACGCCCGCCTCTTCCTCTCATTATCCTTTGCAGCCGCGTTTAGCTCCTTCTCATACTCTGCCTGCTGGGTCGCTATCGTCAACATGTTTTCTTCCCACAACTGGCGTGCTTGGACCTCGCGCTGGATGCGGGAAGTGAAGAAGCGCTCTCGGTCGGCAGACATGCTGGACTGCTTGTTCATGAGTATTTGGATGGTGGAGAGGGATTCCCGGATGGCGTCTTTGACGGCAGCTTGACGAGAGGCGGTTGTCGTGTTGGGAGAAGCGTTTCCGGGGGATGGAGCATTGGGTGAGACCACGATGGAATCCACAAGCTGCTGAGTCATCTCCAGCTGTTCCTTGATGTTAATCAACCCAAGGTCGAACGTGGCCTCATGCGGGATCGTATCCGCACTCTGCTGATCATCCTCATCATCACTCCGTTCACTCGCATTATCATTGTCGTACCGGATGCTCGACGCGTGGGTGCCTGTGACTCTGGAGCTGGTGCTAGCAGACTTGCTTAGGGGGTTGACACCGCTCAGACCAGGCGCAGTCTGCAAAGTGGGGCTGAGGAAAGTGTCGCCCGAGGGAAGTTGGCTGACAACAGACGCCGCTCGCCTATCGGGCCTCTGCAAGCTCTCACTTCGTCTCGGCGCAACAGAAGGCGACATCGACGGCCTGGGCGCGTCCTTCCCAGCACCATGCTGGTAGTACTCGATATTAAGCTTGAGCGTCTGTACCCAGCGAGCAATCTCGGCGCGGTGCACCGACTTGACCATAAACTTTGGTACAGCCGACGACACTTGGGAGGAGAGGTCAAACTTGGTGCCGTCTGAGGAGGCGTGGAGGGTCGCAACGGCCATGGCGATAGAGCCGCGGCAGGCGATAGCTTCGTCGTCCCGGTTGCGGTAGTAGCTGAGGATACCGTTTTCGAGGACGAACCAGCGCGTACGCCAGCCTTGGCGGTAGTTGACCCATTTACTGAGCAAGCCGCGCAGGTCTGGAGGTCGGCCGTCAGATCTGGCTTCGACGAGGCTGTCTTGATTACTGACTGTGGCTAAATCAGCAAAGGGACGCGCTAAGACTCGGGTACACTTACACTGGCGCAAGAACAGCTTGATCCTCTCGTCGGGATTCTTCTCCCCATCCAGAACCCTCCTGTTACGCTTATCACGCACAAAGACGTCGGCACCCCCCTTGACAGCCAGCTCAACGAGCTTCAAATCACGTCTCCTCGCAGCCTCATGCAACAAACTCGTCCCCGTCCTCTCATCCAGCGCACTCAAATTCACAGCCCCAATTCTGTGCCCCTCCAAAAACGCTCCCAGCGCTGCACCTTCCTCGGCAGAGTTCAGAGGACTGGCAATGTAGCGCGAAAGCAAGTTGGCGTAGTGTGCTTGGATCTGAGCGCGGGACTCTTCGATGGCTGAGGCGACGTCGGCGGTGGAAGCGCATTCGAGGGCGGTTCGAGAACGGTCGTCTTTGATGGTATCGTCGATACGAGGATCTTGCAGTAGCAGCCTGACTGTAAGGTTTCAAGCGTTAGAATGTGAATCTGCCGTAACAGCGCCGAGTATGACGTACCGATGTCAACTCTTCCCAGCTCGCTGGCAACGTGGAGAGACGTTTCGGAGCTGTTAGGGGCTACGGTAAGATTGGGAGAGGGGACAGATGCCAGAATGAGAGATACGATTGACACTACGGGACGCGCATCAGCTTGATGAAATGCCAGAGAATCTCCACTGTGCTCACCATTGGCCACTCGTACCGCCATCCCAAGCAGCTGCCCAGCTTTGTCAACATCCTCTCCATCAGGGCCGGCTTTGGTCTGGTTCAAAAAAGGCTGGATCTGTGCTGGATCTTCCGAGCGGAGCGCGGCGAGGAGGCGAAAGTTGTAAAGAGCGGAGGGAGGGGCGTTGGTGGAGAGGGCAGAAAGGCTGGAGTGGACTGAGGGTGTAGGGGATACACCTGGAGTACCAGGTATGAGTATGGCTGGTAACACGACAGGGGAGACATACGGGGCTGTTTCTCGGGGGAGGGCTGCCGAGGGGCAATGTGCTGGCCGCTCATTCTCGCGAAAGCGGCGATGGACGTCTCTCCGGCAGGGTCGTCTGGGGATAAGAATCACCAATACTGGCCGAGGGGATATGATATACAAGGAGTCGAAAAGGTCACGCGTAGATGATAGAGGAGATAGTCGGTGCCGTTGCGGTGCCGGGTGGATGTTTGGCTTGGGATTAGCGCAGGATTAGCTTCCGCTAATGGCAATTACAACTCCATTTGAACCACATTCCTAATTGGGCAAGTTGAATAGTCCACGGTCCATACATACTCGTCTGCGATGTATCTGCCACAACACTACTGCGATTGGTACAGCTACATGACGGTCTCCTTTCACTCTCTCACTACCATTCACTCGATTCAAGAACATATTTCCAAATAAAGATCCGCAAAACCACAACAGCCCCTATCAACGACAAATCAACGAATACCTTGAATGGAGTGTAGTCGGTGTGGGAAAGCTGCTGGTTCCAAACGCATGGCCACACGAGTTTGAGGTGGCAGCTACGCAAGAGGTCTGAAAGGAGATCCCTACCCACCTGGGGAGATGATGGTAAAGGAATGAATGACGGAACGAGGGAAATTTCGATATATAGATGCAGCCATTGTGATTTCACTACCCACCAACCCCTTCTTCAAAACACCACAAACAGCCCTCACAAACAGCCCTAATCACCACGCACAAAACATCTACTCTGAGATCTCTGCTCCAAAGCTCATCACCATGACCCGATCCGTACTACAAAGCATTGCTTCTTTCGCCAGCGGCCACTGGAACAGCTCCAAAGCATCTTCCGAAGCCGCATCGTCATACCCCTCATCTCCTTCCTCCGCCGCCCAGTCCGAAATCTCTTTCGAGTCTACATCATCTGGCGTCAACATCTTCAGTAGATTCTCGTCTTTTAACCTGACCGGAGGGGAAGACGAGGATATCTTTGATGAGAGACGGGCAAATGACATTATCAGGCAGTATTATCCTGCCTGGAACGGCGGTAGAAGTGAGCAATCGGAAAATTAGATTGCTATAAGGATTGCGGACTATAGATGCCGCATAGAAGTAAATACCTATACAGTTGGTTGCCACAAGGTTGCCGATGTCATGCAAAACGTGAGCAAACTACCCCGTTGAAAGATCAAAGATAGGCGCGCGCGACTCAGTCAGGTCCGTCCGGAAGCCGAATTGACGACTCTCGGAAGCCCTCCTGACACTTTCCACAACTCGTAAATCCATCTCGACAACCATTCAAGATGATCTCTCGCGTCCCAATACGCGCTGTCAAATACGCTCGCCCATTAGCAAGGCGCTCCCCATTCTGCGTGAGGTTTGCCAGCTCCCAGAACGGCTCTCCATCGAGCAAAATCACCACCGCGCCCTTCCGACTTTCTCCTGGTGAGGCTTTGGAGAAGATGCACATCAATGCCCTCCTCGCTTCAGGCAAGTTCTCCATTCAAACCATTGCTCAATATGCTAACAGATCAGATTAGCTTCGATACCAAACATTGTATATGCCTTCTTCCTCCGTTTCTTCGGCCCGTCGGTGACACCCATCGCCCGCGAATTCGGTTTTGGCGAGAAGCTAGAATTGAAGGACATGAAGGCGGCGCTCTATCCTGTCTGGAGAGTAGATGGTGTGGCGGAAGGAAAGGTTGATATCGTGCACGGAGAGGGACAGAACCAGCTGAAATCGCCGAGCCCGACACTGAGTATGAGCGTTACGGAAGGTTATGTGCCAGGTGTGTTCATAATTGTCTATTGTTGGAGAGACTAACTTTGGCTCAGGCAATCCATTCGCACCACTCTCGTATCTCTCCTTCGCCGTCCCTCCCCTCTACTCCGACCTCCCCGAGTACAACCCATCCAAAGACCACGATCAGCTCAAAGACTACGGCCTCGACATCGTCCCCATACCATTCACCGTCTCCCCCCTCGGCCTCGTCAACCACATCCGTCGCCTGATAGACAAAAAGACGTGGGATCATTGGAAGATTGACGAGAAGAAGATTGAAGAAAAGATGCTCGCGTGTTATCCGATCATGTTTCCCATCTACATTGCCGAATTTGAATACGACCAAGGCGAAGATGGGAAGAGGAGGTTCAACGTTTTCATGGATGCGCATGATGAGAGTGTCAAGACCTGCCGAGTGAGCTGGCCACCACCACCGCACCTTATTGAAGAGTAAGCCACCCCGCTTTTCTTTCACGTATGCTGATGTCATGGCTTGTAGGGGACGCTTCGACCGAAATTACTTTGTCAACCCCGCCCCCTTCATGCCCACATCAACAATCGGCCTCTATCCCCTCCCCCCTACCCCCCGATCAGCACTCATAGCCGCCCAACGCACCAGGCTCCCGGAAGTGTACGGCAACTTCATGTCGCCCCCTCCCGACCTCGACGACCCCTCACAAATCCCTCCTTCACCCATGTATGCTGTTCAGCAAGCAGCTTCGGAAGGCGAGGGGATAGATTGGGAGGATGAAAGGATTATGAGCTGGAGTGGGGTGGGGAGGGAGGAGAATGGGGATTGGATGGAGTTGTATGAGAAGACGCAGAAGGGGATCGAAACTCTGGAGGTAGATCTTGTTCTATCATTCGCTTTTGATGTGGTGCTGATCCAGTATAGACGATGCGCTCTTTCTCATCCAACAGTCCTCACCCAGAAGACCTCAAAGGCCTCGTCATCACATCCCCTCTCGAACGCCGCGCCGGCCACTCCATGATAGAACGAAAATCGCTCAAAGACATGGAAGATCAATTGGAACGAGATGTGAAGCGGATGAAGAGAGAGCTCGAAGAGTCGAAGCCTGCTTGGCTGAGGGCTTGGGAGCTGGAGCAGAAAGGGGATAGCAAGTGAGAAGATTGTGGATTGAACGGTACTCGTACTTTACTGAATGTACAAGTACTGTTAAGGATCCCTTCCCCATGCATCCACTATAACAAAAGTCATACTACTATTTGACCTCAGGTTCGTTCACCTGACTATTGCCTGCTTCCTCCGCTTGCGTCCATTCATCGAGAGCTTCCTTCAGAAGAGGCGCCCTGCAAATACTTTTACTCAGAACAAATGGCACAATCGTCGCCAAGAACTTGACTTACAACTCATTCGGTACGCTTTTCAACGCACAATTTTCTTCTTCCGCACATCCACTAATAGATGATCGACCGTTATCAGGTTGATCATCCGTGTAGTGTTCCACTGACCATCGGTTCTCTTCTTTGATCGGGCGATATGTCGATAGATGAGTGAGCACGATACGTGTACCATCATTTTCAACAATGTTGAAACGACTGGCATTACCCAATAGTATCAGATCGAACGTTCCAGACAGATAGGCTAGACCGACTTACCTTGCCACCTCTTGTCTCAATAAGGCGTCAGGATCCGCGCAGCTACAATAAGAGAAGACTTGCTCCACGGACTGACCGTCTATGGTCACCGCGTGGCGACGCCAGGGATCGTCCGGGGCGCAATTGGCATGTTCGTCGACGGTTGTGTTGTTGTTTTGAGAAGGCATCGTGGGTTTTGTCTCTTTTCGAGTGCAAGATATGGGTAGTTCAGTAGTATTTTGTAAGGATCATTCTTCTTTTACTTACTTTCCTGCCCGCAAAGTATTGTAGAACTTGGCCTGGAAGGCAGGGTGCACTCCATTATTACGGTGGTCATGATTTAGCGTCAGTAGCGATAAAAAAACACTATACCAGCCACAAAAGATTCAGGCGGTGATAAAGCTGTCGGGGCTATTGCTAGACGGATCGGGGTTCGTATTGTATCATGTAGCACAGCATCAAAGGATATGCAATCATTTCGCTGTTTGTATTCGACCCCATGCGCAGGCCGGACAGGCGAAGGCTGGAAAAGTTCTCAAAAAAGGATCCACATTCCTTTCTCATATCTTTCTCAGTCCGACTCCGAGGGCGTGAGGGCGCATATCTGTTGGTGGTATACTCGTACTGGAAACGAGCAATGTATTTGGAAAAGAGGCTCTCCACAGAAAGAGCTTGCTGCCATGGAGGCTGTGTGGTTTGCAATTGCAACAGAGAGTGGAAAGGATCAGCATGAGTGCCTGTGTTTGCATGAGTGATTCCTGCCGTCGCGTCGTCTCGATGGGTTGCATAGGATCTCATGGCTCATCAGAAAATACCTTGATAAACAACGGTCTCAATGTTCATTGCGTCTGGGCATACTTCGCGTTCACCCTTCATACGTTAGATACAAAGAGTCCGTATAAGTGTAAGGGATCGGTACGGACTGGTCAGTAGGAGGAGATGTAGTGACGTGGACATTGGAACGCAGAGTCTGGTATTAGGGTTGCCGCTATGTTCTCAGGGACGAGTTAGGCGCGGAGACGAGAGGAGGTTCCCATACATACATCTGCCGCGTCTCCATATCCTTTTCCTTACAGATGTATTCTCAACGTATATTCCTCCTTACCTTTATCCATCCTCTCACCATCCGCCTGTCCCAGGTCGACATCTAGCGCCCCTAGCTGGATCCACTGCGTAACCGCCCCTAGGTCGCGCCTCGCCTACCAACCTCATACAATAAGTTCCTTCGATCTGTAAAAGCGGAGTCGATGCTGACTGCAGATGGTGACGAGCTGTTCGACAAGCTCGATAAAAGAACAACCATACAGCTGACGTACAAGCTCATGTCATCGGGAGGGTGCATAAACTGTCAACTGCTACTTGATTACGATATTTCTGGAAAAAAATCATCTGACCAGTATGGTGATAGAAGTGGGGACTTGAAGCGTCTTCAGCTTGTTCGTTCGACGTCGACAACCTCCGCATGCAGGCCCGAGTTTGCCGTTGGTTTGCCGCCGCCTCTATCAATGACTGTATTGAATGTGTCTTTTTGTCGAGTATGGTCATTTCCTTTTCAATATGGACGATACTGCAAAGATTGCAGCTTGAGTTAGCGTTGTAAACATGGATGTACTGCTGGGGCGGTGGGATCGACAAATGGGACTGAATCACAGCTCATCAGGGATTCTGTCATATGGCAACGTCGGCCGGAGCCGTCTTCTAGCTCATGTCTTGGCTGTGGATAAGTGCAGATATACTGCTCTGGTTCGTCTCCAAAATATTCAGTGCTCCAAAGACCTTTCTCACAATCGGCCTCGTAGCTTTCCACAATCTCAGCCGACACGGCCTCAGAGAGAGGGCTTCTGCATTGAACTAGAGTGACGCCATTAGCTTCTTCTCGCCAAACCAATGACGACCGTTCATGTTAGACAATGCTCGTTGTGACTGGACCTATTTGGGAAAGTCGCTTTCTTGAGTTTCCATCTCAAGGACAAATACTCTGCGCGTGGTCTCTCCGACTTTAAGTCTGAATTGAGTCCACTGACTTGCGAGGGTAAATCCTCTAGGATGTTTACTATCGAATGGTCGGAATTGTCCAGATTCAAAACACTGGATGTGTCGGTTGATCTGGCCATCGTGGTTGTCCAAAAAGTGCTGTAAGGTTCTGTTGCTTATGTGACGGCTGCTGCATTCGATTCCCTATACGCAGTGGATGTGACGGCACCCCAACATGTGAATATGCGGACACTTAGATGCACATCCCATCAGATACTGATGAAAGTCGCCATGACGTGATAATATGCCAGCTCTCCCTGGGCTTTACACAACCAGTCTCTCTCCAACGATGGTAGAAGCTGTTGATGATATCCACATTGGTAATCCATTCGCATGTCTTTCCTATTCTGTATACGAGTACGATACTCGCACGGAAGTACATTGTATACTGATTCACTTCACAGGTCTTCTACGTCACCATCGTTCGAGCTCCCGTCGGCAGCTCCCCCATCCTGGCTGGCATGAGAATTTTTTTTCGGCGCAATCATTGGCAGCCTCGCCTTTTCCTCTCGAAGGTGACGGACACTATCAAATTGTACGTCAGTCTTGGGGACACAATGACTTCCAGACGGAACGAGAACTTGTCCCGTTTATTTTACTTACAGCTCATCGGGAACACTGCCTAATGGACATAGCCGGCCAGAGCCGTCTTCCAGCTCATGTGGCGACCACGGAGAGGTGCACATGTTCGTCCTCCCCTGAGCAGTCTCGTCCCCAAAGTACTCAGCGCCCCAGAGGCCTTGCACAAAGTCAGCTTTGTAGCTGGCCACTTTCGTTGCCGATACAGCCTCAAGAGGTTGAACCATCATACTAGAGTCGCACCACTTTAGCCCCTCTATCCGCCTAAGCTCCCCCCACGACGATGCCCGCTATGTTCAAACCTACCTGGCTACTTCATGATGAAATGTCTGGAGATCTTTGTCTCCGTAGGTGAATATTCTGGTTGTCTTACCGTCGACTGTGACCTCAAATTGAGTCCATTCAGTATGGCGGGCCGATCTAAAGCCCTGAGGGTTTGCGTTTGAAGAACCACTTGCTGTACCGGTCGATTCTGCCATGGTGCGTGATAAGAGATGATTCTTGGTGTAGTTGAATCTGCATTTTCGCTAGCAATTGAGGTCCTTATATGTAGCAGTGGATCATGGCGGTATTTCACTCCTCTGTGAGCATTTCACAGCCATCTCGACAATTTATGAAAGGGATATCTGCTGAAATAGGAAGTACAAGGGTCGTTCTCATCAAGAATCAGGGTTCACTGCGACAGAAGGCCAGAAACAATACAGAACCGAAGGGTCTTGACGTTACGGTGTTTTGAAGATGCTTTTTTTGTTTTCGACTTGTCCGGTCCTTTCTCTCCAAACTTGCCCTTGGCGAAGATGTACCGTTCTGACAACTCACAGCCATCTCAACACTTGATAAAAGGGATATCTGCTAAAATAGGAAGTACAAGGGTCGTTCTCATCAAGAATCAGGGTTCACTGCGACAGAAGGCCAGAAACAATACAGAACCGAAGGGTCTTGACGTTACGGTGTTTTGAAGATGCTTGTTTTGTTTTCGACTTGTCCGGTCCTTTCTCTTCAAGCTTTCCGATGGCGAAGATGTACCCTTCTGGGGATGAAGCAGGCAGCGTTGCCAACTGTCATACTTAGAAAAAAGGAAAGAAGAGCCCAAGAAGGTAGTAATGCGAATCAGAGGATGCAGGGGAAGGACTTGGTGGAAGATGGTGTCCACGAGTCGACTGGGTATCTCCAATCTTGTGCTCTATAGTGAAGAGATATGGTTGCCACTATGATACATCACTCATGCTCATTTAAGGTTGTATGCACCTCGTCTCTAGTACTTGGTTGGGTATCCTCCCTCTGTACCTCGCTCGTCTCCATAACCTCTCCCGTCTTCTCGACCTCTTCGTTGTCTTTCCCCTACCCCTCGTGCTTCTCCTTCGCCGTGTCACTGCCCTCCCCCACGTCCTTCCTGTCATCTATATCCTTCTCTTCTGTCTCCTTCTCCTTCTCCTCCGACTCGTCCTTCTCCATTGCCGTCTCCTGAACGTCAACAGCCCCCATCTGTCCAACAGCCCTCGTCTCGACACTTTCCGCAGGCGGCACTGCCTCAAAGTATACAAGCCCCTGATCCAGCGCAACTCTCATCCTCTTGATTAGATCCATCTTCTGACCCCCAGGCTTTCCCAGCTCACTCTCATCCACCGCTGACCCTGGGAGGTTGACAAAACGCACCATGAGCTCCGCGAGTCTTTCTTTCTTCCAAGACAACTGTGCGAATTCGGATATGGGTGATCGAAGGGAACGGAGGGCGAGAGCTTGTCGGTGGGCCGAGTCTGCTGACGGTATCAGTATGGTGCTGGGTAGACTTGGGATGGTCGCTTACTGAATGAAGCAAGGAGCCGGACAGTGTTCTCTTTTTGGCTAGTAATCCAGGCACACGGCACTGAAGAAAGAATGAGCTTTGTTCACTCATCAGCCACCACGATAAGAGACATCACTGACCACGTTTTGTTTTCTTCGAGTCAACCTCAACATCATCACCATGATACACGAAATTATCATCCTTGACATCATCATCTTGACCTCCGGAACTTTCGCCGTCGCTAACCTCGGGGATGTCATCGTATTGTGCGAGGACTCGGGCGGAAGGGACAGAGTGACGGTGGTAAAAAGGTCTTGTCGGCTTGGGTTTGTGAGGTGGATTCAGGGGATTCGAGTGGTCTAATCCCAAAGAGACGCGGGGTTTCTTTTTGGGCATCTGTGTGTTGTGCTTGGATTTTGAGGGGGAGTCACTGCCACCTACGGGAGCTACATAAGCCTCGGTACAGGTTGCTTTGAGGGAATGCCTACCAGAAAGCGCATCGATACCTCTCTTCAAAGCCCTGTATTTTGTTTCCCACTCCTTTCCTTCCTCTAATGCCCGGCACTCTGCCTCCTTCGCCTTCATCTCATTTTTCAGCTCCTCCATCTTCCACTCCAGCCTGTCTACTTGCATCTTGAGAGCCCGCCCTCGCCTCTCTGCCCGCTCTTTCTCGCCCTTCTCAACTTCGTACTTGGCGACATTTGACTCCAGCTTTTTTATAGCACTCTGAGCTTCGGAGAGGGAGTGTCGGAGGGAGATGTTGGAGAAGAGAGCATCGTCAAGTTCGGATTGAAGCGAGTTGATTTGGGTCTGAAGGGCGATTTCGCGTGAGGATGGCTCGGAGGTGGCTGTGTTGGTCTTGGAAGGGGAGACAGTCGGCGTTGTAGAAGGTGGAGAGTGTGTCCGTAGAGGGGCCGATGTAGTGCCGTCGATATCAGCGTCCATGATTGTCAATGAAAGAGGTATAGAAAGAAAGAGGAAATGAAAAAGACGCGTCGGACCAGCAGCTCCTTCACGACCATCACCGACGGCCACACCCGCCGCGCGTGTTTGTGGCAAATCCGGGTCGGTTGTTGAACGACCGCTATCCGTCCGCCACACTGCGTATGTCTGCATGCATACACATATCTCTTGGTGGGAAATCCAGCCATATTCTTCCAGTGTCCAATAGGAAAGTCCCTTCCGAACATACACGCACCGTGTCCGTTGATCTGGGCCTCGTGGATAACGCGAGGAAAACAGGCGATGAACATGCGTATTGAGAAGGGGAGCTGGCGCGTGACACTAAGACTACATAGCGCTATATAAGCTTAGAGGACGACTTTGTATTGCTGTGGCAACCGCTACGAGACTACCATGGTATGTCTTGACTCTGTGAGGGTTGCATGGTGCTGACGCTATCAACAGGCTTCGCACGATCTTGACACTCCTGGCGACCTTCACGTTATTTCCCGGGAAGACGCGAGTTCTACCCTCTCCACCACCGGTTCTCCCCCCGCCAATTTGGCATATACTAGGGTGGAAGAACAAGCGCTCGACAAGGAGCTCGGCGAGCCTCTGCCGAACGCTGCGCTTTCCGGCAAAAAGCATGCTGGCTCTGACCTCAACGACATTGTGAGATGGTCGCTTCCAGTGTAATATTATAGCGGTGTACTGATACAAAATATGCAGGGAGTCAAAAAACGGATCGACAGGATTCTCTCCATTCTTGAGAAGCAGGAGGGCATTGCCAGATTCAAATCTGAACACTCTTTAAATTCTTCTTCTTCTTCCTCGTCCTCCTCATCCTCTTCTCCCTGGTCCTCCGGGTCAGCACACAGTTCGGCGTATAGCCGTCATGGCCCCCGACACATCAACAGAAGAGGCCCTCCTCCCAATGCAAGGCACTTTGACGACATCCCCTCCCAACCCTTCCCCTTCTCCTCACCATCCCACCAAACATTCACCCGCGTCCTCCAACGTATCGTCGCTCGCCTGACCTTACCCTCCGAGCTCCCCCCACCCTTCCGACCCGTCCACCAAGATTTCAAGACCTTCGTCTCTGTCGAGCTCGGGCAGGGCCTCCTCTCTTTCGACGACTATACCGCCGACCCCGCTCAGAGCGCTATCGCCTCCGTGTTGGGACAGATGGAAGCTTGGGAGCTTCTCCTAGCCCCGACTGCTATCCACCGTCCGGGGTGGGCGAATCCAGGAGGTGATGTCACTGACAACGAGGGAGCGGCGAATCAGGATGAGAGCAAACATGCTATCCTCGCGAATTTGGTTGGAAGGAGCTGGAAGGAGCTTGACAATTTTGTCGTGTACCCTCCTGAGCCAGATGAGGGACACCAGGCGGTGTATAGGTCTATCGTTGCTCGAAAATTCCTGGGCCATCCTTCCCCTCTGTCTCACTCGGCCATCGGTCCTATGAGGCATGGAGGGGGCTGCTGTTAGGACTGGTAGCGGTGTAGACGAGCAATCGTCGCTTGCGACAAGTGTATAGAAGTGTCGCAGCTGGATTAGATTGCATTATGCATCATGTGAACTTCTTGTTTGGCTGCGTCTATCGTATGCTGTGGGATGGTGTTCATTCGTACAAAAACCGACTGGATACCCGCGTGGCATGTATATACGTGTAGAAGAATGCATGCATATTGATTTTGCCGTCTTCTGCTGATCATCAATCTCCTCGAGGCGCAAAACGACCAACCTCGCAGGCAGTAGGGAGTGAGTGGCCAAACGTTTTCGAGACAAGGTATAAGATCTGGCTATCTCTCTGTTCCAGAAGATACCACAAGCCTTCTAATAACCTTACGATGGTGAGTCTACATATTCCAAATCGTGTAGAATGCGCATGTCAGGCAAGACGTACTCACAATCCTACAGCCTCAGCCAAATTCCCCCACCCGGGCCCGAGTCGGCTCGCCACCCCTCTCATCCCCCGACAGCCCTCAAAGCTCCAACCGCACCCTCACCAGAGGCAGCGCCAGAACGTACATACCCGAAGACAGCCCCTCGACTTCAGAGGCGTACCTCACCGCATCATCTCATATAGACCTCACTGCATCATCTGCATCATCTCAGAGAGAAGGTGCAGGATCTCCCTTGAGGACACGAACGACGGGGACGACAACGGCGGCGCACCCGACTGGTTCAGGTTTCCATATCTGGCACAAGCCTGCCGTCGACCGTCCTAGGATGTCGACATCATCTTCGGATGAATCTATCAAAGTCAATCCATTTGCATTCCCCCACCAAGTCTACCAACAACCACCCCCTGCCCCCGTCTTCCAGCAGATCACAAAAACGAGGCCCTCCCAAGCTACTTTCCGAAAAACCTTCACCCGCATTCTCGGCCGTCTCGCCGTCCCCCACAGTATCTCTATCTCGTTTCGCCCCCCCGAAGAATTCGAGCAGTACGTCCAAGACGTCATGGGCAACTTTCTCCATACTTTTGACGACTATACGACTCAGGAAGCGCAGGAGGGTATCGCCTTGATGGCTGGACAGCTTGAAGCTTGGCAAGGTGTGTTGGCAACGCCTGCACCGTATTTGATGAGTTATATGAAGGGTGAGGAGGGGGAGAGGAAGGAAGGGGAGAGACATGAGCCGCTGGCGGGGTTGATTGAGAAGAGCTGGATGGAGTTGGATGGGTTTGTGCTGGTTGAGGGATATCCTCGTGAAGTGCCGAGGCCTTTTTATTGAATCCCTAGTCGTGCTTACGTCGACGTGGAAGGATTTTCCCTGGGTTGTTGAGAGATGGTTGATGAGGAAAGACAGCACCATTGGGAGCAGTATCGCAAATGCATTCATACAGGCCATGAATGTTTGAACTATTCACATTCTCCAGAGCCCACCCCTCAAGCCTTCTTGCCCGTAAAGACGCTCAACCCCAAACCCTTATTATAAGGAAGCACAACATTGCTATACCCATTCGCCGGGTCATTCATATACGCAAACAACTCCTGATAGCCCTTCTTCCCCGCCGAGCCTATGACGTTGTCGGTGATGATGGTGGTGCCGGTCTTGAAGTGTGGCTCAAGGATCCTAAGCGTGGGTAGGGCCATGTCTACCCAGACTATCATTGCTTTGTCAGCATTACTTTCGCGTAGCAGTAAAAGAAAGGAAAGACGTACTGTCAAGTAGCAAGACATCCACCCCCGCGGATGGTATCCCCTGCTTCAAGGTTTCCCTCAAATCACCCTCTCTCAGATCTATGACGCCCTCCACATCAGGGCCTGCCTCACGCCAATACGCGCGGGCTTGGGAAGCCTTGGTGGGTTCATATTCCGTCGCTATCACCGTGGGCGAGATTGATGGGGTGTCGCGTTGGTTGTTGAGGACTGCGAGAGCGAGGTAGATCGTACTGACTCCGAAACTCGTTCCGGCCTATATCAACCATCAGCCACTACCTCTCAAGAAGGACAGGCGGTACTCACTTCGACGACGACGCTAGCATTCTTCGCCCTCAAAAGCTGGTATACGAACCAACACTTGTCTTCATCCAAGGCTATAAACTTGTCTTGCATGAGAGCATGGAAAGAGGCAGCCCTGTCAGGACCGAAGGTGGCACGGGAAAGTTGAGATTCTTGTTCGAGAGAGAGGGCGTGGAGGGAAGACAGGAGAGGGGCGATGTGGGCTTGGGAGGGGGTGTATGCGATGGGCTTTTCGGAGAGCGACATCTTGTTGCAGTTTTAATGAACAAATGTTTGGGTTGTATAGCTACTTTTATACTACAGCAATATGGTTTGAGTAGAAACCGCGCAGCCAAATTCGAGTCACATGCGCGAGCACGACTCGGCATCGAAGACGGAAGCCCGAAGGTGGATTCAGCGGAGAGGTAGTCCATGTCCGTCATGGTCGAGTTGAACCAGAAACTCGGAAACGTCCTGCCACAGTCCCACCATCTCCGTGGCATGCTGCAACTCTCCGGCCTAGCAAGCATGGATCCAGAGTACTCTCGAACAAACCCTCAAAAGAGAAGATCACTTCGGTAAGGTCCAGAACGGCGAGGTGTAGCCCACCACGCAGCTGCTGACTACAGATGTAACCTTCCTTTTCCTTTTACTGGTGACTTCACACGCGATTCAAAGGATCCAAACCTCCTTTGTCTACTCTCCCGGTCCCAGAGTTTGTTATGCACTAAATCGAGGTGATGAAAAAGTACTGAAGTGAGATCTATCGGCCGACGCCCGACAAGACCTTTCTTGAACAAACAAACAAACAAGCGACAAGTCACCAGTTCTTCAAGATGTCTTCCTCAGCAGACCGCGAAAAGGCCAAAAAAGCCGCCGCCGAAAAAGAAAAAGAAAAGAAGGAAAAGAAGAAAGCCGAAGAAGAGCTCAAAGCCGCACGCAAAAAGTACATGGAAAAGGCCAACCCCAAGACGGTGGACCAGTTGTTGGGTGGGAAGGATTTAGAGAAGGATTATTTCAAGGAAGGGGAGTGGAGGCCGAGTTGGGCATATGTTGAGTTTGTAAGTCCAACAGCGAGATGAAGCGGGTGTTGGGGATGGAGGGGTGAGAAGCTGATGTGGGGGTGGTAGAATGGGGATGCCTGCTTGGCGAATGTGTTGGAGAAGAAAGTTGAAGGGTTCTATGTCCCGGCAGGGACGATTCTCCCCCTGGGCGCACAAATGGCCGGAATGACTGTCGTCAAATACGGAGGATACTTTCCTGAAGGGACGTCGTTCCCCGGCGGGGTGATGGTGCCGATGCATGCTCGTATGGTCAATGTCAGTTTTATTTCGAGCTTGGGTGGCACTAGAAGCTGATGTAAAGCAGTTGTTACCAAAAGAGACGAAAAAGGGCGCTGGAAAGATGGAAGAATCGCTATGCCTCGTTCAGTAACCCCCCCGCACATACTGTAGATACCCATGCAAAATGCATAATTGTAATGCTTCTATCCCATTTTCTCCTTCTACGCCTTGATCTCCTCAACATAACTCCCCCTCTCATCAATATCCAACACCTTCCAATCAACCTTTACATTCTCCGCCCCAAAGATGCTCTCAATCTCTTGCGCGATGGCGTCAAAGTTGTGGGTGGCGAGTGCGAGGATGGTGGGGCCGGCGCCGGAGAGGCAGATACCGAGGAGGCCGGGGTGGGATGTGGGTGTGAGGGTGGACAGGATTTTAGGAAGGCCGGGGATCTGCCAGAGAAGTCAACGGATGAACTGGTTGGAGGGGAAGAGGGGAAGGGGACGTACGAGGTTCATGCGGTATTGTTGGTGTACACGGTCGCCCATGGCATCGTAGATGAGATCAGGATCAGGCGGTGACCGCGCCAAAGCAGTCGTAAGAACCGCCAACCGTTGCAAATTGAAGATCTAACCCCATCAGCTCTTTCCATACCAGCTTCGAGCTGGGCAAAGGACTCACCAAATCCTTCTTGGAATACGATTCCGGCAACACACCCCTCGCCTTGGCCGTCGCCAGCTCAAACCTCGGGCTCACAGCAATCGCCTTGATCTCCTTTGCCCACCCGAACCGCACATAGTGCCCGATACCATTCGGCGGTTGAGGCGGGTTCTTGCCCCATTGAGGTCCCGCATCCGGCGGGAACTCTGGCAGTACTTCCGCCAGCGGGATCGAAGCCGCCGACATGTCTTCTGGCGACAGTTCACGGAGGTACGACCCGACAAACCCACCGACGAGGGCAGCAGTAACGTTATCGGGATGACGCTCGACCATGAGCGCAAAGTCGAGTAATCTCGCTTTGGGCAGTTTCAACTCGCCCAGCAAGTCACCGAGGAGGACACCGGCGATGACAGCAGCGCCAGAAGACCCGAGTCCACGGCCAAAGGGGATTTCATTGTGCGCTTCGATAGTCACACCAGGGGGGAAGGCCGACTTGCCGTTCGCCCTAAGCACATAGAGGGCGACACGGGTCAAGAGGTTTTTGAAAGGAGAAAGAGGGACGTTCTCAGAGTCGAGGCCGGTGTAGACGATTTTGGGTAACGGCTCGAGCTCGGAAGACGGCGCGGGGATAGTGACGACAAGCGAGAGAGAGCGCGAGAGGGCGATGCCGCAGACGTCGAAACCGGGCCCGATGTTGGCGGAAGTCGCTGGGACGTGGATCTTGTACTTGCGGTCGCTCATCGCTGCTTTTGTAGAAGAATTATAGCTCGAAAACAAAAAAGATGGAAAGAGTTCGGGATGTCTCGACTCATGCGCGCAAAAGTGGGCGCGCAGTTAAAGGATGATTACGTACACGCCCATTTGTGCTCTTTCACTCAAAGAATCGCGATTCAAGGTGTCTATGACCTCTGACATTCCAGCCATCACCCGCTTTTTCTCTATACCTCGCCCCAGCAGCGACCCCTATCCTCGTCCCATCACCAAAAGAACACAGATCAAAGCAAAATGGGTGGCCGAAAAGTGATGGTTCAGGTGCGTCTTCTCTGTCTTGACATTCGAGGATTGTTATTGACAAAAGACACGTCTGGTATAGCCCATCAACATCATCTTCTCTCATCTCCAAAAGGTTGGTGTCTTTTTCTACTATCCTCAAGTGACATTAGACGGAATGGGCGGGAGCTGACGGGAAGAATAGCATAACCGCGTATCAGTCTGGCTCTACGACAACAACGAGTTCCGAATTGAAGCCTTCGTCGTTGTACGTCCCCCCCCCCACCCCTCATCCCCCATCCCCCCTTCACTGCCCTCATACAGTCGGGTAAAGTGCAAAGCTGACAAACGTTTGATGGTAGGGCTTTGACGAATTCATGAACCTTGTTTTGGACGATGCGGAAGAAGTGTATGACTGTGGGGCGAAGCCGGGTAAGGAGGTTCAACCGCGGAGAGAACTCGGTATGTCTTTTTCCCCAATCTTGTCACAGGGCTATATATGTCGCCCCTCGGCACTGGATCGAATTCGGATCTCGCAAAAGAATGGATGGAAGAGCTAACGCGGGTTATAGGTCGTATATTGCTGAAGGGCGACAACATCACTCTGATACAACCAGTCACCGCCTAAACACCCTCCCACGACTGATCCTGAATGGAGTGTGTAGATGGAAGTTTGAAATGGGAAAGAGGGACGGGGATAACTACTTTACATGTCTTGGTGGCATGAATCTCGGCATCAAAGATTGAAAGCTCTGTTTTCTTTGGGTCGTGTGGATTTGCAGATGGACAGAATGTGTATGAGGTCTACATGTAAGCGAGCGTTTGCGATGATGGAAGCATGGTGGTCAAGGGAGAGGCAAGGTCTCGGACGCACGCGGGATATACGACTACGGTCAATGACTCCCACCCCGCCGCTTTCCATACTGACGCCCGGTTCCGGAGAACATATCCATATCATGCTAATGCTCAGAAAATACAACAATCTTACAAATACAACCATCTCCAACCATCCTCCCACTCTCACAACATCCATCAAGCGCGTGCCCCAACCTTCACCTTCTTACCCCTCGGCTTTGGCTTTGGCGTGACATCAAAGTCATAATCCTCATAATTCGCGCTTTCCCCAGGAAGCAGGATGCGCACCTCGAACCCGTCTGCGCGGCTGATCTCGGGGGGTGTGCGGGGGGAGAGGTGGGGCGGGGAGGGTGGAGTCGATTGGCGTTTGTTTGTAGGCGTACGTTCTGTACGATGTTTGTCTTTCAGACGCCTGGCGTTTGCTTCTTCTTCTTCTGGCCCTTCCCCTTCCTCTGCATCTGCACCGTCCCCAGTACACTCTTTGGTCTCTTCACTAGGTCTAGAAGGAGCCTCCTGCCAGCGCGTATCAATTTCACTCATAACCCTCACAATCCCCGTCCCACCCCCAACCCCCGCTTGTGGAAGCCTACTCTTCGGAGGGGGGCGGGCATTGGTGATATGTATCGCTTCGCACACCACCGGCGGAGGGGGGGCGTATGCTCCAAAGGTCCTTATCTTTATCCCAATCCCATCAGCTCCATTCTCACCCCAACCCACATTAAGATCAAGTGTTTGAGAAGAGAACGCACCTTGCGAACGAGATCGCGGCCATCCTCCAACCACCCCACAACCCCCACCCAATCCCCCCTCCCAAACCGGACCATCTCCCGCCCCACCAATCCCTCCCTCTCGACCTCGCTCTGTGATAAAGCAGAAGAAGGATGGGGTGGTTGGTCGGTGTTGAACACTACCGCTCTCTGCTCTGGCTCTGAGCGCGTTGCGAGAGATGTATACCCCGGGGTGATGAGTCTTGGAGGTGGAGGGGGCTGGGAAGGGGAGGGGGCGAGGAGGGGGATGGATATGTTGACGACTATAGTTGGGCATTTGCGACAGAGACCTTCGGGTTGGGCGGTTAGGATGATGGTGGCTTTTTTGGGGTTGTAATGCAATACCCTGCTTCAGAGTCAGCCTTGGTACTTTTTCCTTTCTGCACTATCGAGAAGACAAGAGGAGAGAAGAGAAGAGACGTACTGTCCTACCAACCGAACCTTCCGCCCCCGCATTCGCTCATCCACTTTCCAGATCGGACAATACAACGCCGGCGGCACGGGTTCTATCTTGCCATCGCCTATCGCTGGGAGGATGGTGTATTCCACCGTCTCTTGTGGTCTTTCCTTCTCTTTTCCTTTCCCTTTGCCTGTAGTCTTTGATTGACTTGGATGGGGTGTAGATTGGGTGGGAGTGTGATGCGGCGAGAAGACACGGGCAGCTTGAGGGTGGGGTGTGCCTGCGAAGGGGAGGGCGAAGCCTGGGCGGAAGGGGCGGACTCGTGGGGTAGGGGTGGGGGTGGATTGGCCGTCTTGGGGTGGGATACGTATGGATGTAGGGGGCATCCCAACTTTCTACGGCTGATGAACAAACGCAGAAGAGGAGAATGAGGAAAAGTCCAGTCAACTGGGAACGCGTCGCGTCGGACGCGATTTGATCTTGTTTTTCATCGATTCTCATTCGGAGAGGTGGTTTGTTCGGTGGGCCATGAATGCAGTTTCTTGGTATAAAGATGCACACCTCTTGTCACAATGCACGTCCATCATCTCTATATACTCGTACTGTACATCTGCCCTTCGGGCGTTCCCTGTGTTCCTGTGTTCCTCTATAGTCTGTACATATGACTCTGACTACAATCAGCTCTGCCCCACCGGCCTGACCGCCACCACCTCTTCTTCACCAGCTTTCTTGGGCGCAGACCCGATCTTGGGAGGAAGCACCAGCACCCGGGTGTTGCGCCGCCAGAATGTGATGAGCGTAGAAGCGAGTGCTGCTGGGTTATCCTACTTTTTCGATTAGCCTCCAACTACTTCATGCTTTCCCAACATTCCCAAAAACAATGCCCCTCAAACAGAAAAGTGAAAAAGGAATAAGAGAAAGAAAGACCCACCTCATGCAAATAATGCCCCACCCCCTCCATAACCTCCAACTGAAACTTGCCTTGCATCTGCCCCACCATCAACTCCTTATCCAGACGCTCTTGCCCCGCAAGCACTAAAAGGCGGGCAGAGGGGAGGGCGAGGAAACGGGAGGAGAGGGAAGTGTACCAGGAGAGCCAGAAGGGGGCGGTTTGCTGGAGTGGGGTGCGCCATGTTTGGGGGCTGTTGGGGGATTGGGATTGGGATTGGGATTGGGAGGGGAAGGAAGGGGTGAGGATGGAGGGGACGGAGAGACGGGCGGAGGTGGGGTTCCGGATCGAATTTGAATGCACACTGATTCACCTCACATCAGCTTCCTCTCCCTCCATCTCCCCCTCCATCCCTCATCTCAAACCCTCTATAGCTCAAGTGAAACAATGACTCACTGCCACCAAATCCCATCCACAACACTCTGAAACTCCTCCGGCCTCTTGCTTAAAATACTCTCCATCATGGGTAAACTTTCCACCGCCGTACCCTCCACCACGTCCAACACGACCGTCCCGGGGACGAGGTAGCCTTTTTGGATGAGGAGGGGGACGGAGCAGATGGTGGGGGAGGCGCCCATGGAGTGGCCCATCATCTAAAAGGGGAAGGGTCAGCTTTGGCAGATAGAGGGGAGGGGAAGAGGGGGAAGTTACGATGAAAGAGGGCGATTCTTTTGGGCTGGGAAAGATGGTATCGATAAGAGAGATGAGATCTGAAAGCAGAGTCTCTGCAGAGAGGTCTTTCTCCAGCTCTACCGGTTCCGTCCTCGTCTTACCTACCACCCCCATCAGCTCCCTTCCATATCCATATCATTGGGAGACAGAAAGAAGACAAACCATGCCCACGACAATCAAAAGCCAAAACCCCCATCTCCCCCCCGCTCACACGTCTCACCTCTTTCGCCAAAGCAGCGAAAGAAAGACCGCCGGACCCTCCGCCGTGGTGGCAGATCAAGTAGATGCCGTGGGGGTTGGTTTGCTGTTGCGTTTGGATCTTTGGCGCTGGGCCGGGGCCGAGGCTTGGGCCCGGAGGTGCATTTAAAGAAGAGGGGGTGGAGGTGGTGGTGGAAGGCGGGGTGAGGTAGACTCGGAAAGTACAAGGCGAGCCCGTCGGCTGCACTTCGATAGCCTGATCAAAGTATCCGCTCGCAGAGAGGGGAGAGTAATCTTGCATGTCGGCTTTGCTGGGTCCTCTTGTCTTGCTACTCATCTTCATCAGTACCGAATCTTGATTCTCATCTCGGTTTGAAGAGAAGAGAAGTGTAGGAGGGCGTACGGAGGTTTCATCTGACCAGCAGGCAGTTCCCCAATCCCCTCGCTTTCCTCCGCGAGCTCTTCGACTTCTTCCGACTCGTCGTCCCCTTCTGCGAGGGGCTCGTCTGCCCATGGTGCGCGGGTTGGGGGCAGGTCGGGGAGGCGGTTGAGGAGGCTTTTGCGGAAGATGTCGGACATTTCTCTTAGCCTTGTCGCTGGATTTGGAGAGTAAAGATTCAGTGACAGAGGGGGGGTCGGAAAGTGGAGGAGAGTGGAGGGTAGCCACGTGGGAGAGCGGAGATGGCCGACTGTTATCTGGTGCCTTGTTTGTCCCCTCGAGATGGATGAGCGATGGGCCGATGGCGCTGTGTCGATGCTGGAGAGACTGGAAAAACGCCTCTAGTCGGAGAGAGCTACCATCGTATAGTATGACCATTTTTCCAGAATTCAAAATTGAGGGATGGAAGACTGGAATGAGCTGCCACTGCGTCGGACGCGTGTTGAACCACGCGTTGTGGTGATGGTCTTGACAGTTTACATGGTTTGGAGCCCGTGAGCAGGTGATGGATACACCTAGCTGGAATGCCAGGATGTTCTAGAGCTGCACAACATGATATCAACCCGCTGTCAAGACTGTTCATTGTTGCCATACCCACGCGACGCGTCCCCTTCACCACCCGCCCTCCACCACGGCCGCTCTTCCCCCGTCCTCGTCTCGCTCCTCGTTTACCTTCCTGCGTCATACCATCCAGGTCCCTCCTTATCACCCTCCCAAAAATCCCCCTTCATTAATATTTAATACACCTCACCGATCTCAATAATTCGTTCGGCGATATAGCGTGTGGCAGCCGAATTAAATCAGTACAAGTCACGTGACGTTGTTTACATTTCCGGCATGGAGGCTGGCTGTGTTTTGGTGCGGGGTGACGGCCACAGAGCAGATCGCCCCCCCATCTCCTCTTTCTTTTCTTTTTTCTCCCCATCCATCCAGATTTGAGCTATATCTTTTGTTACTTCTTGTGAGTTGCTTATAACCGTCCACCTGCCCAGCTAACGCGTCACAGCTACCTCGACGCAAGTATATCAATCAGTCAACGCAACCATGGCCCCCGTCAAGAAGACCACCACCACCGCCAAGAAGGTTCCTGCCCACCCTCCCTTCCTTGATATGGTCAAGGTGAGTCACTATCCCATCCTTCTCTACTACTCTGCTCTGCTGCTTCTTTGTGCTTGCTCGTGCTCGGATGTGTGCTGGGTAGTAGACCCGCGGTCACTCTCAGCGCGCGTGTGGGAAGGGCCAGAGGAAATTCGGTTGGGCAGTGTTGAATGACCTTTTGCGGTCCTTCCTTCTCGATCCATCCTCTGGGGGAGCACTCTCTGGGTATTCTTGGGGTCTCTGGTAGACGCTCCGTCGATGATGTGGCTTCTATGGAGGCGAGATGCGTCAAAACAAGGACGGCGTCAGTGGAGCGCGTCCGCCCTTTCTGCCATTCAACTTGATTGCTCTTCCTCATCGTCGGCTCTGATCTCTTGGCCGCGCATCCTCTCGCCTCCTCTTGGTCTTTTGGCCTACATTCCCTTGGCAACTTGATGCAACAAGCGGATAGAGCTGCCCGGTCAGATGCCTGGGCATCAATATCCCGAGCGAACGCGCCTTTTTTCCCAGCCTCTCCCATCTCACCTCTTTCTTATCCTTCCGTCTCATGTGTACCTTCCCCCATCCTCCTCCTACCCATGCTGCTTCTCCTCTACGCCCTGTATGCCTGCTTTATGCTTCAGGAGAGGTCTCACAGCGGATGGCTTGGTGGGTCGCGGGGGGCGGCTCTTTTGCTTCCCGCGCCGGACACCGAGTATATCCTTCTTTGCTTCATCACTCCACCACTATGGGATTTTGGTGCTCGAAACTCTTCATACGAGCTGTATACCATCCCACCTCCCCCCTATGTTGTTTACATCCCTTCCCCGTACCCTTCTTCTGTCACCATTTCCTTTTCTGGCCGTTTTCCCTTCTCATCACATAAACCTTCTTGAACGTTTTGTTAATGATTATACTAGGCTGCTATCCTCGCGCACAAGGAAGAAGCTCGTAAGGGTATTTCTAGAGCTACTATCAAGAAGTACGTCTCCCCCTCTCCCCTCCTTATCCCATCCCCTCCTGCCTCCCGCCTCATCCCTTATCATCCCTCCCTTAGACTAAACGAGCTGACAACGGAGCAGGTACCTCGAAGAGACATACAAAGTCGACCTCTCCGTCCCCGCCAACGCTACCAACCTCACCTCGGCCATCCGCCGGGGCGTCTCGAGTGAGGTGTTGCAGTTGCCTTCCGGGCCTTCGGGTAGGGTCAAGCTTGCGCCTGTACGTTCCCTTCTTCCCCTCCCTCTGTCTGTCCGTTTGGGAATGAGATTGGAAAGGAAAAGAGCTGATAGTCGGATGAAGGCTGCAAAGGCCGCGGCTGTGAAGGAGGCCAAGCCCGCCGCTCCCAAGAAGGCTCCCGCCGCCAAGACGCCTGCTACCAAGAAGCCCGCTGCCACCAAGCCCGCCGCGAAGAAGACTGCTTCCAAGACGACGACCACCAAGTCCAAGGCTACCGCTACCAAGGCTACTTCTGCCAAGGCTGCGCCCAAGAAGACTACCACCACCAAGGCTGCTACCGCTACCAAGGCTAAGGCTGCCCCCAAGCCCAAGGCTGCTACTACAAAGGCTACTACCACCAAGAAGCCTGCTGCTAAGAAGACTACTGCGGCGGCGGCCAAGAAGCCTGCTGCGAAGAAGACTGCTTCGGGGACTAAGAAGGTTCCTGCTGGTACGTCCCTCCCCGTCTCTGCCGTGTTTTGGAGGGAAAAGAAAAGAAAAAGGAAGGAAGCTGATGATGTTTGATAGCCAAAGCTGCCGCTGCGAAGCCCAAGGCCAAGGCTGCGCCTAAGAAGGCCGCTGCTAAGCCCAAGGCTAAGGCTGCTCCCAAGAAGGCTTAAACGACCTTCTCTTTCTCCTTCTCTCTTCTGTCGTTCTTCGTTCTTCGTTCTTCGTTCTCCAAAAGGCGCGAGGTTGGAAGATGTTTTGATTTCGCTCCTTTCTTTTGGTGGATGGGTTGCTACCTCTTTGCCCCTGTTGGTGTATTAACGGGTGCGATTTGTATTTGACCTCTTCGTACCCATTTGTTTTCTGATTTCCGTATAACCTTCGACCTTCGTTTTCGATCTGCCTTTCTTTTGATTTTTCTAGAATCTGAAACTCCTGGACTTTATGCATCGGTCCAGTGATCCCCAATAATCCCCATTTGACTTGTGATCAGATTCCAAACTGCTTATCCAGCGCTACGACGACCCCAACAACAACACCAGCATCGTGCGATAACGTCGCCATCAACCTCCACCTCTCTCCACCTCCGCCGCCGCCTCCGCCTCCGAGCCCTGGTAGCCCTGGCCCTGGTAGCTGCACAATGTCTAAAGAAGGCTGGCCGGAGGGAGAGTGGGCTAGGTGGAATGATTTCCAAGAGGGTGGGCGGGGGAGGAGGGGGGTGAGGGATTTGTAGGCTGCTTCTTTGATACACCAGCTTGCTCTGTCTGTTAGTACGAGTAAGGTCCATTTCGTTGACCCTAAAGACGTACCGGGATGATAGGAATTTGACCTGTTTCTGTATCAGGTCTTCATCCCCCTCCTTCTCCTCCTTCCCGGCATCTTTACCCTTTTCCAAAAAACCCAAAGAAGAACCCAGAGAAGGAGAAGAGGACGACTGAATCTTGACGAACCGCTCCATCTCACCACTCGTCAAGATCCGCCTAGCCACCTTGCCCGCCCCGCGCCGCCGGACGAACTGGGTGAAGCGGGGGAGCGAGAGGATGTCTATGCCTATGCCGGATATCATCCCCCCTCTATGAATCTTCGAATGCTTATAGGGGCAGAGGGAGATGGGAGGGGGGGGGGAACGCGACGCGACGTGACTTTAAAATGGAATGAGAGAAATAACTTCAGGTTCTAATGTTCTGCGCGATCTGGCGCGTTTGCGCGTATTTCCTCTTTCATTTTTCTTGTGTCTTTACTCTTCAGGCGTACACCTTGCAACAACGCATCTCACGATACAATATGGACGACGAGCATAACGCATAGTAAGCTATACACTGTATCATTGTAAATGCGTACAATTGACGCGTGATAGCGAAATCGAAAGGCAAAAGACGATCGCAGAGAACCGCGCCCTCCTCGACTCTTTAGGCCTCGACCCCTCCTCCCGCTCCCCCTTCCCCTCCTCCTCCTCCCCTGCGCCTACATCCCACCCAAACAAATCCAAACCCTCCAAAGCCAAACCCGCCGCCGCAAAGAAACGCAAAGCCCCAGACAGCGCGGGCCCAGCCGACGACGACGGCGGCCCAAGGCGGAGGAGCGGCCGTTTGAGGGGGATGGAGGCGGATGGAGAGGAGATGAAGGTGAAGCTTGAGGAGGAGGAGAGGGAGAGGGAGGTCTTGAGGGTTGTCAATAGGAGGGAGAGGGAGCAGGTTATGGGGGTGGGGAGTATGGTGGAAGAGGGGACGGAGGAGGGGGAGGTTAAGGAGCTGGTATGTGGGTTGTATATGATGGGGGCTGAGCTGATTGTGGTGTAGGAGACTTTTTTGAGTTATATGTCTGCTCTTCCGAATCCGAGACCATATCTATTGGGGACAGAATCCGACTCGGACGCCTATGCCGACTCCAGTACTACGTCTGATGACACCCAGCGTCTCCGCGAGGCATTCAGCGATATGAGTCTCAAGGCGAACGTCAAGGTCACAAACGAGCGCGTATTCAGCATGTGTGTGCACCCAGAGAAGAGAAAGACGATCGTCTTTGTAGGCGACAAGTACGGTGGTTTAGGGATGTAAGTGATCTGGTAGCTTTTGGAGGCGAGAGCTGATGGTGGTAAAGTTGGGATGCTCTGGGACCCGCGGCGGCGAAAGCTGAGAATGACGACGATACGAATGGTGTCAAGGATGAGGAGGAAAGCCAGGAAGGACGGGTCTGGAGGATCCAGGCGCATGCGAAGAATTCAATCTCGTGCATGAAGGTTGACCCCATCAGCGGTTCAGGTGTATGTCTCTTCCATCCGCATCCTCCATGCACGCTGACTATAGGCGTAGCTCTTTACATCAGCATACGACTGCTCCCTCCGCCATCTCGACTTTTGCTCCCTCCAATCCACCGAACTCTTCCGTCTCCCCGACGAAGACCTGCTCATCAATCACTTTGACCTCGTCCCCTCCGGCCAAGAAGCATGGATGGTGGACAAGAACGGCGGTTTGAGCCACTGCGATTTCCGGCAGAAGTCTAGTCAGAGTGGGAGGAAGAGGTGGGTTTTGCAAGATGAAGGCCGGGGGGCAAAGCTGGGAGGTGTTAGTGTCAATCGTGAGTCGTTTTGCTAGTTTTGAGATGAGGGGACAGAGCTGACGGGAGGAAAAGCTGCGATGCCGCATTTGATCTGTACGGCGGGGAATGATCAGCATGTTCGCATATGGGATACTCGTCTTTTGGCCGATATCCCCTTCGCGGCCACTACGATTGATGATTCCAAGCCGCCGACGCCGCCTCCATCTGCCCTACTTCGGACAGAGCCCGTGGGAGTATCAGACTATGACGCCGTGTCAACCTTCATGGGTACGAAGCCCGGGAAGGGGTTGATGCGGGGCAAGTGGCAGCATGGCAAGAGCTGTAGCAGTGCTTATTGGGATCCGTGGGGCCGACGTCTTTTGACGACGAGTTACGACGACACCCTCAGAAGTAAGTCCCTCCCATCCAACTTTCGACCATTGCTGACATGAGCAACAGTCTTCAACCTCTCCCCCTCCACCCTCTCCTCGCCAACCCCAATCCCCTCCTCCCTCCTCAAACCCACCAAATCCATCCGCCACAACTGCCAAACCGGCCGCTGGCTCACCATCCTCCGCGCCCAATGGTCCGCCTCTCTCTCCGCGCCCCCGCACTTTACAGTCGGCAACATGAAGCGCACGTTGGACGTCGTCAGCGGGGTCAGCGGGGAGCGGGTGGTGAGCCTGTGGGCGGAGGGGGTGACGGCGGTGCCGACTGTGACGGCGAGTCATCCGGGGGTGGTGGATCGGGTTGTGGGGGGGAATACGAGTGGGAGGGTGCAGCTTTGGAGTAGTGGGGATGGTATTTATGAGCAGTGAGGGGTGGGGTGTGTGTTGGGACTTTTCTGTTTGCGTTTTCTTGGATTTTTGAATACCTTGGGCTGTCGTTTGTTAAAGCTGCATGTATAATGGCAATCTGATTTCAGGATGATGCAAGATGGACTTGGTTGGGGATCGCTCCAGTCGTCTGCGGGAATTTCATGCTTGCTCTACATCTACCCGTTTTCTGGCGCTGATGTTCTTCTGATACCGCGGGGCGCATCTCTCGAAGCCGTGAGTCTAGTCAGGGATTCATAGCAGTCGCTGCGCTCGCCCGGCATAGGATGCAGACATCGTTGACAAAATGTATATCATTCAACTTGCAGCAGCGGTCAGTGCTGGATTGCTGGGGTGTTGCATCTGGCTTCTAGGTCATCAAACATACTCCGATGACTGGACTATCCTTGCTCGCTCTTGGCAGTCTCGGAACCGCCGGCAGTTTGTCTCGCATGGTTGTTCCTGTCGAACGGGTGATTCTCTCAACTATTATGAGCATGGCCTCCTTTCTATTGTAGAGTACTCGTACTCAAAGTAACTTCCCAAAGCGGGCATAGTAGACTCTAAACGTGGCACATCCTGTCTTCCTAACAACAACGGGTGAGTTTTGACCCCAATTATCCCTCCCTTTCACTGAGAAGCAGCAGGCTTGCCATTCTACATACCTCCTGCCAGCCTTTGTCAGTAAGTTGCTGAATACGATGGTACGCAATCGTATAAGCCGATGAGGCTTTTCGCATCAATCGGCTTCCATATATCAAATCTTGTCGTTACAAACACATAGTCTCACCACAACTCCATATCGACAACGATGTCGGAGACCCGACAAACACCACCTCCATCTGCTAGTGTTTCGCCTGGCCTCCAGGAATCCCACTCGGCTGATGAGACCGATGCCGATTACACCGCTGAGTCATCCCTCTCCAAGCACTGGACAGGGTATCGTGTTCAAATTGATAGGACATTTCCTTCTCACGTTGATGAAGCAATTCATTTGCAAGATGTTGAAACGGTCTTTCGTCCTGAAAGCGTGGCAAAGTCGACCTAGAAGACATTCGCCAGAAGATGGCCGAGTATGTCCTCGAATGTTCTTGAAGTGAGATCGTTGTCTGATCAATCGCCTTCAAAATAGGGCAACTAATCTACCTGTGGAGGCTTTCACCATTACTCTCATTTCAGAGTACCATGCAAACGACCAGCAGTCTCGATGGGACGCCAGCTACCATAATGGCACGGAGCCTCAAGGAAGGACCTGTCTGTCATCTGAGCCATGTGAGGCTAATGCGAGCGTTCCCGTTGAACTGTGAGCATCATCTAAGATGAATGCGAACGTCTGAAGCCTGACTGTACTCTGAGCGTTGAAGAGATTCAGGATGAGATACAATACGAAAAGTTCAAGAAGTATTTGAAGGAAAGTAGTAAAAGGATGGAGGATACTGTCAAAGAGATACTTCGACTTCACGCCGTCTCTTCGCAGGCTGATGCAAACTCGGCCTCTTCCAGTGAACAAAGATAGGCAAGCGCCGCAGAGTAGATGAAAAGATTGAATGCAGTCATACTCCAGTTTCAGACCATGTGGCGGCATAAAATATGGTATAACCTCATCGCTGAAGCCTTGCCTCGATGCATCCATTTGTGGAGGACGTCGTGCGGAATTTGATCCTCAAGAATACAAGTACAAACAATCTTGCACGTCTTGTGGCTTCTTGTTGATGGAGCGAATGTCTGATAGCGAAGTCCGGGGACATGTCACTTGGAGGCACTTTAGTCCTACTGTAGCATCCAGGAGAAACGAGCAGCAATTAGCGTAGGCATAAATAAAATCACTCCCGTACGACATATCGTGAACGACCTTGGCAAAAAGTTCTCCGCAATTCGAGGACAAGATCAATACACTACGTCGCAAATTCGAAAATGCTGGAGGTGGAGACCCCAGTCTCGATGAAGCGCCAGTGGGGAGTGACATACGAGAGTAGTAGTAATGTGTGAATGAAATATGAGTCCATCATGGTTACGATACAGATTGGTAGAGACGCAATGCACTATAGAGATGTAAAGGATGAGATATGCCAAGTGGCTTTTGCATCACTAGTATCTCTCGCATCGCATCGAGGCCACTGAATTCAACGTGGAAACTGTGATAAAACGAGGAGTAGAGCCATAGTAGACTTGAAACGTGGCCGATCCTGTCTTCCTATCAACAACGGGTGAGATCTGATCCCAATTGTCCCTCCCTTTCACTGAGAAGCAGTGGGCTTGCCGTTGTTCTTCGTTCCTTCCATCATCGCCTATGGTGACAAGCTCGCTTCTCCCGTCCTTTGACACAGTGGCTTTGAACGTCCTTTGATGTGTTTTGTGACATCCCCGGTAAATGTGTATAAAGGCGACCGGATTGACACGTACTTTGAACTTGCATACCAAGCAAATCTCATCTCTCCCCACAGCACTCTAAACCCAGTCACAACACATATAACGCCTGACGCTATTTTACATATATACAATGTCTGAAGCTTACCAGGACCCATCAGCTAGTAGTGGCCCATCTGGCACCCAGGCCGGCACTTCGGCTGATCAGAGCAAGAGCGGCTCGGCCACTGACACAGGGCCTTTCCCCACCAAGAATTGGACACAATACCGCTATCAGATCGATAATACCCTCTTCTGCCCCGGAGATGCAGCAACCTACAGTCCGGAGGACGTGCGCAAAGAACTTGCAGAGTGCGTCCCGCGATATCTTCTCACATTGCAGCAGGTGTAGCTCATTTGCCCCGAGATAGAGGATTAGGTGTACCTCCCGAATCTATCGCTGTCACTCTTCTCTCCGAGTACAAAGCCAATGACGAGGCCCCCCAGTGGGACGCTAGCTACTACAACGGTGCAGAGCCTCAGGGCAGGAAATATTTGTCTTTTGAACCCTCTACTGCCAATGCAAGCGTCCCCGATGAACTGTAAGTTGCCAATTCTCTGGGAAGTAGGAGCTGGCTTATGATGATATTCAAAGCGTGGAGCAAATTGAGGAAGAGAAAGAGAATATAGAAGCGGCCAAGCAACTTGAAGGAAGTTTGAACACCCTGTTGGGCTCTATCAATCGCCTAAGTGAATACTGCTCTTCAATGATGGAGGGTGATCAGAAGCCAGATAAGGGCCACTAAAATGATCTATAAAGTTGCCATTCATGCTAACAAGAGTACCGCATCGGATACACGAAATGATGGTCACTTCATAGTGGTGGTCACTGAGCCTGGGTGATAGTGGAGAATAGGAATCAAGGTCACGCTGTTAAAGAATGCATCATGTCCTGCCCTTACTTGTTACGAAGCGAGGCAGTACTTGCCTATCGAGGCTCTCTCCTGCAATGACCTAGGTGGCTGACATGTGTATGGCGGTGATGTTGTCGCTTCGCCTCTACGTCCTGGTCCAAAAACCATTCAAATAGTATCGGTTCAGTGCGGACACCGGTCACTGGTCAGCTATGAAATGATCATGCATGCTGTATAGATGTAATACAGAGCTAGGCAAGATCACCCAGTAGATCCTTGCTTACTGACTATTCCACTGTCTTTCCTTTGACAGTGTACAATACCTTGTACTGAGCGCCTCCCCTTGATGCTTGTGAGACGCGTCTCGCGTCATCTGCCATGATTCCCATACACATGAACGAGGTGCGAAGTTCCCATGAGAAATTCCCAGCATAGAGTAGCCCTGAGCCGTTGAGGAGGTCACGAGCTGCTGCGTCAGGCTGCCCTCGAACAATTGATCTAGTAAGTCTGAAGAAAGATCGCAGAAAGACGACGGCTCCAGCCGTACTCTACATCCGATTACTAGCGCATCCATTCAGTGAATGGGCAGTCTCGGGAACGGTAGTATAAAAAGACATATATTGCTACTGGGAACTTTTCATTCCACTTATTTCGAGAGTTGCAACATAGTTACAATATCGGAGTCACGATAACCATCAGCTGCTAGTGTTCGTTCTGCCTCCCAGGCTGCCTCTGCCGGAGACAGGGACTTCTACATGTCAAGATCATCCCTCTTCAAGAACTGGACACAGTACCGTGTTCAAATCGATGATGAGCCCGTATTCTTCCCTGGAGATGCAGAAAGATACACCCCGGCATTTGTACTACAGAAGATAGCCTGGTACGTTTGCCCCTGAAACGCTTATATGGTGATAGAGCGAGAAGCACTGCTGACACGACTATCATCCGTTGGTCAAAAGGTCAATGGGGCTTCCTGAAGACAATATTACTATTACTCTTCTGTCTGAGTATTCTGTCAATGACGAAGAATCTCGTTGGGAAGCCAGCTATCATAACGGAGCTGAGCCATTGGGGACAACTCGGATGTCTTCCGATCCCTCAGATGCCAACTCGAGCGTTCCCAATGAACTGTGACTTGTTGTCGCTCTCGGAAATATCTCACAGTGCTATCGTCTGACGATGATTCAAGTTTCGAGGAGACTGAAGCAGAGGAGAGCTTCTTTCGAGTGGAAGAGATTAGGGAGAGAACGTAGGTGGCAATGCCAGAGAGGGAGCTGTTGGAGCGTGAGATGTTCGATAGGGAGTTTACTGCACGCGATGAGCGGCGGTGGTGAATTTGCACATTGTACTCGTGATGAGGAGGGCCTTGGGGATACTAAGTACAATGGTCATAGGAGCTGAAGCACTGCATAACCAAATCGAACCAGCAAGTGCGAGAACATTGGATAAACATGCCGATAAGCGCATAATAGCTGGCATGAGCCTCGTTTTTGATGCGATCCATATATGTGGCGCAGAAAGCTAACAGAAGAAGCCTGCAATGTGGCTAGGTCTGCTTGCGATGATCGCTTCATCATGCAGCACTCTGATCATAACAACTCCATGCAATCTAGGATGGTTTGATGAATGTGGCTGACAATATATCCCCTCAACCCGTTCCTAAACGCCACGCTAGCGAACGCCGGACCGCCGTGGTGCGCGGCAGGCAGTGTGTTGTTGTTTCGAGGTGACGCTTCTTTCTATTCCTTTTTATCCCATATAGAGCATGTCTCAGTGCTCACCCAAGAACGTCGGTCCAGAAATCATCGCCCTACAACGCCAGCTCCAGCTCGCGAGCTACGCCCAAGACGCACTACACGACGAGAATGAACGGCTGCGTGTGAGATACGAGGAACTTCAGCAGGTCTTGGCAGGCATAGAGCAGGCGAAGGAGAGGAGGGAGAAGAGAGAGAATGAAGACGGGATATGGGAGGGGAAGTGGAAGAAGCTCAAGAGGGGTTTGCAGGAGGTGAGAGGTAAGTGTCAGGACGTAGATTAAGGACATGTGCTGATGGGGAGAAAGATAGCGAAGCCCGAAAGGTCCCATCTCGATCTACGCACGACATATCTTTCTCATCCACAGAGAACGCAGCTGCCCCATATTCCGACAAACACCCTATCCGCCCATCTAGCAAGAAGCAACGCCGGAGAGTCGTGTCCCCTAGTGACAGCGAGGATGAAGGTGCGATGAAGGTTCTACGAGCGACACTCCAGAGGATTCTGTTCGAAGGGCAAAGCGGAACCAAAAGCGCCGTGGTGAGTAATATTACGGAGACCGGAATGAATAGGAGCGTCGAGCTGATTGCTGGAAGAACGCTTTGATGTACAATTGCGCGCAGAGAACAACGCCCGGCTTCTGAAATCTTACAGTATGTTTCACTACCCCCATTTCCCTGCACGAGGCCTGTACCCCATCCGATCTCTTTGTAGACAAAGCAATCATCAAGGCACGCGATCTACGCTCTCTTCCCCCACCAGAAACCCCAAGCGCAAACTGCCAATACCGTCCCTACAACCTCGCAAAGGCTCTCATCCGCTTCGTGATTCTGCCCGGTGCTGGAGTCGATTTGGAAGACTTCGGAAGGAAGGGCCTTAGAAACTGTAGCTTCTACCTTCGAGTGAAGGAGGCGTTGGATGAAGGAAAGCTTTACTACGAAGCTCTGGGGCTCAGCGAAGAAGAAGTTTGAGATGATGACGGTAATGGACGGACGGCGATGGTTTACTATGAAGCTTTGGGAGTCGGCCAAGTCTATGATGTTGCTGTCGGCGACCGAGCACCAGTGGTGGAAGTCAGAACTGAAGTGACAGCGGATAGCGCAGGGGTGACTCCCGACTCGCTCATTTCCGGTGTATAGAAGCCACACCAGCCCATACTCGTCGATCCCATGTTGTTGTTATATCAGTATACAAGTGTTCATGTTTTCTTAGAAGGGTCTGGCGTGCAATCTGCTCTACTGGCCCACGCAAAGTCTGCTTTACAAAGCAATCCTAATCGCGCATTAGACGGAACCAAATAGTCGCTCAACTGGATACAAAGCTGAGGCCGACCATGACAACAGCATGTCCACTGATCGCTCATTGTATTCCACCGTTATCCCACCGAGCTTCTTGACATGACTTATTCAGAGACTACTACCCATCCTGAGAACCAGTCACCCTCTCCCCCTACCCCCACTTCGGACTCTCGGGCAATACGCTGCTCTTTTGAAGGAGAACGAGAGGCTCAAAAGCCGGGTGAGGGACTTGGAGGAAGAGCTAGGGGTGCTGAAATGGGAGCAGTGGAAGATGCAGGAGGAGCAGGTGGAAGGAGATATGGGGTCAGGACAGTGGACCGGTGGTGGGGAGGGTAGTGATTGGACGGACGGAGGAACGAGGGGCGAAGATGTGGCAGCGGCTCTTGACCCCGGGAAGGAGTGACAAGTGGTGGTGGAGGACATCCCTGGTAAGTTGATCTCGAGCTATATATCCATTGCTAATCTTATCGGTAGACGATGAAAGAAGGACGACTCACAATAGTCGCAAAAGGCAAGCGTCGGATTCCCGAGATGACTCGTCCAAGAAGAACGCAACGAAACGAAGTTCCGTCTTCTTTGAGAATTCTCCTTATTTACCGACACCAGCATCAAGAGTCTCTGGTCCGGCTAGGGAGGCCAATACTAGATTGTACAACGCTAATGGATTGGGTGTGAGTGATTATCATCAACATAATCTTTCTCATCACGAAAACTGGTGAGAACGCCGACAGTCTGACGCGAGGTCGAGCTCACCCTCGGACAAGTTCTGGGAGACTTTCGGGCTCGATGTTCAAGGTGTGTCCTCCCTACCATCTTTGAGTCTTTGTATTATGCTACTTCTGGGATCCCGCTTAATACTTCGCATTTTGTAACCAAGTCGACTTATCGCGTAGCGCCGACTGAACACCTCCGTCCAGAAAGATCGTCGAGTGATAAGACGTCGGTCCTCTACCGCAGCAACTACAAGAAATCTGATACAGATGTCAATGGCTCTGCCCGAGACAATTGTCATACCTGGTTGAAGACGATCGCCGATGAGGATACCAAAGTGCGTCAGCATCAAACTCTACTTCAATCTCACGCTGACCTTCGTTAGGCGACGCTGATCATTCACGATCTTCCTTACGATTTCACCTACCCAGACCTCGTCGACTTGTTTGGCACGTTTGGTTTTACAATCCGCAGCTCTTCCGTCTTACCCGCCGAGTTCGGTAAATCAAAGGCGCGTCAGACGACGTCAAGAGATTTCTGCTTCGTTAGGTTGAAGGACGGGAAGGAGAGAGATCGGGCACTGAAGAAGATGCACGGAATGAAGTTGGATCGGAAGAAGGTGAAGGTTCAAGTGGCAAAGCCTGCAAAGTATACCGCCAAGAGAGACAGGGTCGTAAGATAAATGGAACATCCACACGGCGGTCAGCGACAGAGAGGAGTGTTTGTAAAGTACAAGTAGTGCACCGAAAAAATTCCTCTTGTGGCTAGCGATCAGAAGTCAGGTGGGTGGAAATATGCATGTATGAACTGCGTAATAGCTCGGACGGTAGATCAGAAGCACGGGGAGTAGGGACTGTAGTCCAATGTAGCTTACGAAACAGCTCGGCCTTTCAGTATAGATCACGTCGACGGACAGTGCGCCTGTTACCTCTTGATGAGGCTCCACGACACCAGGAATGATGCTGCTTTTATGCTCAATGCGGAAGGGGTTGCGGCTGAGGTCACCATCTACGGCGGCGTACATGCTACGGAAAAAAGCGCGTTACAACAGTCTCCGGACATTCATCAATTCGAGCGAACTCCTCGCTTCACCGCCCGTCTACCTGTGACCTATCCTTTCATCAACCAGCGGCACCGACTCAAAATAGAGTAAACCTTTTTCCAGAGCTTTGCTGACCTTCTCTATCCTATCCTTATTTTTGCTCGCGTCGACGCTGCCACCTTGTTCTCCTTCTCTCAACCAATCAGTGTACACCCCTCCACTGGGCTTGTTGAGGAGCCGCACAAAATAGCGAGACAGGATATTTGCATTCCAGGGAGTGTGCGTGAGATCACGAGGAGGGGTCATGTGGCGCATGGCATACGCGTCCCGGCGTGCTCTGTCTGTAAGGTAATCAGGACGAGCTTGAGCATGATACAGAGGAGCAGAGCGTACTGAACGATGCGAGGATGATAGCTGTGTTTTCTTGCTCGGTGCGTTTGATCGCTATCAGTAGAGTCAGTAAACCAGAAGCATACTGAGAACATGTCCGAACATCTAGACTCACAATCGCTTGTGCCCGCGACACTGCCGTTCCCGGTTTTGCCCCTCTTCTTGCCATTTGTGGACGACCGAGCATGATTGGACTCCTCTGAGATGTCTGTGTCGGATTGAACGATCTTGCGCTTTCCGAAATAGGTCCGACTGTTCGGTAAAGCCTATCGTAGATCAGCACCTTGTCATCACCACCATCATCACGGCCTTCGGCAGCTTACAGTCGCGTTCTCTCTGGCTTGTTTTTCTGCCGCGTTTGGAGCGTCACTTAGATGTTGGGTCCCTAAAATGACGTGTCAGACTTTCAACTGAGGATCATATGGTAGGTACTGGCCTAGAAGACGATCCACCCCGTCGCGCAGTCTCCAATGTCTCTTCTCCCACTCATCCTTCTCTCTCTCCACCTGCACGCGCTTCCCCTTCTCTTTCTCCAGCTGCTTCTCCGCATCCTGTGATTCAAGAGTACGAGCATCCTTCTCATTTCCAGATATATGCCCCTTGCCTGCGCCAGTTGCAGCTCTCTCAAGCTGGGATTGAAGCTCGGCGATGCGGTTCTCGAATTGTTTGTTCTTCTCGCGGGCACCGGTGTACGCGAATTGGGCTGTTTCGAGTTTATGTTGTATAGACATGAGCTGGCGGGAGGGGGAAACTTCGACGGTGGGCATGATTGAGCTCTTGAAGACGTGAATGAAGATAAAACACGAACAGTGATTCATCACTTGAAACATCGCCTGCTAACGAAGCCGTCGGGCTTCCGGTTTGCAGCTAGAACTAGAATTTGTTTCCGTCTAATGCGACTTTGCAATTGAGTTACTCGTATAATCCCTAATCGCGTCAGCCTTATATGAAGTCCACGATGAAGCTGGTGCGCTATACAGGATACATGACCGCCTCAGAGATGATATGATACACACGGCCAGCAAGCCCAGAAATAGCAGCCTACGCCCAACCTTCTCCAACAGGCTGTACGCTGCCCTGGCCTTCACTCCATCTCCTCTTCTCCGCTGCCTTCTCTCTCTCCAACCTTCAGAGCCTCAAATCGTACTCTTCTATTCTCTACTGCCCTCAGAGCGGTCAAGGTCCCCTCCCGGGTGCAGAACTTCCTGGCATGCCCAAACATGTTGCGATCGACGCCAGGGGTGTTTGGTTCAATGACGAAACGGACGAGCGCCTTTTTCATTCCCTTGTTCTTGTATCCGGATATACGAGCGGGGATTGGAAGGGGAAGGTTGCGGATGGAGTGGGCTTCAGCAGTGGCGGCACCTACAACACATGCGTACGGTCAGCAAAGGGTCGTGGTTCTGAAAAGAGAAAGGGACACGAACGGAAAGATTCAAGGACTTTGGCGGTCAACATCTTTCTTTGCATTCCAAGCGATGTGTTTTTGACTCCTGAAACATTCGTCAGACTAGAAGTACACAAGAACCCCACCCTTGAGCCCGGCAAGAACCTACTGTTTTCCGGAGCACAAGCCCAAGTGTCATCCCGATCGTTGTCGTCGTCATCAGTCGAAGACGAGCCCGTAAGACGAAATGTCGGTTTGATCTGCCTACCCGGGGCAGAGTCGTGTTTGGACCTCTTGAAACTCTTTCTTCTCGCCAGCGGCTTCTCCGCTTCTGTCCTTCATGTCAGCTCCCGCACCCATAATAGTTGTCGAATAACAGGAGAAGAGATCATGCTCAGAAGGCTCACCAACAAGCGACTCCAGACCACCCTTCAAAGTCTTATATCTGCTTTCCCAAGCCCCTTTTCCTCTTCTAGTAGCACCAGGAGCAGCTTCCATGGCGCTCTCTTTCTTGGCATTCTCAATCTTGCTCTCAATAGCGTCGATCCTTCTCTTGAGCTCGCTGTTCTCGTCCAAGAGGGTGTCCTGGTGGTATTGGGCGAGTTCGAGCTGTTTCTGTAAATCCTTGAGCCCAAGAGATGGCGATACCGAGGTGAAGGACATGCTTGAGGCGTAGACAAGAATGGGAGAGTAGAATGAGGGGCGCTTATGGTGGTCGTACAGGCCGCAGCCGTGATGATTAGCACACGGTTGTAATCAGAGTTTGATTCCGGCTAATGAAAATCCCTAATAGGGCTTCGCGTCAGCCGTATCTCCAGGATTTGCACCCTGCTTATTGTTGGAAGACAAGCTGTTGATGCGTCATCGAGAAGGATATATTGCATACCAATCTACTTCTCCACCAGATACCGATAAAGTCTCAGAAACCATCTATCTCACCAGCGCCCCACTAGTTCAAGCCTTCCTCCTCACTCGTCGCCCCTTGGCAGTAGATATGGAAATGTGATGGCCGAATTTCTGATCATATCATTCCAGACACTTGTCCTAATCTAATCAGATGAATTTCATTGTCCGCTATCCTTCAAGGAAGGAGGAGAGCAGCTGTCTGCTCATGTAACCCACTGTGCAATCGTAGTCGTCGAATCCTATCATCCTCTTCAAGCTCGTATAGTCATCCTTCTGAGCAAGCGAGAGACAAACACACTCGGAGCCTCGCTTGGGTTCACCTACAGATGAAAGATCGGCGGTCCAAGAATTATGTATCATCGACTCATTGCCCGAATATCATCATCCGTTATGCTTTGAAAGGATTGACGGAGCATCGTAACAACTTCTCCAGAATTAGCTATACACTCAGCTCATATGGGCTCCGTATTCCAGATGAAAGAACCCTCAGTTGAGAGTCCGACTCCGCCACTCCTTCCGAAGGCTCTTTAGATAAATCTTCACCCGTCACACGGGGCAACATTGGAAAGTAATGCCAGAAGTATGGGGCACTCTGGGGGCGGCATATAGAACCTAGCTCCGACCAACTGCTGCGTACCTACATATTACATCGAGCCGACAAGGCAAACCCCCCAATATCCTACGTTTCGAAAGCACATCATGGCACCGACCGAGATCAATACCGAGAACAACAGCAACTGCGGCCTGGTCGTTGAAGAAAGACCTAGATGTAGCACAGCTGCCGCCAGCGGGAGAGACTCCAAGACTGGCGTAGCCACCAGCTGCAAGGGAGATCTTGATGTGAACTGGAAGATACATAAGGTGACCTGGAAGAGTGGAAAGTATACAAAATCTTCCGTGGGATATTCGGCGTGTGATCCTCAGTGTACTGAACCTGATTGTTCCCGCAAACATTGGTCAGAGTGAGTGCGATTGCCAACGCCTTGGTCCTCTTGGGATCTATGGTGACAATGTTTGTTGACCATTGTATACTTTCGCAGAAAATTGAACATCCCAGAAGAGGTTGTAGAGGTTACACTCTTGTCAGAATATTCCCGTGACTTTGTAAACAATCAGTGGAAATCCACCTATTACGACGGCTTCGAGGATCATTTCCAGCAGACCCCCGGCAAACAAGAGCTTGTTTCGCTCTGTGCATGTGACAATGATGATTGCATGGAGAAGAATGTTCCAGTGGAGCTGTAAGTCTGCGTCATACTCCTCCTTGGCTCGTTACTGATCAGATGTCGTTTCATCGATGATGTGTAGGATTAAAGTACTCATCAATCCAAAGGAAGAGTAGACATCAGAAAGCCTGTATACATAGTCACAGAGAATGCATTCGCGTTGAACCGTGTTTCTTGAAGTCGCTGCAGTGGCCGTAGGCGTCGAAAGACAGGTAGGTATGAGCGCTGAGAAAGTCCAACATATGCATGAGATCCAACGGCATGTCTAGACTGATCTAGCAGATGGACTGAACGTCGATGCTCTTTTCTCCTTCCTTCCTCTCAGCCACACCCTTCTCCGTCACTACAGCGCCTACAGCCCCAGTCAGCACCTTCCTCTTCCTCGACAAAAGTTGCATCAAACTTACTGATAAGCTCGGCAGGAGTAACGTCAAATGAGGGGTTGTACACCATCTGCCACGGCTTGTCGCCCTCTCCAACGCCGGGAGGAGTAATGCGGACAACGGAAAGCTTGCCGGTTTCGGTGTTAAGGCCGCGGACTTGGGTGGCTTCAACAGCGGGACGGTGTTCGATGTGGATCCTATGTAAAGGCATCAGCAGGTGACAAGGAGAGAGGGGATGGGACGTACTCGGCACCGGTTTGAAGGGACAAGTCAATGGTGGTGACGGGGGCGGCGACGATGAAGGGCACATTGTGCCTTTGGGCGAGGACGGCTGCTTGATACGTTCCGATCTAGAACCCGTCAGTGTCAAATGGCGTGCTGGCAATGAACGAACTCAACGCACCTTGTTGGCAGTATCACCGTTCTTCACGACGCGGTCCGCACCCACAATGACACCGTCGATATCCTCGTGCTGCATGAGGGATCCGAGCATGGTGTCGCAGACCATACAGGCAGGGATTTGGAGGGTGGTCAATTCGAGAGAGGTGAGTCGGGAGCCTTGGTGGTAAGGAGTAGTTTGGGCGTAGTAGGCGGTGTCGAGCTGGTCGGTCTGGAAGAGGGAGGTGATGACACCAATGGCCGTACCGTAGCCCTGCTTTGTGTAAGCATAGCGAGAAGCAATCAGGGAAGCAACTCACAGAAGTGGCCAGACTACCAGTGTTACAGACGGTGATGACTTTCAAACCCTTCTTGCCCGCTCCTCTCTTCTTCCACAGCCACTCAGCACCTAATCTTCCCATCTCCATATTTCTCTCCAAATCCTCGTCATGCACATCTCCGCAGACCTTCTTGACCTGCTCAACGATCTCTCCCGCAGACAATTTCTTAGCCTCGGCGTCCTTCAGGACAGCTCGGATACGGTCCATAGCCTCGCCCAAGTTGACAGCGGTAGGTCTAGAGGACTGGAGGTAGTCGATAGTTTTGTTGACCCAAGCGATAGCATCGGAAGGGGAGCTGGAGGAGGAAACGGGGGAAGAAGAGGAAGCGATGTAAGACCGGAGGGTGAGAGCGGCGAGGGAGGCGATGGCTGGTGCGCCTCGGATGCGCATGGTTTTGATGGCATCGAAAGCCTCTTCAGGAGTAGAGACAGGAAGCCATTCAACAGAGTGTCTGCATAGAGCGGTTAGCTGCATGTAGTCTTGTTCAAGCTGAGGAACTCACGGGAGAAGGAGCTGGTCGACGATCTCGACCTGGCCAGACTGGGCGATCCTCAGAGAGGTCATCATGTCGGGCAAAGACTTTTTGCTGGGAGCGGAGGTGGACGCCATGGTGCAATTTGTGGGGCAGAAAGAGATGGATAATGATCAGTGGGATGATTTATGGAGCTCACTTTTGTCGCTACTGACGACTTTTCGTTCACAACAAAGACGCAATCTTGGATCAGGAACAAGGCACGTTTGTGCCGCCGTCAGCGCGTCGCGGGGGGCTTTAGGTCGGTGACATTGTACATGCATAGTCCTCCTTATCAGCGAGAGGAAGAGGGAAATAGAGACAAGAATCAATGGTGTCTATCACGCTGTCTGGATTCGAAGTTCGGCGACAGGCTTCATGTCTGCCGCTGAGACAAGCCGATGTGTTCGGCTCGTCGTTCAACTATGAGTACATCGATCATTGAATATCTTCACAAGCTCAGTCTCGCGCGACGGATTAGATATGAACAGTCGCGAAATGCATTTTCGGGGACTAACTCCAGGTAATCTACTATCCAAACCCTGATCAATTGCCCCCGCCGTTATTCCCTCCACCGTTGTTTGGCCCCATCATCGCGTCAAGCTGACCCATGAAATCATCGGCAATATCTTGCTGCTCCCCGTTCCACCCAGGGCTAGTGGGAGAAGGCACCTGGGAAGATGCATCGGTTTGGTAAGTCCTAGGGCTCCATAAAGCAGATCCACCGGAGCCTTGGGTAGTAGCAGAGCGAGGCGAGGTGACGAAGGGAGAAGTGGGGCTTAGGGAAGACTGGGCCTGAGAAGGGTTGAAAGAGCTTGCGGTCCGGGAGGATTGCTGAGTGTTGTTCTCGTTGTTGCTGGGAGTGCTCATGATGTTGTGTTGATTGTATGTGGATGGATTGTAGATGCGACGGAATCAATTGTTGTATCGTGAAATGCGGCACGATCATAGCAGAAAAGTACCACTTACTTATATATACCTTTCCTTGAGCAACTTCCTGGATAATCGCCGAATGATATGTCGTTTTCGTTCTCACCTTTGTGATCTCCCAGTTATGAAACTTCTTTCTCACTGCTGACTTTCATGAGTACGGATACACAGCACAAAGTAACATGAGAGGAGAGATTGGGCCTCAAATCGACAATGGAGGATCGACAATGGGACACTGTTATAGTGGCGGCTGGTGAATCTTCCATGCGAATGTGAGCAATGTCCGACAGCTCATGGGGGGTCATGGCTGCATGCTCCAGACACCTTTATCGATCATGTCTCGGAAGTATACCGTTGTTCACTACTGCTCTCTGGCGGGAAGGGGCCATGACGGCCAAAAAGACAGTGTGGCATGTTGAGAAAGGATGGCTCTTTTGGCAAGACACTACTCCTCCTGAGTCCACGCTCGAATAGAGCGATATCTGCCTCTGTGAATGATGATGATCTAGTCCTCTGAACTCATTTTTTTTCGGGATCGTATGGGAGTCGGAAAAGTATCCTTGCATAGGCGACTCGATGATTGCGCCAAAGCGAATCAGTCGTCAGTCCCGCTCCTGATGTCTTCGGTACAAATTGCTAGTATGATTTGTAGTGTCGACTCACTCACTTGAACGCTCACTTGCATAGATTACTGTATACATTAGCAGCTCGGCTCAGTCGTAAGCTACATGTGCATCGGACCATCATGATCGGTTGACCGAACACAACGCGACATCATGACGGCTGCTACCCTTGTACCTGCACTCCTCTCGTACACACGACTCATGTACCAGGGATTTCATAACGTGGTACCATTGTGCATGTGTACCCTACCTTACTCTAGTATAGACGGGGCTCTCTCTATGACAACGAACACATGCGTCTCAGCATTGTTGTTGTTTTGATTGCCATCGTTAGTCGGACTGGCTTTGGCTCCAATACCAAACGCGTCATTCCACCATCCATCTCCTGCCCTATCGCCACCAGACCACGGGGTACCTGGGGCTGTGGCTTCTGTCCCCAGAGAAGATACCTGGCTGAACAGAGAACTCCTGGGACGATTGGTGGAACGCGTTATGCTTGCGGATCCAGGAGATTCCGTCGTTGAGCTTTTTCTCCTGGAGGAGAAAACCGTGACTGTGATGTTGGGAGGGATTTCGGCTTGACCTCTCGAAAATGACTGGTAGCCACCGCTGCTAGCCTGACCCTTCTGCTGCTGCTTCTCATCGCCTCTAATGTCGCTGTGATGATAAGACTCGTCGACACCGTCACCGTAGTAATTTTGTTGAAAAGAGCCTTCTGTTGTGCTGTTTTGATCGCCACTGCTCATTCTTGTCGTGTAAGTGTATACGATGAAGACCGGGGAGTGAGAGAGAGTAGCAAACACAACTCATTAACAAGCCATGGCGCTAGTCTCTGCAGCTATCGTCTGCTTGTTCAATTTAGGGAACCGTCCTAGATCATGAGATCGTTTCTCGTCATGCAGTAGGAGACGACGAAGTCCGACATTGTGAGGAAGGTGTGCACCTCACACTTCTCACGCCACTCTGGCTTCCTTCGTTGCCAGGGCTAGAGCGCCAGTTGCTTTCACATCCTCACTCCCGTAAGTCACAAAAGATGAAGATGGTGGTGCACATGGAATCCGGACCAGATAGCGGAGCACATATAGTTCTAGTCAACATTATGGCCAGGAATGTAAGTCCAAAACGGCGGCGAATGCATTTCTATACTATCACACAAGCGCATTCAATTCATGTCAATCCCTCCTTCAAGATCACTGTTGTTCATGACTGGCGCCTTGCCAGTCAAAAACGAGAGTATGAACAAGCTCTCGCAAATCTTGGCCTCCTGCGAAGGCTGAAGCAGGCTGTCTGTCTGTTTGGTTTGTCAGAACCGCGATCTCGTACACAAGCCACGGAGCACTTTAGTGAAGTCAGCGTCTGACAGTATGTATACGGCGTTATACCATGTGACCTACAGCTCTGACGGGACACTTCCGTTGCAGCATGTACGACCTGTACTTGCACAAAGGCAATTGCCGGGACAGAGATCAGTCATTCCTTGTGGCTGCGCGCCATTAAGATATTTGGCCTCCCATCTACCTTGTTGGGTATCTGCACGGTATTCACAGAGAAGCGTCATGTTGATATCAGACTCAGGACTGCCCAATACCCTATGGGGTGCTACCGTTCAGCAGCTATCCTTCGACCCACACACAGTTCCCTTCTTCTCTCTATGAGAAGACTTACCTGGCAACGCTGGGCTTGATTCCATCCAAGTCAATATCCTCGGGATATGACGTGATCAACGGTGGGAGGTGTGTGTGCCCCTCTGACTGCACATGGATCTGTCTCCAGTAGTCGCTCACAACAAAATTACCTTCTGGTAAATGCGTTTCATCATCATTGGTGTTGTTGTGTTCTTCGGCCGTGGCGCCTGTGGTATCTTGCTGGCTGGCGTCGCGAAATGAAACCACAATAATCTGGGGGCCATCCTGCCTGTTTCTAGTGCGTGGCATGTTACTACGCTGTGTTGAGGTTCTCTTCCTTATGAAAGGCCGAGCAATATGGTGGCGATGTTTTGTAGTAGAAGTGATTCCGTGAAATGAAACGTTGACTATATACAGTCCAAACTCAGGATAGCATTACAATGGAGATGTTGGCTGCTGGCTGCTGGAAAGGAGAATGCTATGCAATGCTGATTTCAGCTTGAGAAGACTTGTGACATCACATCAACGGACAACGCGTTGACTATATAATACAGTCCAAATTCGGGATAGCATTCAAACGGAGATATTGGCTGCTGGCTGCTGGGAAGGAGAATGCTATGCAATGTTGATCTCAGCTTAAGAAGACTTGCGACAACAACGGAAGAAATCAATGTCAGGAAAGGGAATACTCAATTTGGGCGATGAGACGCATTCTCATGGATGACGTTCCTTTGCACGACGGGTGTTCAGAGTACGAGTACACCAGTCAAAACGCACCCGTCACAGGTAGAGATTCCGCGATAGGGGCGGATATCTCTTTGTCACAATGATTCAAAGTAGGCGACTGGCACGCTGCTACCGTGTTCCTCATGATGTCAGCCCAATCGCAGAGTCGAAGTTGGAGAGCTTGACTTGGATTGTTTATCTGTTTATACGTATAGTAATTGAGTGTTCGTAAAATACAAGTCCTGGTCGTGATTCGTCAATCCTATGAAGCACTTTACACTCATGATCTGGATCATCGCCTGCTGTTACGCCAGTCGGTGACAAGAGTGCGAACGATTCTTGCAAATCTTCGCCCTCGAGTGGATGTGGCAGACTTTCCAGTTTCTCGTCATTGTTGCAATCTCCGTCAGAATCCACGGAGCCTTTCGAAAACGTCCCGAATTTCCAGTGTGCATAAATCATGGTATTTGACTTACAGCTCTGTCAGAACACTCTCGTTGAAACAGTCAAGAACGTCACATAAAAAACTGTTGTTCCCTTAAACCTCCTATCTGTAGAAAGGGGCAGAGCTGCCGGAATCACAGCGGGGTATAGACTCAAGTGAGGGTGCGCGACATGAGCGGCATTGCACAGATGATGAGGATCAGCTCCCCAAGGCTTTTCATTTGACTGTTTCTTGAATCTCAGTCTGCATGCAGGTATATGTAGATGACTCCATGAGCACATATCATCTCTCCATATCATCCTTGAGTACCATTACGCCAATTAGTTACGAGAGATTGAACAACATCCTGTAGATCTTCGACCTCAAGTGGATCCGGCAAAGTATGACTTTGCATCGTCGTGGCTGCGATCTCCCTCACGATCCACGGAGCACTGCGGACAAGTCAGCGCTTTGGCAGAAAATTATCAAGGAGGCCGGGGATGACTGACAGCTCTGATGGGACGCTGCTATTGGCGCATGATCCTTGTTGGCCGACGCAGAAGCAATCACCAGGACAAATATCGACAGACTCTCCTTGCGGTATTGTGGTATCATGATAGGTAGGTACCCATTTGCCATTGTCGGTGTCGGAGCGGTATGATGCCAGCAGAGACAGGGTGAGGTCCGATGGAGATTTGTCCCACACTCTAAGGTAATGCTCAGTATCTGACCAAGACACCAGAGTCTCAAAGTCCACGGCGAGACTTACTCGCATAGTGTTTCCCTGACCGTTTCAAGATTGGCGTCCTCGGGCTCTATAACAAAGCAAATTGGCAGCTCTCCTTCCGCCTCCGATTGAACCTTAAGCTGTCGCCAGAACTTGCTGAGAACGGGTGGCTCCTCCTCTGGCCGATCATAATATGAAGCGATATTGCTGACCCAGCTGACTGTTGCGCTATCTTGCTCCCGGAAGCGGTTGACATAAACCGGACCGCCTTCAGATTGTCTCTGTTTGGATGGCATTTCTATTTTCTGACTAGACGTGTATGGTCGGGGTGATGACAAGTGACAACAAACAGAGGCGCGTGTTCTTGAGCAATTGCGAAGATGAGCCGCCCCTTTTTAACGACGATTATCCGCTGTCGAGGCGTCTTCATGGTGGAAGGCTTCCCGGGCGGCCATAACAATAGAATAAGCTGTCTCACAACAAGTTGACGGAGATGTGTGGTGATGTTCCTTTGCAATTGGATGTCACATTTGAGAAGACGACGGTCCGAAAGAGCAGATCTATTTAAGAATCGGGTATTTGTCAGGGCATCTCAGAAACACCCTGGCGTTAGTGAGGCGTATCTAGTGGCACGAGCATGTACTGATATCTGCTCATACTTGTACTTGCGCAGATGCGCAGCATTGTTTGGTCCCCGTCATGTTTACGTAACGTCTATATCGCTGTTTGCGGTGCTCAGATCCAGGGATGATTTTGTTGACACTGCATCTCAACAAACCTCTCCATGGCCCACCCTGCCCGCCTCAACCTCCTTCCCCCGCCCCACATCCCCTTCGAACAAGGCTTTCCCGGCATCCCCAAGAGCCCAAACAGAAAACCGCCCAGTGTACAAGGCACCCTCGAAGTCCGTCTCGGTACCGTCCCTGTCAAAGCCAAATGGATCAGAGTTGAACTTCGCAAATCGGAATCTCTGCCACCAGGATTCCCTGGGGCGGCAGTGGAAGAAAGCTGGGAGCATGTGGGAGAGATACAGACGTTATGGAAGCCGTCGGCGGGAAAAGAGTGGGATTTAATACAGGCGACTGACTACACCTTCGTCCTCGACCTCCCTGCCGGGCTCCCTCCGTCGATAGAGCTTCCAAGAAGTACCGGTGTCAAGTATACTCTTGTTGCTGCTCTCTGCTATAAGCAAAAAGGCGGGATGTTCAAAAAAGAGTCCTTCCCGATCATCAAGCAGACGGTGCCGATTCATGTCATCAAGTACGAAACCCTCTCCTCTTGGCCGGTCTACAATATACCCGAAACAAGAACCATCAAAGCTCTCGAAGGTCTGCTCGACTTGACTGTCTCTCGCCCGAGTACAGCATTCAGTGCTGGGGACAAAATATCCCTGATTGCTCGCTTGAAATCGTCGCGTCCGCAGCCATTCAAGCTGCTTGGGTTTAAGTGCAATCTCCTCGAAGTCATCACATTCATCCCTCCTCCTCCCGATCCCAACAGCAAGTCGAAAAAGCACCAAAAGATCTCCACTGCCCCTGTCACCAAGTCACGTATCATCCAGACCGTTACGGCACCTCTGAACGAGACAGTCGGGCGTGGCGGGGAGAAGGGCGCGAGGCTGGAAATGCAGGTCGGGGAGATATCGTATACAGCCAGAGGGACAAAGATAGAAGTGGAGTATGATTTGGAAGTCAGCGCGCTGGTGGACGGGATCAAGGAGAAGGTGGAAATGCGGAGAATCAGGTGTACGGTTGGGCCTTATACGCGAGCGAATGCGCAACAGACTTGCAGGTGAGTAGCATTCTTCACTGGTGGGATACACTGACATGGTATAGACAAATCGGCTACGTCGAATCACTATGCCCCGAGACTCCTTCTATCCCTAATGCTCCCACTTTCCCCGATATGCTGGCTACCGACAAACCCCTACCTCCTCGTACAGCATCGATGGCACCCCATAACGGGGTTCCTCCCGTCTTCGTTCGCGCTCCCAGCCAACCGCATGTGCAAGGCTACAACCAAGGCGTACCGCAACAAACTAATCAGCAAAACTATACTCATGGCTACGTTCCCCAACAGCCTATTCAAGGCTACACCCCGAGACATCAGCACAAACGGCAGTCGTCCATGGGATCCACAAATACAGATACGACTACTACCGGCACCACTGCCACGCACGACTTTTCGCCGCAGGTAGCTGGGAATGGGAGAGGGTATCAGTCTGTGCCCAACCAGCGTCGGTCAATGGACGTGACTTTCCCACAAGCGCATCCAAGCAGACCAAAGACTGCTGAGCCTCAGGATGTTGACGAGCCACCGTCTCCTGTGAGCTCCTTGCCCTACCAGAGGCAGGACTCGAATGAGTGGGTGAATGATGAGGCGTCGAGGAGGTTTTCGTCAGTAACGACGGGCACTTTTGGCAGATGGGATCTAAATACGGATGTACAGACGAGGCATGGGCGGTCAAATAGCGAGGTGAGTTATTTTTTTGGTCATATAGACTGTCGCTGACTTGGAGCAGGCTACGCAAACACCAACTACGCCGGTACGGACTACTCCACTTCCTTCCGCTCGCACCCCGCCCTCAGCATACCAGTTCCAATCTGCCGAGCAAGAGAAGAAGCGACAGAATGAACTGTACGCCAATGCTCGTGCGCGGGCTGCCCAAATACAAAGCGACTCGGGCGCTTCTCTCGAACGCATCGGCTTGGCTTCGTCAACTTCCGCCACGCCTTCTTTGGCTGATCTGGCTAAAGAGGAAGAGGCAGCGGATGATGTACCTCCTCCGGAGTATGCTCCTCCTCGCCCAGTCCAACCAGGTGGATACTCTGCGCCCGCCAAGCCCGTATCTTCGTACACCGATCGTCCATCCCCTTCACCTCGCCTCTCGATGATCTCTTCCGCCCCTCGCGCGTCATCGCCTTCATCTTCAATCACACCATTTACCCCTCCCCCAGCTATTCCAGCAAAACCCAATTTGGACAATGTTTACCTTTCAGCCGCGCAGGAGAAGGAAGCGCAGAGGAAAAGATGGGAAGAAGCTACATCGCGGGTTCAAGGTGGGCCGGAGGCGAGTGGAAGTGGTGCTGGATTGGTGACGCCGAAGAGGCTTTCGGGACCGCCTTCTTCGGGGGGACATTCTAGTCCTGGTGTACCGTCGGGATTGAGTGAGAAGGAGCAAATGCGGCGGTACTATGAAGCGCAAGAGCGAGTCGCTGCAGCCAATAACCAGGGCGAAGGTTCTAGCTCTCAAGCAGGTTCTGACCCGCAGAGAGCTGTCTCGTCCAACTCCATTTCGGGGTTGGCAGGCCCGGGAGGGCCGGTGGATGAGAAGGAGCAAATGAGGCGATACTATGAGGCGCAAGATCGGGTGGCGGCTGTTTCGAACGGTGCGAGCGGTAGTGGTAGTGGGAGCAGGGTTGTCAGCTCTCCGACTCATCCCGCTCGACAGACCACCGCCCCCGTCCCCGGCGCCAGCTCGTTAGGTGAGAAGGAACAGATGAAGAGGTATTACGAGGCGCAGGATCGGGTAGCCGCTGCTGCTGGAGGTTCTGGCTTGAGTGGGGCAAGTGGAAGTGGAACGACAATCTCTCCTAAGCGACAATCTACCGCCCCTGTCTCTTCAGCTTTGAGTGAAAAGGAGCAGATGAGGAGATACTATGAAGCACAGGATCGTGTCTCTGCTGCCGCTGGTAATTCTCCCAGCGCTAGCGCGAGTAGCAGCAGGCCCCCCGAGTCATCTACCGCTACACAGTCTCCCGCACCCGTTCGCTCTACGAGCGTACCTCCGCCTTTGGACGAGAAGGAGCAGATGCGACGCTACTTCGAAGCACAAGACCGGGTTGCTGCCGCAGCGAGAGGGGAGGGATCCAGCTCGGCTGGGCATTCCCAACCAACGTCATCTAGTGACGCCCCGCCTTCCCTCTCCGGCCCTTCAAATGGCTCTTCCTCCTCGCGATTCCCTTCGGCCGAAGAAGAGAAAGACTTGATGCGCCAACGCTACGAGTCAGCCCAAACAGCCGTGCATCAGAGATTCGCATCTCCTCCCAACTCACCTCCTGCCTCGCTTTCTTCCAGACACAGGAATCAAGGCCGGGGAGGCTCGCCATTTGGGACACCGCCGTCTTCAGCTGGGTTGGGCGCAGGTAGTTCAAGTGGAAGCGGGCTGGGAAGGCCGTTGTCGATAGCAACCGCCATGACGCCGCCAGAGTCACCTTTGAAGAGTTCGGGCGGGAGGAGTGCATGGGGAAGAAGTAGCGACGAGGGGCACGGGTCTGGATCGGCATTTGGAAGTGGGAGCGGACATGGAGGGCCAGCAGTTGGCGCGCCACCGCCTTTACCAGCGAAGCCGCCGAGGGAGTATATCACACTTTTAAGTCCTCTTGGAGAATAGATGTCGCGAGGACAGAGTTGGAGTTGCTGTCTTCAAGTATAATCCTACATATCTTGATGGTTGAGCATAGTGTATATCGGTGTATAGTCAGCTCTTGGTATAATGTAAACGTCTTTGCTTTGGTTGGCTCGCAAGGATGAAGCGTACCTATTCTTCAGCTTCTGCCTAGCACTACGTAGGTCATGTCCGACGAGATAGCGCGGTCAGTCGATTAACACAATGCGAACAAAAACATGCGGAGAGTTCGTTATTCGACCACGTCTGACAATGCGGTACAGCGTACTCTACGAGTACTCTACTACTATACCGTGACCAGTATGACCGCCACCAAAGTCTCTACAACACATTGCCTTGCCCATGACAGATGATCACTTCTTTCCTCTCTCTTGGGGCCTGGTCTTTCCGATCAACTTCCCCTCGCTCTTCTTCCCCAGCAACAACCCCTTCTTCAACATCTCCATCGCCCCTCCACTTCCAGAACCACTCCCAGTCTTGTTCTTCTTGGTCCCCAATACATCTTCAGCTTTCCGCGGCGTGCTTGGGTTTCGACGCAGTCGGGCAGCGTTGTTGTCGTTGGACGCGTGACCAGTTGTACGCCAGGGAATGTAGTCTGTGAGGGTTCCAGAGCGGTGAGGCTGCTGTGAGGTAAAGTATGTCAGCGAGAACAACCTGACTCTAAAGAAGTCGAACAAACCTGGATTTTGTCGCTATCCTGCTTCACTTTCGACACCCAGTCCCCGACCATCGGCATCGTCCTACCCCTCCCTTCCACGCCACCCTTACGCCCGCCCGGGCCACCCTCCTTGCCTGTCAACCCTCGTTTCTCCCGCTCATTCCTTCTCAGCCGCTTATTGTACCGTATCTCTTCCTTCTCCCGTCTCTTCGCATCCCTATCAGCCTTTCGGCGCTCCTTGTCCCGCAAATTTGCTTGGTTCTGCGCCCGCGGAGAAGGGTAGGCTCGTTGATCTTTCGTTTCGTTCCCCGGTTGGTGGTAGGCTGGAGGACGGATTTCATCGTTCGGATAACGAGAAGGGGGTTGAGCAGGAAAGGTGGAATAATAAGGCTCGTGTCGGGCGTGCTGGAATTCGAGAGGAGGAGCAGGCGAAGCAACTCTTCTGCCCTTTCCAAGTCGCAGGGGAGAGGGATATCTGCTCTCTCCGCCCCTGTTCCGAAATACCGAGCTCCACCATGTCTGATCAGGAAACTGGCGGTATACAGGCCACGGGGTAGGCGTATGCGGCCTGTCAAACATGCGAGGGGCATACGAAGGAGCGATCGTAGGTCGAGGAAGTGGTGCTGCTGTAGGTGCCCGTCCTAGAGGGACCTTCCTCTTCCAGCGATTGATCGAATTGCCATCATCATCCCAGCCCTCTCTCAGCACACCTTGACCTCGGGGAGTAGAGTTCCTTCTTAACAGCCGAAAGAAACCTGAACGCTGAGGCCGACCTCCTTGCTGCTGCCCCCGGAGTCCCTCCTGCTGCTGCGGCTGAGGATACGCCATCCTACCCATCATATACGGCATTCCCATAATCCCCATCCTCGGGCTTCCATCCTCCGAGGGGTCGATACTCTGCCCGTCAGGATTGACATCGTCCTCCTCCCCCACACCACCTCCTTGTGCCGTCCGGTAATTCCAAGCTCCCTGCGGCTGATTGAACGCAAAAGGCATTTGCATGTTGTATGCTTGTTCGGCTTGTGCTTGCGTAGCACCTGGTTGATAGGTGTTATTCACATTGTTGAAAGAAGTGTTATTGTGGGGATTGTGGTAGACGTTCTCTTGGACATGCGAAGCGTAAGGCTGTTTTGCCGATTGATGCGGGTAATCAGCATCAACAGGTAGCTGCTCGTGGTGGGGGCGATGGGAATCCAGAGTCTCGTGCGCGGGAGGGAGAGGAGACCCGTTCAAGTATGACGTATCGTGTAAAGGCTGTCCTAGGAGAATATCAATTAAACATGTCCTCGTTCCAATACCAACACAAGTAAACGCACCATTCTGACGATGGCTCGCCCGACTACTTTGTCGAAACAGGCCTTCTTTCGGCGGTACAGCCGGTGGTCTATCACTTCTCGGACTCTCATTCACAGCCTCTAACCGACTCTGCCGTCTACTCCCATGCGGGTCGTTCAGCCATTTGAGAGTCACTCTCAGGCGTCGCTTGGAGCCCGGTGGTACTTCAATCGCCACCTGCTCTTCATCAGACCTCAACGAGCTCGAAGGCGCACCCGAGGGTAGAAAGACGACATCAGGACTGTCCCCGTGATTATCCAAGTACGTAGGAGAAGGCACGTCTAAGTATTGCTCAGCATAGATAGGTGCGCACTCTGTAGAGAAGCGTTGGTTCCAGGGTTGAGATACTGCTGGTTGAGGATGGTGGCCAAAGTCGTGGCCTTCTCTCGGGCGGGGCGTCGGGTAGTCTGTCGCTTCTTTGGACGCCAGAAACGTCTGGCTTGAGCGAGGGTCTGGTACGGGACCGGGTCCGTGACTCGGCGGATTCCGATTTGACGAATGACTCGGCTGTCGATTTAGCGCAGGTTGCAGCGGCATCTGAGACCCATCAGACGTACCCCCGGGGGCGATAGGCAGCAGAAGACTTGAATGACTCCCTCCTGCCCCATGTCCATTTTGCGGCGGAGGTGCAAGACTTTGCCCAGACCGGACAGAGCGCTGAGAAGGCTGATGCGTCGGCTTCAAAGTCGATGCTCTATCGGGAGGAGTTTCGGTTGAGATATCCACCTGACTACTCTTGGGTGTACCCATCACTCTCTGCTTTACATCAGCTCTGACCCCCACTCAACAATAGAAAGAATATGGTAAGACTCACAATCCCATTGTCCGGACTCGCCAACCCTTTCTCAAACCTCGTCACCAAACTCTCCGCCCTCCTCCCGCTCCCAGTCCCATTCTGATACCCCGCACCGATCGCATCATAAGACGTCCTTGGCGTCAAAGCCGGGCGCGGTAAAGGCATCTGCTGCCTATGCGTCGGCGCCGACATCTTTGTGGTTGAATGCTGTAGAGACACCTGAGAAGGGTTCATGAAAGCCGGAGCAGCGAGTTCTTCTGTCCTCGGGGCAGTGGGAGCATCGGGAACGGTAGGCTGCCGACTACTTGGTGCTAAAGGCAGAGTACTAGACGGAAGGGGCACTCGGGTAGCTTGGGCTATGGTACCCTGTGTGGGCGGTTTGGAAGGTGGTAATGTACTACCGACGGCGGTTTTGACTGAGATTGGCACCTTGGTATCTTCTTGCCTCCCTATAGGCGGTTCGAGGAGCGTCGTTTCTCGACTCTTTGTAATCTTGACCCCATTCGGGACAGATGGGACGGTGTTGTTGCTGGACGGCTTTGAGGAGGGAAGAGGGTGTCGGGCGGCTTTGTGGATGGTAGCTTCGGAGGGGGCGGCGTTCGTTGTAGGTGCAGCACCGGGGACAGGTAGAAAGTTCGACCCCTAGATACGATATGAGTAATCATGAGAAATAAATGGAGAAAGAAGGACGTACTTGATATTGATGCTCTCTCTGGCTTGCCGAACTCCTTGCCTTTGCGCCATCTGTAGCCGAACGCTCTACCCGACCCCCTGCGCTACCCAGACTTCTCGCATCTATCTTGCGCTCGTTGAGCTACAGCGAACATCAGCCTCACCTCTTCGATTCAGGGGGACCACTTACAGACACTTTGCTCTTATTGCTTCCAAGATTATCCCTCCCACCCCTCTCCAACCTCGCACCAGCGCTTCCCAAACTCCTCCCTCCATCCTCTCCCCTCCTCAAACCCCCTGACCCCGACCCGGTCGAACGACTCGAGCCTTTCTTCGAAATACCACCCCGGCTGTTCGCAGGTACAGAAGGATGTCTGCCCGTCCCGCCATTCTGCGTTTTGACAAGCATCTCCAACGGCAGATCCGTAGCGCTTCGAATATACGCTTCTCTCTCAGCATGCGTATCCGTCGCGGTTGGAGAAGGGGTAGAGGCTGGGCCGGCGGCGAGGTCGGATGTCTTTCTGGTAGCCTGGCTTGGCCCGGACATGGAGTGCTGTTTTGACGAGGACCGGGCAAGAGCAAGAGCGAGAGCAGGGGCAGGGGGAAGGGTCTGAATGGGGACGGGGGTAGGATGGGCAATGATGGGAGAGATCTCCTGTCTGAAAGAGACTTGTCGAGTAGGAGGTCGTGGACGTTGAGATGGTGCTTGGGTTGATTGCGAAGGCTGTGGCGGATTCTCGGCAGGTGGAACAGGGACAGACCTCTGATGCTCAGGCTGTCTGATGACCTGTGCTGGTGGCGGAGGCGGCTCATCATACTTCACCCCCTGTGCCTCCAAAACCTGATCTCTCTCCCTCCTCAGCCTGTCCACGACAGTCGTCGGCACCGTCCCCGTATCACTGTCACTGCCCCCTCTCCACGCCCAATCCGCACTTCCAACCCCAACCTGTTTTCCAAAGCTCTGCGAGCTCCCCGTCCCACTGCCGACCTCGGGACGGATCTTCTTGACGGGCACTTCTTGCCGCCAGTCTTTATAGTTGGCGTGCCGCCGTTTATAGGCTTCGTAATCGCCTGAAGAGAGGGACCCGTACATGGATCCTTCATCGTATACGATAGGCCCGGCGGAGGCTAAGTGTGGGGTGGGGAGTGGAATGTAGTTCTGCCCAGGGGCTTGGGGAGGGTTCATCTGATACGGTAATTGCTGTGGTCGATGGTGGTAGATATTCGGTAGATGGTGGAACGTATCTGTGGCGAGATCGACAAGGGGAAGCACAAGCAATCAGCGGCGACCCTCTTATAAGTACAAAAAAGCCTCACCCATTTGTGCCCGCTTTGCATGAGATTAAGGCGAGCTAGTAGCACCTGAAGGCGAGGCGAGGGCGACAGCTAGAGGAGTCTGCATAGGGTCAGATTTTGCGGTACGTTGGACTCGTGGCAAGCGACTCACCTTCCTCGTGGTCTGCGAAAGGTTCCAGTAAACGGCTCTGCTTCTTGCTGGCGGCTTTGTGTATATGTAGCAGCGCAGCTGCGGCGATACACGAATCGTCAAGGCGTTTTTGAGAGATGATCTTTTTTTCGTTGTAGATGCGAGATGTCGAACGGGATAAATGAGGACGCGATGGGGGGTGTGATACTAATAGAGTTTTGCAAGGCTGAAGCATGGTGGGGGCCAGGGGATTGATGCAGGATACAGCGTGGCCTGTTGTGTGTGTCGTCAGGGGTAGCCACAGGGGGCGTGATCGGGCCTTGCTGGACAATAAGGAAGGAATGAGCCGTATAGCCTTGTCGAGCTGGGCTGCATCTGGGCATTGTTTCCGAGACTTGGACGATGAAGAGGGGGCATTGTTTCGAGAACAAAAGCGAGATGTAATTGTTGTTGTTGTTGTGTGCGGCAGTCTCCGATCAAGGTCCCATCAACAAAGCAGGCACTACTGTGGCACTTGTTGTCAGCGGGGTATTTCTCAGAAGCAGGGATAGAATCAACTCACAAAAGTATCTACGCCCACACCCAAGACGATGCACACCCTCCCCATACACCCCGTATCCGCCTGCCCTCCCAGCCGGGCACAACCTTGAGGGAATCACGGTCCAGCTGATCGCCCAGAGCGAGGTTGCCGTGCTCATTCCATCCCCCTGACAAGAGTCTTTGCGAACCATCTGAGGTTGTGGCGATGACGAGCAGGTGCTCTGTGCCAGCTACAATGCGGTCCACTTTCAGGGCTTCCGGTACCGCTACTTGACCCAGTTCGCTACCGACGCTCTGACCTCGCAAGAGCTGACTGTGCGTATTGGAACCCTGAGAGAACAACCCTTCGTCGGTCAAAAAGTAAGATCCGCCCCACGTAGATGCAATCCCGTTCACCCCCGTGACAAGATGCACATCCGTAATCTGACCTTTCAAATCTCCGCCCCAGCCCAGCACAGTACCCCCTGAGAGTAGCGCCAAAGAATGTGAAGCGCCGAGGGAGATGTCGATGATACGTTGGCCGGACGGTACGGGAAGGTGGATGATGGTAGGTGGAGACGTGGTGGGATAAGGAGCGGCTTTGCTTTTGCTTTTTGCTTTGCTAGACAGCACCTTTGAATTATTGCTAGAGAGCGTATCCGCGCTCAACTCGCCTTTTCTCGAAGCGCCCCATCCCACGACCCTCTGCCCGTCTTTCCCACTGACAACAGCCACCACATGCCTCTGCCCCCCTTTCAAGAACTCTACACTCTCTCCAGGGCGTAGAGACAAATCGACAATGGTAGGCGCTTGGGATGCTTGAGAGATGGGTATGGGCGTAGGGGTGTTGGACAGAGTGAAGGGCAGGTCTCGACCGAGCTCGCCAAAGTCGTTCGAGCCGCAAGATATCACCACTTGCTCCCCTTCCACTTCATCTTCCTCATCCTTCTTCGCGCCCGACGCAGCACTACTGCCGCCTCCACCTTCAGCCTCTCCGCCCTCTCCTCCTGACGTAGTCCGCCGATAAACGACCAAACTCGTCGTCCACGTAGCCGCAATCCTCACCGGCTCCCACTCCTGCCCCAGTCCCGCATCCCTCGCAAAATCGACGACTTTCCACCTTCCCTCAGGTTTCACATCGTCCCAAAGGGCGCACTTTGGTCCTAGCTGTCCGAAAGTATTCGTGCCGCAGCCTAGCAACACATTTCTCTGCTCCAATTTTCCAATCATCCCTCCTTCCTCGTTTTCAGAAGGTGATGAAGGTGGGAGGCGGAGGAGGACCAAAGAATGAGCAGACGCAGACACGACGTCGAGTATCTCTGTACCGTTTGGAAAGGCAGGGAGCGAGGGGTGGTATAAAGTCGGTGACAAGACGGAAACGTCGTCCGGGTGGGAGAGGGCGAGGTGGGAGGCAGCGTTGGAGCCGCAGGAGAAGAGGGTTGGTGACATCTTTCGCCTTTTTCAGTTATCGCGAAAGCCGTATGGAGCTTCGGAGGTTTGGAGTATGAAGTCGGGCAGGAGGAGGGTGGGAAAGTATGCTTTCGAACAGTCGGTAGTTTGACTGCCAGGTATGATACTTGATAGAGCGAGGACTTGATGGATGTAGAGAGCTTTTCTTCAAGGTGAAAGAAATACACGGATCAGCAGAAGAATTGAGAAATCATTCGTTCACAAGTTCGGCGGCCCGGTTAGGCGGTCACCGCCGCCGCGCGCCGAACCTTGAAAGCTAGAACCAAACAACACACAGAGTACCCGGGCCAGGGAAAACTGAAGCCGCCCCTCACGGGTACATCTCTGCCCAGCGTGCAGGGGATTTGACCTGGCAGGAGGAACGTTGGAAGCCAGTTGTCGAGGGGAGCTCTCTGGCAGGCAATTGAGGTGTCTACATGTATGGCTGCCTGCCTCCTACGGCTTCGTTGAGAAAGATGATTTCCGACTTGACCATTTGCATGTGGAGGCAATGTGCAAGTGCGCGCCTCTTCCAAGCCTCTTCTCTCTTGCAATTCTACTATCACATCCACTTCTGTGGGGGACACTCCAAGAAAAACTTGAAGCAGCCGAGTGCGCATACGCCGGCTCCTGTGAGAAAAGCAAGCAGCTCGCCAAGCGCGTCGCCGACCTCGAATCCCAGCTGCACAAAACTGCCGCAAAAGCAGATGGAGGGGGGTATGGATCCAAATGAGAACGGAAATTAAAACGCTTGCCTGGAGGACGCAGAGACACAGCTGGGAGAAGCGAACAGGAAACCGGTACAGGTTGAGAAAAAGAGGGATGACACAAGCCGCCGCAAATTTGGGCGTCTGGGGGGGGTCGTCTAAAAGCTTTGCCGTGAAGTAGCCGACGGTAGGGTAGTGTGTAATCGACAACAAAAAGGGATGGAGATTCCGGATGGAGGAGAAGAAGAGAAACATGTCATTGCCTCTTCCGGTGCTCAATGCAGCTCTATAGAAGACTTGACGACGCTGCAGAACCGGCTTGACGACGACGGGCGAGACGGCGATGGCAATTTTTGAAAGGCCCGTCTCCCTCCTTTTCCATCCCACATCGCTTTTGTGCAAGAAGATCAAACATGCCCCCCTCGGATACCATCTATGACCTCCAAGAAAGACTCGAAGCAGCCGAATGCGCATACAGCGGTTCCCGCGAAAAGAACAGGCAGCTCGCCAAGCGCCTCGCCGACATACAAGCACAGCTGGAGAAAGCAGAAACAGAAGCGAATGAAGGATTCGTCGAAGCCTACGAAAAGGGGGCTCATTATGGTCGACTGGATGGCGCAGAGAGGCAACTGAAGGCCATGGAAGAGGCGATGAAGAAGCTCAAACAGGCTGAGAAACAGAGGGACGAATGGGAGAGAAAGTATTGGGATCTGCACAACGGGGTCGGCGGGCTTCTAGGTGAATTTCTACCGTATCGCTCTCGTGTAAGGGCTCATAGATGGAACGATCCAGGGAGCCAGCAATCAATCGAGGCCGGTGAATCGGTCATGAAGCTGGAAGTGATGAACACAGCCCCTCGAAAGTCCGCGCCTGCTGTGAGTATAAGGACAATCAGATCAATGCCAGAGCTTATCGCCAACAGGCCTTATCCAGCAACCGCAACAATATAAACAAGCGCAAAATTGTTCAATCCGACACAGACACAGAAAGCTCTTCAGAGGGGTCCGATTACGCTCAGTCAACGGGAAAAGACAAGAAGAGAGAAAGCACATGTTGTGAGTCTTGACGTCTATCAAGGTCGGGTCCCGGCTATGCCTCTACCTCTCTGATCTGACCCATAGGGTATAACAATGCCCAGAAACAAAACAACGCTATCATCCTCTCCTCGTTGAGTAAGTCTTATGCACCTGTATCTCATTCATGCACCTGACCCCTCACTCGAAGACAAAGCACGCCTTAAAGCTTATAACATGCGCGGCCGTACCCCACCTGACGACCTGCATCAATGTCCATGGGATACCAACTTACACGCTCAAAACTTTGTCAGGCTCATAATCAAGCCTAGCAGCGGTGTGCAAGCTGAATGGCTTAAAGGGAGGGCGTCAGGAAACAGACGTAAGAAGGTCTTAGAGACAATCCGCAAGGCAATGGATAGAGGGTTGGTCTATCTTGAAGCATTGCCTTTGATGGATGATGAGGAAGAGTGACGAGGATCCGAATGGTGCTTGTGGAGAGTTGCGGTCTCGTCCGTCGTGTAAAAACAACTGTGTGGCCCTGGTAAGTATCGTGGTAATGTAATAATGCATGCTTTGGCCGCTAGTATGATGATATTCGATTGAGCGATCAGAGATACTACAAAAAGGTCAGCATCTGGATCGATATCTTTCGACGAGGAGCGACTTACCAAACTAGCAGCAAAGACGACTGCGAAGCAAGACGCAGATCAGCATCCGAACACTGACACACTGCGATGCACTTACTGTCTCGCCTGATCAAATTCTGTGCCTCCTCCATCTTCTGGAAGAGATCCGCATCACCAATGACTCGCGCGGCATCTCTAACTTCTCTACAAGTCTCATCCAACCTCGTGATGACTCGGACGATCGTCCCTTCGGGCACATCCGTAAGGTTGGTGATTTGGTTGAAAGGCTACACCGTTATCAGCATTGGTACATTGGGCGAGGTAGACAAACGCACCATTCCTCTTGCCCACTCGTAAACCACTTCCACCAATCCCGGCTTATACTTTGTCGCAAACTCGTCATGCTGTACCTGGCACTCGTCCTGCACCCTCTCAACCTCATC